AAGATATTTTTATAAAGACAAAAATTATAATTATTTTAAATTTGCTTAATACATTTTTAATCATTTATTTATCTCGAATTAGATTGTTAAATCTATGAACTTTGTATCGTATATATTATTCGATCGATATCGTATATATTTGCAAATCATTATATTTTCTAAATTATAAATAAAAGGAAGGAAACAATAATAATATAAAATGACGTTGCGTTAATCTATATATTCATGTTTTGACTTTTGATGTGTTTCCAAAGTACTATAATACTATAGTCTATTAATAACTATTTCTATTTTAAATGATTAATGCTTGCGAATATTTTGGCTTGTCTCTTACATAATCGTAAATTTTACATACACTAATATATCATATAAAAAAATTAAGAATTTAATTTAATAATTTAATTTAATAATTTAATCTGAAAAAATATTTCTGTCAATTCTAAACGTAATAAAATCTATGCTAAAGTGAATATTTAATAGTTGCAAATCTTTTTATATAAGATATAATAATAAACATAAAATATATTTCCATAAAATAAGACTATAAAAAATATTTCAGCAGCATATTGGGAAATTAATGAGATATTCGAAGAATTAATTATAATATCGAAAATCTTACTGTAGAAATGTTGAGATCAAAATAGTTTTCAAATTTGATTTTATTAAATAACTAAAATTGACTAATAATATTATTAATGGTAGAGTTCTTTAAATTTTCATATTTATATATTATCTGTTATTAATTTTTATAGTAACAAAAATTCGTGAGAGTTAATAACAAATGTCAAATCAATCTATGATAAATGACAAATCACTTATGTGCATATATCTGAGTGTCTGAACATTATATATGCAATATCATTTAATTTTAATTGTTTAGCTCAGAAACTATTGTGGCATCTTTATTCAAGGATATCAATTCTAATTAATTTTCAGAGCACGCTATTAAAATATTGCATGATGATTGCAAAACATTTTATAGAAGATTATAAATTTAAGTAGTACGATTTTACATATATATTTTCTGTCTTAAAAAGTATAAAACTGAAAGTAACTTAAGCTAGAAGATACGGTTCTGTGGTGCCGTAGACTTCGGTAGACTTTGGAAATGTAATTTAGGAGCGCCGAGAAACGTTGAAATTATCGACCTTTATCGTTCGCGTTTGCAAAGGAATCTTTGGTATGTCGACTATGCATAGGCTTGAGTTTGCAACTTATTTGTAGTAAGCGAATGCCAACGAGCTCCAAGTATCCGCCCAGATAAATAGCTTCCACCGAATTGACGAGGCGGAATAATTACCTTGTAATCGGTATTCGGAAGTATCGGCAATCGCTTAACTTCCGCTTCAACTTGCGAAGCATTGCATCGTTCGCACTTGCTCCTAATTGAGATAAAACTTTATAGAATCGTACTCTCGTATAGATGAAAATGGGAAAAGAAAAAAGGGAAATTTAAAAATACAAAAATACAAAAAATCTTAAAGATCTCAGAACGCTTAGCATGGTTTAAATTCAGTTAAATAACAATATTATGATCTCTCTTCTGTTCCACGAATGCAGTCTGGCAATAGTTAAGTACACATGTCTATCGAAATACAAAGCCGTTACTATGTAACTTCAACCTAGTTTCTCTCAAACGCGATTAACTCATTGATAGCTCAACTTGACAGCTTGATTTATTTTACGCTCTTAAAGCAAAAATTACGAAGATCAATTTTTACTTGGAGGAAAATTAATCATGCAATCTTTATGGGCTGTTGAATTGATATGCACATGTACAAACGCAAATAATTCTTTCATTCGAGATAAAGGAGAGGGGAAAAATTTTGGTAACGAATCACGGCTGACTCGGCAAAATTTTCGACTAAACTTCAGGCGTTTCGATGCGACCGCAAACTTTCGTTATTTATAGGCCAACCTAAGTCTCTTCTGAAGTGCGTTCACCGCACGATCGCAGCCAAATTCCAGCGTTTATTACGTTACGCTACGCACAGTATTACGTTATGCAAAGTAATTCGCGCAACCGATTTTATTCGCAACACGTGATCCGCATATTATTGCCAATATACAATTAAATTTACGGATGTCATATTAAAAATGAGAGAGACATTTCGTATTTCAACTTAAATTTGGTAGGGCAATTAAGAAAATACTGTTATCAGAAATATATCTTTAGCTTGTGTTGCGACATATCGGTAGTGGGTGTGATTGTAATTTTTTTTTCAAATATATGCTATATGTATATTATGTACAAAATTCTTTTCTCTATTGAGTATTCAATTCAGCATTGTTTACTGTAGTTTAAGTTTCTTATTATAAATATAGTAGAAAAAAAGAATTAAAAATTTGTTTATACGCGAAAAAAATTTATTGCTAAAGTATTTAATCTTTATTAAAGATTGTGTCTCATCGATGTATCACACTTTATTTAAAAGCATAAATTTCGACAATATCGTGGAAGATGACGTATTTGTGTTTCATCGGAAAAGTTTTTTCTGGAAAGATGACGAGGTATGTAAATATAAGCTAAGAGAGGCAAAGTCTATATCTTCCTATATACTGACAATCTTTAATTCGATTTTCATTCATAGAATTTAGTTAATCTCATTAATATGCTACTATTTATGTTGATTTTTTTCGTTTTAAAATAAAAAATCTCACATATTGTAATTAATAGATCATTGATATTATTAGTATAAATGTACAAATTATACATATGGCATTAAGTGCCGTGTTTATAAAATATTACTACACTTGCTTCGGGGGAAGGTAGGGAGTATCACAACCGTTTATGACACCCATGGAGGATATGACACTGAACTTAAATCGTTAATAACCTCCGGCCATGATTGAATAACCGCAAGTATATATTGTTTCATAAAAAATAGATATAGTAGAAACTCACAATGTTGTTTTCTCTTACACTAGATATATTTAAAAAAATAGCTAAATTTTTTTCAATATTAATTATAATAACAAATATCGTATAATTGTATATTTTTCCGATCAGATTAGATATTGTTATCTTGATTATTCCTAATAAAATTATTTGACATTGTAATTGACAATTTTAATTTTTATTGCACAACAGCGGTAAACTATCGATTATTGTGTAAAATATGTAAAAATAAATATATTATCAAGTAACTATTAATTTCAAATATTTTTATATATTCTATTTATATAATAACTTCATGAAAACTTATGCTAATGTATGTATTAAATTGAAAGAATTATTCCTCCTAATTAGAAATCACTTTGAATAATATTTTTCTCTTCGTTTCTTGCAGACTAAAACAATTTCGATGAGAAAAAAATAATTTAATTGAAGAAAAAAAGATAATTTAATTGACCACCCATCGAATATTGATTTGTAATCGTTTATTATTGTAGATTATTGTCATGTGTGCAATTGTGTAACTATGGCGGATTACGAAGAAATTTATAATGTTATCTCACGTGATATATATCTCACACGAAATACTTGCACGCGAGTATTAAAAGATATTAAGTAACAAGTGGAAAAAAACTATAACAAGATCAATTTATAAAAGTTTATTTTTATGAAGAGATTTATTTAAAAAAACATTAATTTTTCATATTAAATTAATATGTTTACTCAGTATAATTTTGGATTTTATAAAACTAGAATTTAATAATGATTCAGTTTAATGAATAATAATTTCTATTAGATATTTTTATGATAACATTTAATATTATTGGGTTATATTTATATGTGCAAAATTCTAATATAATGAATCTGCTTTTTCACAATTTCTTTATTTTGAAATTTATATAAGTGCGTACGTTTATAATTGAAGATTTTTTGGACGATGTAAAATATTAGATTTATTATTATAACTTTTATTTACATTTTTTATGTTTTATTACTATACAAATTAATTAGAAATTGATTTTAATTATTTATATATACACACATGTGCATGAAAAAAAGCATGTGCACGAAAGAAAAAGCTAAGTTAAAGTTTGATACAAATTTTTTGATGAACAAAATTCCATGAGAAAAAAATTTGATTGTAAAAAACTCTTAATGATTAAATTTTATTGATTTAAAATTTATTTAATGATAATTTTAATTAGTAATTGAAAATATGAACTAAGTTAAATTCATTTCGACAATTAGTTAAGAAAATCAGTTTTTTTCCTAACATAACAAAAAAATACGCGCATAGATAACCTAGCTTGATTTATTTATAAAAAAATAAATTTGTATTACTAAGGCATATCAATTTGCAATAAAAATAATTATTTGCAATAAAAAAAATTATCTAAAAAAAGAGCTAGCGGTATGATCAGTATTATCTGCAGTTATTAGAAGGTATAAAAAATTGATTGTTATTTCAAGTATCAAATTAAATATATCAATATGATTTATTGTTATTATTTTTATTACGTTATATTTTTATTATCTTGTTATTTTATTAGGATAATTTTTTTAGGGCAGTTTTTTCTCAAATTAAACACGATATTAATTATGATGTTTTTGTATGCAGTTTGATACACGTATTAATTATTTTAATAAATCGTGTATAATAAATAAAAGATAGGGTAAAAAAATGGAATAAACTGTAAAGAATATAAGTAAATTAATTTTGAAACAAAATGCCATCACATTTTTTATATCATCACATTTTTCTATCGTACTAGTATAATTTTTTGCTTTATCATATTCACATTATGTTTCTAACAAAACATGTCTTTGCATTGGCATTGTATATTTAAGAATTCGTCAGTAACATTTTCGAATAAAATGTCAGCTTCTAAATTTATTCAAAGATCTCAAAAAATTTTGCTAATAATTTTTACGATATCAATTGAGCGGTAATATTGAAATTCGATCGATTTATGTTGCTCTCATATTAACTTATTAATTTTTTGTCTCATAAAAAGTATGATTCTTTTTTAGACAGAAAATTTAATTAGTTAATTAAAAAACGACAGTAATTACAATTTCAATGAAATCATTAATGAAAACTTACCTAGAACACAAGATGCAAGAAGAATTCGTAACACGAGTTTTTTCATGATGCGAAAAATCTTCGACAGCGTTTCGATCTCGGTGGCACGTTGAATTGGGATAAAAAGAACGGCGCAATTTACGTCATGAGAACACGCGTTCTTATCTATATTTAAACCGCACTGTAATAGCGCCGACTGTATCGAGAAAGACACTGGAGAACAGTGGAGAACTGTTTGCACCGGAAAAATGATACTCTTCCGGTTCCGCTGTATCGGCCGTATCACCGATATAATCGAGAAAGGTAGTTTGAATCTTGTATTATTAAAAAATTATTCGATGAAATCGTATTGAATATTGCGTAACTTGTTCTGTCTATCTTGCTTCACAATATTTTATAGATAGAAACTGGATTTATACAATTTTCATTAATTTGTTGCTCTTTACAAAATTTGATTCCGCACGTCTTTTCGTCGAGTGTTCTCTCAAATTCGCACAATTTTCAAGATCTCTGGATAACAGTGAGAAATTATTGACCGATGGAAAACGATAAATTCAGAAGAAATTCACGGCTGAACTTTATTCCCGCTATAGATTACCTGGTGCGAACGCTATCGAAGTGACGCGCGACGCGAGGGAGACTGATCTCTCGTCGTGGCTCTAATTTTCTAACTCTTCCTCCTCCTCTATTTCTTCCCACTAGATTACATCCTATATCGGCCGCGGGGATGGTGGTATCTTGTCAAAAATTTATATTTATTTTTATTAGTCCTGTAGGATTCTCTCTGACGTAAAGTAAAAAGCGGAAGTGTGCTAATGAAAACCTAGATAGCACATATTCGTTTTAAAAACGTTTCTTATTAATGCTTTACGGTTAAAGAACATTAAATACGTTTAAGAAACGTATATAAAACGTGTGCTACCTAGGAAGATATTAATCCAGTGTGATTAAAAAATAATTAAATAAAATGAAGAATTTGCGCATTTTATTAATATGGATAATTTAATGTTTCTCAGGAAATTACAAAGCGATTAATTAAATGTACAATTCATTTATACATTATTTGTTATTTATTATAAAGAAATGGAAGATTTTACATTATCCAAATAGTGAATCAAAATAACTGTTTTACTATATTTTGCATTATTAGATTTACGATGATTTATTGATTTATTGATTTATTGATTTCACTGCAGAGATTTAATTTCATATTTTTAAACCAGTAACAAAATAGCATTTTTTGTTTATTTAAGTGAAATTCCACAATCTTAAACTTTTCGATTGATCATTTATTTAAGCTTAATAAGTAACCCATATTTATTTAATTAGCATAATAGATGACTCATATTTATTTAATCAGCTTAATAGGTAATTCATATTTAAGGATTTAATAAAATAGAGTAATTTATTTTAAATAAGTTACCTCGAACGATATATAAATGTAATATAATAATACTTGATACAGCACATTGCTGTTAATCTAATCCAATTAATATTAATCGACGATAGATATATAATCTTTATTATACATAACAATTGTTTGTTTTAAAAGTCGCGTAAATTAAATTTATAAAGTTTCTATATGATTATAAATTTGCAAAAATTTTATCAATTTTTTGATTAAAAATCGTCATATTGATTCTCTTAGGATAAACTTCTGGAATGGGAATTATATAGAGGATGTTTTGCAATGTAACGTATTATCAATATTTATTTATTTCACTGATCATGACAAAGTAATAATTACGTAAAGCTGTTAAAGTAAATCCCCGTTATCACTAGATTGTGTACTGTATTTACAAGTATAGTTCGCATCCCACAAAAACTTCGTGATATATTTTTTTCTTCAAATATATATATACATATATATGTGTACATATATATATCTTTTTTCTGTGACGCGTGTAGCTTTTGCTCATCATATAAAGACCAGGCGAGTAAAGCTAAAGTTTTTTATTCTTTTTCTCTTTCTTTATCTCTGCTTCATAATCCCTTTCGCTCAGATAAACAAACTATAAGCGCCGCCATTATCTGTCATATAAGAAAAGATTATTGTACCCAAAACCCCATTCAGTGAAGTAGTCCAAGTAAAATACTCTAGTTAACAATAAATTATTAAATATCTATTCACAAATGTATATATATGTATAGGCTATCGTTATTACTATCATCATCGTCGCCGGACACTGCCATTCTTGCCATTATTCTCGATGTTATTATCACTATTCTTACATACACACGGTCTAGGACTTACTGTATTTGTGTGTGCTGTCAATGAGAATGCTGAGAATTGGAAATTTACGAGATTTGATGGCGAATTTTCTTAATCGGACAATTTGAGAAACGATCGTTTATTGAATGCCATAAGTGGCATCCGTATATTTTTTTCGCGAATAAATATGCACGATAAAGAAAATTTACCATAAAGTCTCACTAATTTTTGATAGTTTTTCTAGTTACCAACAATAAGGATGAAAGATTATTTTTGTGATATAAAATGGATTTTGAATTAGAAAATGAATGTTTTATCTATGATATCTTATTGAAGAGACATTGTACATTGTTTTATGAATTCTTGAGCGAGTTGCACCGATAGTTAACTGATAATGATTCATTTACGAGATACGCAAAGAACCATAGTCTGCGCATAGAATATATACAAAGACATTGTTTTATACGTAACATTTTTATGCATACATAACACGATAAAAGTCATTTAACATTTCGGTTTTTTGTTTTTCTCTAGATAATATAATTTTAGCTATAATATAATCATAGTCCGAGAAGACATAGCCATAGTCAACAGCGATTAACATCGACTAATTTGGTGCAACTCTTTTCGAGATACTTAATGTTAAATGCTTGTCAAAATTGCATTAACAAACATCATAATAGAACCGCGTGAGCCTCTTGGAGGTCCGACGGTGACGTGAAATGAAAACGATCATGCGATTATTATCGACTATCACGCGCTAAAATTCAATACATAGTCGCGCATTCAATCATTTTTCTATCATTCGGACACATAAGAATGAGTGTTTATGTGCACACTTGTGTACGTGTATATATAAATCTCATAATTATAAATCTTTCTATGTATATATTTTTCTATCTCGCACGTTTGTTGAAGATGATGTTTCGAAGCTTCTCGTCTTTGGAACTTCATCTTAACGAAAAACGTAGCGTGAAAACTGCACTATATATACATTAAGTAACTTTCCGGTCGTTCTCATCACCGACGAGTGCGACTCTGATTGTTCGTAAACTCGATTAGAGACACCAAGAATCATATTTACTAAAGGAGGACGTTTTACAAAACTAGTTTATTTGCGAGACGATTTTGTAAAAGAACGAGAAATCTCTATCTGAGACCAATATTTGAGAAATGATGGTTATCATTTTCTGTGTAACTGCAATTACAATTGCAACTTCGATCCTGAACACTGCGAAAATGCGCGTCTTTGGGACATATGCTACTGCTTCTAATTGTTTCTCGATGAATATTGCAGAATTCGATTTGGACGAATCAATCTTATCATTCAGTACAAGCGCTATACAATTATATGTTTCTTCTACAATTCCATTTTATATTTCGCACTCCTCGTATAGAATATGACTTTCTTGTAATCTTTATGTACATATCTACTCTCTCAGACTTTCTTAGTTAATCGGCTGCTACATTGCTTTATAACTACACATTCGACTGACTCACAGTAATAATCGCTGTTGTTCACTGCGAATGTATGATCGCGTTCGATCTGCACTCTCTCCTGCGGGCTTCCTCTTTGTCATTTTATTTTATTCGCCATACGCAAAGCACGCACGCTTGAACCGCAATTGTGAAACTGACAGTTGGTTTTATGTACTTTTATGTACTTTTCTTTTTTTCTTTGTTAAAAAAGGGTAGGAGAGATAGAATTGTAGGATAGCAAAATTGCTGGATAGTCAAAATCTTTTTGACGTCGATAAAAATCGGGAAGAGGTGCGTATGAAACGTTAGCGTTATAAAAAACGTTGCACAGGACATTTTCAAAAATGATACTATAACGATTTTTTAGCTAAATGTTTGTCGCTTTCTTTTTTTTTTCTTCTTTTCCTTTTTTTTTGATTGATTGACAGTTTTATTCTCAATTTTTTAGCGTTATAAAACAAGTATATCGGTGTTTGGCGTCATCGATATGAAACTCGTGTCCTCACTTCTTATAATTAATCTTATAATGCTGTATAAAAACATTATTAATTAATATAGTTTCATATAGAAACTATATTTATGTAATTCATATAGTTTTATATAGAAACTATATTCATGTAATTCATATATAGTTTCATATAGAAACTATATTCATGTAATTCATATAGTTTCATATAGAAACTATATGTAATACATAGTTTCAATTAACAATTACAATTGACAATCCATTGAATTCGTGTATGTACGCAATAATAAAACTTATCAAAGTTTAATTGTTGAAAAAACATTGACAGAAATATTTGCAATATATTATACTAAGAGAACATTATCAACAATTTGGTTTATTAATTTAATATCATTGTAGTTTTTTTCTAAAATATATTGTGATTAAAATTCGCAGTCTTAGTAATGCTTCTTTATGTATTTCGGGCAGAATATTTTTTCAAAGCAATTGACGACAAAAAAAAAGAAACGCGGGTAAATCTGCACCAACTCATGATTTTTAGAGAACGTTAAAAATATTACGGCATACAGCTACAACGTTTCAAATGCTTAAGTGTTGGTAGAGAGACCGCTTTGCATTGTAACTGGAAAAGAATATTGGCGAAGCATTCATACTCTTGCAACATTTTCTCCTATTTTAATAGCTCTTTCGTTCATTTTTTCACTCTTGCTCTCTTTATTTTCGCTATTTACAAACGTGTAGCTTAAATAACGTTCGTTAACATTTCTAGTCTGTTCTTCTCACTTTCATTCTCCTCGCGTTTTCTCTTTCTCTCACACACTTTCTCTCTTTTGTTTATCTAAAATAATTATGTTAATTAAAGTATGTGTACATCGCTCGATATTAAATTGAAGGACAGACTAATTCTCCTTCACCTTCATTAATACGCGATTCAATTGTGTTATATAATAAAAATTGGATATTCGTATTATAGGAGAGTAAGACATATACGGAAATTATATAAATAATTATTTTTAATTTTGTAATTAAACCTATCAAGTAAACAATTTCTTGAGATAACGTAAATATAGAAAGAAAAAATAAATATCGATGCAGTTGTATTGTTGCTTTGTCGCGATATATAAAATTTTCTCTCTCACAATCTACATAATATTATATACAACAAAGACGAGAAAGTCGCTTCGTAATACAAAGTAAATATTCTCGGTCGCTATGTAATTGTGATACACTGTGTCATCGTCATATTATGTATCGCGTTTCATCACTACCGAACGAAAATTATCAGTATCGCTCAAACTGTCGTGAACTTGTCCGGTTTATAAAGCAGGAGCTGGACGATATAGAGGACTGCCTTTGATAGGAAGCACATGAGCCTCGGAGTTGAATACCCAATCGTCCAGGCTTATGAGATCATCGTCACTAAATAGCAAATAGAGATACTGGAAAAAGAAAGAATATATTTTTATGTAACACATATTCATGTTCATTTTCTTTTCATAATATATATTAAATTAACTTTTCTACTTTTTTCTTTCTGCGTTACGTATGTGATTAAATCGATACTGATATAATCTGATTAAATCTCAAATAATATAGTTAATATTTTACTCTACTGAATATGTTATATATCTATTATTTCATTTTTTAATCAAATATGTTTTGATTAAAAATAAATATCGCGTCATAATTACTAGTCTATAATAAATAATATGTGTAGATTAGATAAAAAATAAAAAAATCTGTAGCATAGTATCAAGCAATCAGATTTATATTGATTATATGTTGCAATTTAAAAATTATTGAAATGTTGAAATAAATTAAAAAAAATAAAACTTATTAATTGCTAATAATAATAATAATAATATATATCAAGGAATGCCCTGATATTATGATATAAAAATTATATTATAATTTGGTAAATAATCGAAACATTAAAAAGAGAATATGCTAAGCTTTATTTCCGCTTTTTATGAAAATTCAAAGTTATTCAGTTATGGAAAAAACCATTAGTCAACTCAAGATTAGGCATACATCATTTTTTAAATAATGTAGCATTTTCGGTTGCATCGCGTTGTGTGCCAAGAAAGAGTTAGCCTTTATGAGAAATAGCGTTAATCGAATCATTGAAACAATGCTTCCTTTCTTCTTTACCTTCAATGTCTCAGCGAAGAAATAACTTTGTTGAACATCGTCTTTCGCCGAGTCGACCAGGTAAACATTATTAAGTCCCGTGAATCCTCCAGGAACTCGGCAATGTTTTTCCAGTGCTTGAACTGCCTCCCAACCCCATTCGCGATACTTCGGATCTTTTGTTAGTCGCCACATCACGAAGTACGATTCAAAGGTCTGCGAAAGAATATATTTTGTTTTATTATCGTCTAATACATTTTATATATAATTAATATATTTTCTAATATATTTTATATATGTATACACACACAAACAAAAAAAACTCAATGTACATATATATATATATATTTACTTAAATTTTATATATATATATATATATATATATATATATAATTTTTTAAATAAAATGCAAGAAAAGAAAATTAAGATAAAGTAAAATACTATTTTTCTTTGTGAAAAGCGAATTTTCGATTGTAAAGTGACTTATATTTAGAATAAGAACAACCCCTTTTCTAGAAAAATAAGTTTTCTTAATTTAATTCTTAAATTTCTTATAGGTACAATAACTATAATTGCAATGCTTTAGCAATTTGCACTAATTTTTGAGAAAACAGGCGACTTACCTCAGGTCGCAAAATATAATATTTCTCGCCATTTTTCAAGCTTCTGGCCTCGTTACCCTCAATAAAATGGAAAGCTTCCGGACCAAGTTTTGTAGCACTTCTGTCATAGGACTCGTGACACGTGTTGGTCAGACCGGCGGCGATATTCATGTATTTATCAGACAATTCGTTTTTCAGAGTTTTCGCGCCCAGAGCAAACATACCGCCTACAAAATGTACCAATAACATTATCCTTTCTGATAAGTTCTTTTCATTTTTTCGCTTTCGTTAAAGATATATTAATATGAGATATATTAATATGACAAAATAATAATTGTCTTGATGATAAGGTCGAATAAATAATTTTTGTTATCAATGTCAAGACTTGGATAGTAGTGAATTAATATATGAGAAAACAGAATATATTTGAGAGGTAAATGTATTTGTTTATATCATATTCAAGCTTGATGATTACAAGGTAAAATTAATAATTGCATTAATGTATATTATATAGTGTATATTATATATAATATATATAATATATATTAATATTATAACTTACCGGCAAAGCAAGCTAAGTGTCCCATTTTATGTTCAAGCCTATCGTATTTTAAATCCGACACATATACAAGTTTGCCAGGAGATGTTTTGATCATATACTCGGTTATGGCTGCTATAGCATCATCATACATTTCGCGTGCCTCGACATCCTCCTTGCCTGACTGAATCCAGGCCTTCAGCAGATATTCATAGAAACTGTCACCGAGTCCACCGAGCGACATATGATCTGCAATTTTCACGAAAATATTTCAGTTCTAAGTAAATTCCGTGTGCAAAAGGGCTTGCGACATATTTTTCTGAAAAATTTTCGAGCTGGAAATCTGTATCTCTTTTTTTATCTAGGGAGACTAAAATTTTTGAAATCTTTAGTAGTAAAATTTCTGAAAATTTTTTTAATGCAACTCAGTTTAAAATTTTTTTTGTATTATAAAAAATTAAGATATTTCCGTCTTTAGAAGAAAATATTGCCAATTATTCTTGTTTTCCACTTCTTTCATGTCGAAATGAAATTACAATAGAGACTTGCGGATAACTCGTTTGTCAAATAAAATAGCTTTAACTTGACTGCTTTAAAAGAGATACTGCTTTAAAATAGACAACAATGGTAATCGCTACGAGATAAAGGAATGTTGGGAAGAATCTCCTTGGAAAGGAAAGGTTTGTTATCCGGATTACTTCGGTTACGTCTGAGGACGGAGAAACAAAAGACAGATTTTGATTCTGCCGGGCTAATTTCTAGGTGCCTTGGGCACTAGCTAAGAACAGGATTTCTGCTTTCTGTTAAGATTTATGCGACGAAAGGAAGTATAGCTTAGCTCTAGTCTTTCTTTCTTTAGCTCTATTTCTTTGATCATTATTTCCTTTGAAAATGTTAGGATGCGCGAGGATGCATGACTCAGTCGACTGTCGCAAGATTAAGTTTTTGTTAAATATATCTTAATTGTCATTTGATAAATTATGTTTCGAGAAAATATTAATTTTTATTTATGAAAAATATTACATATTTTTCGAGGGATCAACTACTATGGCAATCATATTTCATTAAAAGTGTATACGATAAATATAATTTTAGGAAATTTATGTTTTAGAAAATATATGTGTGTATTCAAATAATATGTAAGCGAAGCGTGATATAGTAGACAACGCACTAGTCTACAAAGGCAAATGTCCTGGGTTCGATTTCCGGTAGAACCGAAAAATTGTATACGCTCGCTCCTCTCTCGGAAGGCAATGGCAAACCACCGAGAAATCTTGCCAAGAGCATCTTTCTAATGTACAGCCGTTCGGAATCGGCATTAAACTATCCCCATACGGGTCCCATATACGTGTGATAATCTGTGCGCAACAGAGGTATGGGAAAGAGAGAGATTATCATGTCCTTTTGTTCGAAATCAAACAAAAGGATTAAGAAGAATTGAAATAATACTAGCAATAATGCCAGCAATATAAGAAAGTAATATGGACTAGAAGTACTTTTTAATTCTGTGGCAGTATCGGCAATATTGACAGAATAATAATAGGAATATCAACAATACAAAATACAATAGCATACATAATACAATAGTAATATTAGTAATAAAATGTATTATATTGCCAAAAATGATAATCACATTTTTTGAGTAGTGGTTGACTTCTCGATATTTTTATAAAAATAAAAAATAATCAGAATAATAGATGCAAGCTTGTAGTGTTTCAAAAAATAAATAATCGAATGAAGCAACGTAAATGAATCACTCATTTTTATCATGGTTTGTCGTAAATTATATATTGATGTGATAGTAAATTTCACCGGCAAAATTACAATAAAATCGTAATAATTAAAACAATAAAATATTTGTCGCATTAATTATTTGAATTATTTAATCTTATTATATATTTCTTTGGATGTTTTGTTATTCGAAGCCACTAATTTTGCGTTCATTCAAAGAATATTCTATTTTTCTCACTACATTTACCGTATGGATACCCACCGGAACAGAAGCGTGAAAAATGGGGGAAGGATGTGTGATGGGGCTAGATACGACTACGAACGGCTTGGATGATATATATCCTCGAGGATCTCGTCATACGTGCAATGAGAAAGTATGCAGGCGCGGGGGATTTAGAACCTGAGGCAGAGGATGATAAATGCGATATTCAAGATCGGCTATATGGCGATGACGGCGCCGCGGTGGGATATCTTTTCACAAAGTGACATGGACCGACGCTATGAGATGCGAAATGGCGAAAAAAAAGGAGAAAAAAAAATAAAAAAAAAGGAGCGACTAAAGATGTGCGAATTTTCCACCTCGCGACTATACGAAACTATTTTCTCACGATATAATTGATAGCCATCAGATTAAAAATCTTATTTCGCGCAAGATATACTGCTTTACGCGCGCTTGAAGATTTATTAAATACGAAATGATAGTAATAAGTCATCGGATATATTTATAACCGCCTAACATTGATTGAAGACGAAAGTTCGGTATTATTTTTTACTTTTTTTTTTAATGAATGAATATGAACGCAAGTACGAACGCGAATTATTGCTATATTAAACATCTCTGTAAGTAAAGATAATAATGTTGAAAATAACATATAATGCAATTAGATTGCAATCCCTGTGATATATTGTCGAAATATCCTCCTTTCCAAATAATTTGCAAATGATTTGCTAAGTAAATTATGTTCACGCATGTATTGCATGCGTTGGAAATGTTAATCAAAATGTATAGGATTAACATACATAGATTACTAAAATCCCACTTACGTTGACCCCATTTTCCTGTTCTCGGATGAATGTAGTTTGGATATAGACCTTTTGGTTTATCCAGACTCTTCAGGACCTTTCTCACGTTTTCGACTTTGCTCTTAAACACTGGATTATTCGTTATATCACTCAAGTAGGTGAACTCAAGATGCATGGTTCCGATTTCGGATAAAATACTGCAGCCACTGCTTGCCCAACCATAATTCTTACTCGCCTGAAAAATAAGCACAACTTTCTAGCTCGAATATAGTGAGATATAAGCTGTAAAAAAAATAAATCAGATATAGTCAATATCTTAAATTCAGGATATTTACTTAAGTAATAAAGTAATACAATAAAACGTAAGTTCTACTATAATAAATGAAGGTAGAGGAAAAAGATAAAGTTAAAATGTTAAAAATATTAATTCGTTTCAGTTTTGATTCTCATATTAGAGCCTTTTTAATTTATAAATGTAACATATTAAAGAAATCTGGAATATGTTTATGAAACACATGTACAATTATGCGGCAAATTTATGAAAAGTAAATAAATTGTAATATCAGCAATATAATTTATGAGAGTGAGTAAAATATGTTGATTTTTATGAAAAGAATTAAGATGTAGTGTAGTAATTTTTAAATAAAATTTAAATAAATTTTAATAAGATTTTAGATGATCAAATATCATTATAAAACGCTGAAAGTTCAAAGATCTATTCATTGGATATCGTGAATATTGTAACGAGAACTAGGAAGATAGAAATATAATCTCTTTATAATTTAAATCAGCCAATTAACCTGTCCATGTTATAATTTCATCCCACAAGATAGATGAGCGTAAGTTTGACATGCGTGTTTTCTTTTATTAAAGAGAAGAAGCGAATAACAATTTCTTATCGCACAGCATTATTAAATATAAATTTTTTTTGCTATAAATGCATTGTTTGGCATTTCTTCGATCTTTATGTTTGTTTATTTCATTTTTATTTTATTTTTGAAAACTCTCCCTATAATTAATTATATACTTTTATATTTTTATAACACAATAATAATATAATTTTTACAATTTTATGTTTTTTATTTATTTTTATATAAATAAAGAGAGATAAGAAAGATAATAATTGATACATATATACAAATATATTTTGTTTAGAAAACTGTTGTATATATTATCTTTTTCATATATAAAAAAAGAATATGCATGTTTCATTCAAATGAAACGGTTAATTCCGAATAAGAACATGATAATTTCCAAATCGATAAACTTCCATCGTTCATATTTTTCCTCTTGCACTATTCAAAATGAATAGAAAATTATGACGTTCAGAGATGGACACATTAAAGTCCACCAATTAATCGCGTTCATTAAGAACGCTAATAGGAATTACGAGGTCATCAAGCGAGGGTCAATCGGAACACGTGTTGCACCGTAATTAAATCCGACTCTCTCTCATTTCTCGTTTTCTCATGCTATAACACTCTCGTTTTGCGCTAATTTCTTCAATAAGATTGTTGCGAGATTTTTGTTTGCAAATTGTTATGCCTTTAATTATGTATATAGTTATAGATATTACTTAGCTATATTTTTTTAAGTCGTTCGCGATATTATTGTTTCCCTTTCAATAAATATTGTTTTATTTTACTTTATTTTTTTTACTAATTTGAAATATTAAACTCTAATTATTAAACTGTATTAAATTCTAATTATTTGATCTTTTTCACTAGGAGTCTTTCTCTTTCTTTAATTTGATTTTTTTTTCTTTGACGTTATTTTATCGAATAATTGAGTAAAAGAAAAAAAAGGAAAATTATTACTTCATATCTATTGATACGAACATGGGGAAAATCAAAGACTTATCCGTCTCTTGCGACCTCATTATCCATCCAATTAAGAATTTGCATATTAATCGCGTGCGTTATTTCGACAGACGTGACTTGATGGAATCGTTTCAATTAAAGTGCAACATCGTTGCCGTTCACGATGCCTGACAAGAGGCAAAAACGGAAATATACCACGCCCTGAGGTAATCCTTTCTTAAATTATAATCGTGGAGGCAAAAGACCGGTAATTGCACTTTATGTTTGTACCGCATGTTTCATAAGCGAACGTATCAATGGATTATTCGTATAGTAATAATTAAGCGCAAAAAGTTGTGATGTAAATTATTATAATTAACTAAAAAATATGAATTAACGTTAAATTAATGTGTATAATGATTTGTAAAAAATTACGACATTTATATATGTATCTGGTTGTATATAAATGAATCGAGAATTTTATTTTAACGGAAATTTGTTGACTATTTTTCGTTATAATCGACTATTTTTAATTTTCAATATTAAATAGTTTAATGATGAAAACTAAATTTTGCGAATAAAATTTCTTCTTTGCGTTTTAAGCATCAATTTTAATAACATCAAAACACATATCGGTAGTTTCAGTGCATTCTAAATATAAATTTTCGATATTATATGTTCGTCATTTCTCTTGTTTTCTTTGTTTCTTCAACAAATGAGTAAATTTTTATTTTTCCGAAACGAAGTTAATATCAAAGTACATTGAACTCGTATCTTGACACGTTGACGTGAGCGCTGACGAATTATGGTAACAAAAAGCCGTACTTACCCCAGTATGAAGGTTGATGAGGGAATGAGGAATTCCGGTTTCCGTCTGGAAGGCAGGCAGCATCCGTTCGCCGAGCTGCGCCGCTTTATCCCGGAACATTACATCCCCCGTGAGAGCGTAACAGGCGAGTAGACTTCCCATGAAACGAATATTGGTCTCAAACAGCGATATTTCGGAGTTCTGAAACAATGCAAAACGAGCAAAGTGTTTGAATTAATAACATGTTGATCGTTTATTCGTGGATAGAAACATTTAACTTGTTACATGTCGCACACACACACACACATACCCATCCATCATTTCTGGTACAATCGATTATTATGACATTAAAGACGCATCCGTTAATGGAGTAAAAAATAACATGTACATATATTTTTTAATATCTCTTTTATTAAATTTATAATTGCAATTGCAATTTTTAAATATTCATAAATATTCTTCGCATTATAGATCTTCTTTTCGATCGACATTTCAAGTATGTATTTCTCTTCAATATAATAAAGTATTTTCTTCTTCTACATAAAATCGTCCAACATTGAAGAGAAATAAATTAATAAAGCGCCACCAAGGCAGCTCTAAGATGTACGGTAGTTTAATATCGCAAAGTTATAAAAAATATAATGGAAGACAAATGAAACAAATGCATAATAGTTATGGATATGTAAAAAATATTCAGGATATAAAATATAAATATTTGGCAAATACAATGAAATATTATAACTGGATAGGAGATGGGGATGAGGAAAATATTTATATTGAACATTTGTTCTGCGGCATTGCAGTTGCATGCGTCGTTATAGTGCTCCATCTGTAAGTCATTATCTCATCCAATAATGTAAATACGATAGATAGCATTATTCGCATAATTAAATCATTTATAAAGTAATAATGTCAAAAAAAGAAGAAAAATTTTTTTCCAGTATTTGTTAAAATAAATTATTTCTAATGACAGCGCATGCAGTCTTCAAATTTGAACAATGGCTTTTAATAATTAATTAAATAATTAATGGTACATAATTAATTAAATGCTTAATAGATTTTTTGACAAATTAAATATAAATAATTAATTTGTCTTAAAAAGAAATAAAATATTCGAGAATATAATTTTCAAAATTGCTTAAAAATATTGTCTTTTTCAATAAAAGCACAATTAGTATGTATAAGCTTGCATTCAAAATTATATCATTGTATCATTGTTTTAATATTCAACTTGAAATTAGATAATTCAGATATGTGGATTTCATGAATGCGTTCTGTAACAAAAATTTTAAATGGCAGGAACAGAGAGGATGACACATGCGTATTTTATACAAATCCATATATAAATATTATTATAATTCAGTTAAAGATGAAATAACTATCTTATATCAATGTTTGTTTTAGTCAAAGCATCTTATCGTCCTTTAAAATTAATTATTTATATAACTTTCACTATATTCTCGGCATATTCTTCGCTTATTCGTCAGATGACAGACATTAGCATTTCTAGTCTAAATTTGACGTTCCAACTTGTAGAAATTGCGTGGATTCTATATCGCTACAAATTAAGCATGCGAATGAGATTACATCAAATTAACTTAAATTTATGAATATCGATAATGGATAAAAATCGATATAGAAATAAATGAACATATATGGAATGAGAATTTTTAAGAAAAATGTCCTCGTTATGTTGCATGTAAGCTTTCATTTAAAATTATACATATCATTGCACATTGTTTTAATGTTTAACTTGAAATTAAACGCATACATGAATTATATGTCACAATAAAATAAATTCCTCGTATGAGATAATAATTGCATATTCATTAAATATTTAATAGATGTTCTATAATTAGGAGAATCTGAAAATACTCAGGCGCAAAACTGTAGAGATAATGATGTGTTGTGCGTGAAAGCATAAATTGGCGTTGTTCTCATGTTTGCCAAGTATTATGCCGCTAATTGACATTTATGATGCACGGTGCGATAGGAAGTACCATGGGAAGTTCGTAAGCGATACATTTACGCGTCAATTATATACTCCAGAATTAAATATTTCTTATCAATTTTAAATTATATTTTAGATAAATTTTCCTTTAAATCTATTATATTATATTTATATAATTAATCAGATTAACATTTTACTTAATTTGTAATTTATTTTTTTCGATGGAAATAATTATAATATCTGAAAATATTTGTACGAATATTGTATTGTATGTATACACATGCAAATACGAAATAGAGTACTAGATATATAAATGAATAAATTAGTTAAAAATCTTTTAAGACAATTTTTAATATCTTTATAATATAAAGACATTCGCAGTCTCAGTTTTAATTATTATTATCGTTCTATTGCAATAAGATATGCATTTATCCATAGAAAAATAATTATATTGCATTTTTTAGTTAAGATAATACTAATTTTAATTAAAAAACTTGTGGCGAATATCAATTAGTATATGAAACATTTTAAAGCGGTTGATTTATTAATGAAATATATTTAGGAAAATTAATTATAAATACCCTAAACATTAGAGAAGAATGGCTCGTTAAATTTCTTTGTGCGCGCATATATTATATATACATATGCATAACAGAAATATCTCATCATTTTTTATAAAAAAATGAAAAGATACTTGGCTCATATATTAACGGACCGATCTTTGGTTTATGAGGTCGTTAGCTTCAAAAGATGTTATTAGCTATTGCGTGTTGTGTTGCACCATCCTTTCCGGTTCATCAGGCGTGGCTGATTGACTTGCTTACCTAGCACTTGATGATGCTGCATTCTTATTAAGCTGCCCTTCGTTAAGGAGCAGGTGCTCGGATAACATATATCCAGAACCCGCTTTTTTGACGATGAAATTTAAAAATGTAAAATTAGATAATTTTGCAAGTATCTTTCATAAAGCATTGCAAAAGAGATACAGATGAAAAAAATAAGATGCTTGACATCTATTTAATATATATATTATCCTTCCTATCTTTTTCGTTGTCTTTCTGTGTGCGGCAACGATTGATTCAACATAATTATTAATACTGATAATAAATTAAATTTTAATGAAAATGTTACATATGTGTGTATTTCATGTTGCATTGATATACGCAATCGCGTGTACATGCGATATAATCCAGTTGTACCTCTCTTGGATTCGTGTACATGCGTGCCATAGTGTACGAATCCGATGAGCCCTTGCTGTTTTACACGCGAATCTTTGATTACCTACACTGTTACCGCTTCAATTCAGATGTTCGAAACATTGCATGTCGAATGATCCTAAAACTTCGCCAGCAATTAGTGTTGGATAAGCACTACTGCAACTCTGTCTCTCTCTCTCTCTCTCTCTCTCTCTCTTTCTTTCTCTCTCTACGTTATTCGTTCTAATATTCATCCATTAAATTTTTTTATCAGAATACAATAATAGATTTCCTAAGAGTTTATATTTTTAGAATGAATATATTGTAATATTTAAAATTCAGGAAATTATTAAAGATTTTTTTTATATTCAAAAAATTCAGGGTCTAGAAATGTACGTTCGACCAATCACTTGAATTAAAATTTGAAAAATATATTATCTTTAACGACTTGAAAATTAAGAAAATCCGTAATAGAGAGAGAACCATAGTTTCTTTACCTCGTAATTTATGGTGTTATATTCAATATAATATATTATTCAATATTTATGGTGTTATATTCAATATAATATTATAGAAATATTCTATTTGTTACACTAGAGTAGAGGAAATTGCATTGACCAGATGTAAATTCGCGAAAAAAAGCGCTTTTGCGTCATAGGTTTGTTATTTCACGGCTCTCCGATCTGATCACCATCTGATTCCGGAGGTGGAGTCGTCGGTTGAAATAAAGTCGGACAAGAAGCCAAGCTCTCTGCTAGACGTCACGCTATTTTCCACTAGCTCAGCGGCACGTCGGAGATCCTTGGGCTTCTTATAATCTCACTCACCCCGTTCTCGAGCTACCTTGCAGACGCGTTGTCAGTTCTATACAAGATCTCCCTATCACTCTGTATATCTCTTTGCGTACAAAGATAGGCCGATAGGCTACAAGTGCTCCAGTGTGAAATGTAATCATGGCCTTGTAAATCGCTCGTTTATCTTCCTATGTCGAGAAGACAATCATCGATTCGGCACACGATGAAATCGCAATGCACACGGTAATTTCCTGATATCACATTTTTAGGAGAAGTGTTCAGTGTCTCTCAATTATTGCATTCTATACATTCGAGACTGTTAGCTGATATCGACTCGGAGAGCAAAGAAGTTACGATTATATCCTCGTTTTCGAGTATGGCTCTCGTGAACGAAAATGGGTCGAGGCAAACCGAGCGAAAAGCATGGTGAAAAGCGAAGTCAATTGCTCGAAGAGAGTTGTTTAAATGGATAATGGAGTCAGGAAACAGACAGGGTGGATCAGGTGTCGATGTGATCTGAAATCGTTGCACAAACGAAAATTGAAATCAAAGACATTTCAGGAATGGCAAAACTCTCAAACTTTACATCTATGTGTGTGTGTGTGTGTGTGTGTGTGTGTGTAACAATATATTTTTCTTAAACTTTACATCTATGACAATATATTTTTCTAATAGTTATAACTTTATAAATTTTATATAGATTCCAAAGTTAACTCGTTATCTATTATCGAGTAAGGTATTACAGGTTTTTTAAAAAATTTGTACGTGAAAAAATCGATATAATAAAGTCATAATTTTCTAAACAATTGTCGAAAAATAATCGAGAACTGAATTAGGCAAAAGTAATATTAAATATCATGGAAATAACGGTTTATAAAGATCGTTGATCCATTATTTATTGTCATTTTATAAAAAAAAAAAACACATAGAAAATCGAATTTGCATAATATTTGTCACAAAATTTGTCTTTGATATGGTAATAATATAAAATAAAATAAGATTCTTTATTCTTTGGCATAATAAAGATTATAATAAATGATCTTATAAAAATAGTGCGAAACTTGTATAACGATTCGAGAATATTGTTGGATGTGCAATTAAGAAGAGGAATGGAAAAATAAAAGCTAATTATAATTAAACTAGCTGCAGTTTCGCTGCACCTGCATTCTGTTCGTACGTGCTATACTGAAACGAGCCACATAAGTTCGGTAATATAAGGTCTCGTAAATGTAACACGATCTTAAGCACGAGTCACTGTTTGGCCTTGCAACCGCATCACTCGCAAAAGTTGTGCGACTTTAGAGTGAAATTACATCACAGACTAGGATGCGTTAACGTAGTGAGCAAAGAGATCTTCAGATATCTCTAAAGCGCGATAATTTCTGCTCATTCATCATCCTTCTATCGCTTTTATTCTTTTATCTTGTCATATATTTTTTTACTACATTTGTCTTGTTAGATTTTTCATTTCTCGATTAAATAATGATTTATGATATTTCTCATGAAATCGAGTTAGATTATTTTCGAACATGTTGTATTAGAATCGATTAAAGTCTATTATATGTATAATATAGAATAAAGAAAGAGAAAGAATTCTAGAAAATTATTTATAAAAATTCGTAAGATTTTGTTTATTTTCCCTTGTCATAAAACATGTCAAGCATAAGAATGTTTTAACCGCGATAACATGTAAAATTTAGTGGCTTTATACAACTTTTCAAAAAATAGGAGCGTGTAAAAGAAAACTTTTTAATCTAATCGTTGAAATAGATTTGACGATATAAGAAATATTAAGTTGTGTTGGAATAGTAATATCTTTGAGGTCACTTTTAATTTCTATCAAGAGATAGAGAGAATGATATCAAGAAATAAAACTGAAACTGTTGATTTGTTACCGTTTTTCAAGTTTTAATGATATTTTACGAGTCTCTCTTTCATAGATAAGCTATTTGGAAAAGGAAAAAAAATGTAATCATGGTTATGCAGCTATATTAAACAAGACACGTTATAAACTTTATTGTGAGAAGCGTTCGCGTGCTTTTGTGCCACTTGTAAAAGCAACCTGTACAAGACTGTATAGCTCAGCAGATAGTCACGGAAGCACCCGTGCGAGTAACAAGTTTCGACACGCCTTTATACACGCTCCACTTTTGCTGGAACCCTGCGCAATAGTTCGCCCTCCGTCTAGGCTAGCCCCTAGATGTGATGTTACAAAGGAATTTTCCTAGGAAGGGATTCGCTTATCTTGGAAAACTGCCACGGGGAAGAAAAAGTGTTACGCTTGCGATAATGCCTGCAAGTTGCATCGGCATGTTGACGAGCGGATGGAATCCCCTCGGAATTTCGAATTAATCCTTTTGAGATGTCTCTTTTCCCCCTTTGTTCATTTAACATTTAAAAAATAACGATTAATAATAATTAAAAACATTTAAAATAATAATTAAAAACATTTAAAAAAATATCAAAATATCGCGAGAGTAATTGAGCAATTAAAATTAAAAGTTTCACATTTGTAACTGAAGTAATTATACATGTATGTAAAAAATTGAAATTAATTATATATCATTTTAAATCTTTTGTATATATCTTACTGCATTTTTTGCGACATTCGAATATCATTACTTAATATTCTTATCAAAAATGAGAGAATCTTGACGCATTATGCACGGTCCATGTCCGACAGTCTATTCTTCACAGTGCTACCGCACATTTATTACACAAAAGGGTAAGACGAAGGAGATTTTGGATGGAAGAGAGCGTATTTAACGAGAAATGTACCAAGAGATCGTAGATCTCTCGAAGATGGGGGATTGGGAGGGTCGAAATAAAGACGACCATTTGTCCGTTCGTCAACTCGATTGTAACAGTATCATTAGAAAGATATATCTTTATACATTAATTTTTTTATATATTTATTTATTACTATCTTTTATATTTTTATGTTTGTTACTTTTCTAATTTTGTTTCATTAAACAATCTTTATATTAAATGAAAATTTGAAATCTATGTTCTGTAAATAAATACATAAATAAGATGCGATAAGAGTATTATTTAAAAAAGTCAATAATATACGCTTAAAATTACTTTTTTTAGAAGCAAAACATCTAATAACGTTGTTATGTGATTTATAATTAGATGATCACTTACTACAATTATTAAAAGATATTTTATCAACAACATTAATTTGTCTTATATATATATATAAGATAAAATATCTCTTAATAAATATAAATATATAAATATATATATATATGTTTTATGAGTATTTATAAAGAGTTCAAATATAAGTTCTAAATAATTTTTTCTTAATAATTTGATGCGATTCATACATCACTGTTATTTTCTATTTCTTCTCGTTTATTATTTTTATTTTCTATCTTTGGTATTCAAATAATGTATATCAATAATTTCTAGTACGTATTAAATAATTCCTTCTCTAATTATAAAAGACAATAGATGTTTATTAAATTAATGCTATGTAAATTAAATATATTGTAATTAAAGCTAGAAAGAGAAATCGTAAAATAAGATAAAATATGAAAAGCGATTGATAAACAATTTTAACAATCAATTCAATATTTAATTTTTAATTCGTAAACCGTACGTTGAATATAATTAATGCTCGAACCGAATATTAATGAATCGAACATGCTATTGGAAAATAGCTATACCATTAGTCGACAATTGAAATACGATGCGAGACGTGCTAATTTCTGTCTCGACATATCAGGAGAGATTTGTGCACGACGAGTTGCAAGCGTTCTTCGTATTTGCAAGCTACACCGATAGTGCTTCTAGCTTGGAGCTTCTCGTAGAATAGAGACATTACGTTTGTAGTTTAGATAAGAACGTAGTAACACGATATCAAAGGAGCTTGTTCACGATTTGCAACAAAATTCTCCCCTCTCGTAGATTAAAACGATCAAAACGAGGTCGATCGTTCGTCGCGTGTTCTGAAAATGTACCTTTTAAATCATAATCTTTGACTCGATAAAAAAAATAGACTAAGGTTTTATTTTATATATGACATGTGCGTGCATTTTAAACAGTTTTCCCTTATAAAATCTTTCGTTACGAAATAAATCGTGATTTTGATATCAATCGGAGATAAATCAAGTCTTGTGAACTATTCAAGTTATTTACTTTGGTTATCTAAGTCAGATTATACTAATATTATTTTAGATTTAAGCGAGATTTAGGTATGAGTCTATCTTTATCTTTCTAAATAAAGACAGACACTTATTTAAGTCTCGCTTAAAAACAAAATAATATGGATGCAATCAGACCTGAAAGAAATATTTTAGCTCGTCTCTTTCAATAAAACTTATTACAAGCGAATTTATAGAAATTATATAAATATAGATAACAATTAGATAACAAGTTCTCAAAAATTCAGAAATATGGACTTCTATTTAACGCAAAATTCTTTTCCATAAAAATATTTATCGATTACGCATCTATTTTGTAATTATGAATGGCGTTTAGAATAAATTAGCATAAAATATGATAGCGTTGCATTGAGGAGCTGTAAAAAATATATGGCTTATATAGAAAAATACAAATTTTTTTGTATTTCTTACGCATTTACTCGTGTTTTACCGTAGCAAAGCCTTCTAAAGATGCCGTGAACACAGAGCTAATCATTATTTTGGAACTTTTCATATTTCTGCGCATCATAAATAAAAGACATTTTTGCGTATATAATGGAGTCATGTACCATTGAATGCTGCATCTGTATGTGAAATCGATTAATTCATATCATATAATCTATTGTGTATATGATATACCTTAAATAATATAATATATTATAATAATATAATATATATTATACCTTAAATAATATAATATATTTGTATTAATTAAATTAATACAAATTAAGCCTTAATTAAATAAATATTAAATAAGTATTACTGATATCTTTCTTTTTTAATTACTCACAATTTTTTAAATATATTATTGCTGTAATCTATTATTTGTTGACCGAAATAATTGTGCAAAAACATGGTGCTAAAATGACAAGCAATGTACCCGAGCCATATGACAATCCCTTCAGTACCTGATATAATGTGCTCATAAAACTACAAAATTTTTTAAGAATTGTCACATGATATCAACAATACAATTGTTTGCTCTAAATAAAAATTTACCTGATATAGATTAATGCTTAACGTTACCACGCTTATAGGAATTAGGAACATGTAGACAATTTCATACATAGACTGCATAGAATTGAGAAATCTTAAACAGTAGTCAAATTTGAAAACTTCATGTTCTATTAACTAATGAAGAAATATTCAAAGAAATATGGATAAATTAACACTTTTTACATTAGATAAAAATATAGAGAAGAATGTAATATATAAAATATATTTCTTATTTAGTATAATAATAATTATAATAATAATAATAATAATTATTATTATTATTATATATAATTAATAATTTAATTTTTTTCTACACACACACACACACACACACACATGCGTACACATACATCTCAAATTTCTCCTTTTAAATTGATAGAATCAGCATTAATGTACATTTTAATATTAAAAATAGTTTTTTATTATAAATAATCTTTTTCATATTTTTTAAGAACTAATTTCAGAGAAAAAATTCTATAAATTGTAATACTGACTCGACAGCTCTTTGATGACTATCGATGGTTTTTGCGATGTTTTCATAAGTATCAGACTTTTTTGAAAAGCCTAATGATTTCATCCGACTTTTACTTACAATGCGTTCAATTCGGTAACTGGAAGAATTCAATTATATCATCAAGTATCGAAATCATAGAACATTGTTTTTTATAAATGCAATGTCTCGATTTTGATGCAAGATTAAATTTATTGTCACTTTTAAGATTTCACAATTACCTGGTGATTTGAAACAGTGCGGTTATATGTTGTATATACATAATACAAAGCGAATCGACAACTAGCAATACGGTAGCACCTATGAAGCCTATCAGCAACAGATAAACTATTAATAAATAAATGTACTTCTCTCGATCAATAAAGTGTTCCATCATGTTCGGTAAGTGCCATAAATGTTCGCGATTTGTGCGCGACTTGTTCAACGGTATCAGGGTGTTAAAAATGTGTGTCGAAAAAAATATTAACGTATGCAAAAATATCATCGTGTACATTATTACTGTAACAATCCAAAAAGTTTTCCTCATTTAATCTGCTCTTAATTATATGATCATTATAGTGAATATTTCGTAACTTGATTATTTATGACTCACTCATTGTAATGAATGTGTAGCGTCTCCCGCTATTAGCATGTTTGTGCATGATTTTAAGTTCCTCTTTCTCCTTTAAGGAATCCCAATCGACTCGTACTCGCTCCATAAGTTTTTTCGACTAATGGTAAAATGAAATATAAATGATCGATGTATCTTAATTGTATTTGCGGGAAAGTTTTCTGAATTTACAAAACATTGTTAGTAATTAAGTTTTATTGTTTATAAACTTACTGCATTGATTTTAAAAAATAGCAAAAAATATTTAATTATATAAATTAATGTCGGGGTAATAAACGAGAAAATGTGCAAAAAATATTCCACACTAAATTCATTAGTAATCAATGATAGCTGAAATTAGTTTTTTATTGTTAATAAAATTTGAATTAATATTTACTATATATATATATATATATATATATATATGTATATGTATATAAATTAGTAATATTTTTGTGAGTATGACATCAATATTTAATTTAAGCATTAAAATTATGTGTAAACATATGAAATCTTGTATAAATTAAGAGAATAAATAAATTAAAAATATTAAATGAAAGTATACACAATCTTGTAAGCACGCTAAAAAATAATTAAATCATCAAATGTTAAAAATACATTGTCAACTAAATTGAAAAGCATGTATTAATGATGTATTAATAATATAAAATAAATTCATGAAACGATTAAAGAAATAAATACATAGTAAATAATAGTAAATAATCTTAGACAGATTGCACCTTGTAATCTGTCTAAATAAACCTTGAATCCGTACACACTTATTAATGATTAATTATAAACGGCAAACCTGAAAAATAATACCAGATAAGAGAAAGGGAGATACAAATATGCAACGAATATAGTTCGCGCGAGTATGGTATGGCCATATTCCAAGCCATATTAATATTATTCGATGGATTCTGAAATAGTAACTTCCACCAAAATCCATATTTGTCCAATGCTATGGCGTTACTGTTCCGTTGACTGGATTTTACAGGGAAATTTTCCCTAATATCTCTTTTATTTTGTGTAATATTTTTTTATAAAACCGAAAACTATAGGTGGCATTAAATGTAATCTTCGAATAGTGAAGAATAATGTAGGAATTATCCAGAGTTTATCAATATCCTGAGTTTATCATTATATTATAAGATAATGAGAGAAAATAGCATGCGGTTTCGTAAAACGCATATAAATAATACATTCTCGTTGCTGATAAAGACATTTGATGGGAGAGAAAAGGGAAAGAGAGAGACAGAGAGAGGAAGAAATAATTTACATCATTTTTTTCTTTTTTTTCCGACGCAGGCGCTTCACAGTCGTTTTCTATCATTGGAATTGTTTGTCTTCATTCCTATATGTCTACGTGAAACTGTCGCATTAGTCATTGTAATAATATTGTATATTAAAAGCTTAGTATCTCGCAGTGCTCTTGGGAATATAATTGATAGTAATTATGATGAAGAAGATCAAATTAAAAATTAAGCAATGCTGGTAAAATATCCAATAAAATAAAACTAATAAATTACCTGCATATCGACATTAATTTTACATTTTAACAAGGAAAAGAATTTAGATTAGATCAATTGCTCTTATATTACTATATTTATACTTGCAATAAGTATATCAGAACTACTTGCATTGTGAACTTCTAAGTGTTTAGATTTAATGATTACTGTTATTTCATGGAAAGGATAACGGATCAACAGGTAGAAAAGATCACCGTAAAATATGAAATTGCCATGCTCGTAAGCTAAAACAGAAATTTTAGAAATTTTAGAAATTTCAAGCAAATGTATTTCCGACAAAAAGATTATTATAAGTGCTGAGACTCTACCGTCGCGAATCCTTCAAATGACGGGATGAACAAGCCACCAACAACGATCGTGCAATGTCGCATGCTCCTTTGCATCATAAGCAGCAGTAATTTCTGTGCTCTCAACGGAGCTAGATACCATTGTACGTTGTATCTAAATAATTTGACGTTGTATCTAAATAATTTGACGTTAAAAATCGGACGTCCTCGAAAGTTTCGATATTATCACAGAGATTTATTCTTCTCTAGCACATACGTTCTCTAGTAAACATTACTCACGTTCTGTGAAAGACATCGCTGCTGTGATTGATCACTTCTTGTCCTAAATAATTGCAGAAGAACATATACCCAAAATGGCCAATGATGAGTAGAATGCTAACAATCAGATCGTAATATTCCTCGCTCACTATCAGCTGAGAAAACTGCGAGAAAGGGCAATAATAATTTGCTTTTGCAAGGGATAAAAATGTCTTATGCATCACGGATAATGCAAATACTGTCTCTCAACACATTTAATCAAAATATAATTACTCAGTCTCGTTATCACCGGTAAGCATATATTAATAATTACTCACACGATAAAGATTAACACTTAGCGACAGCACTCCTAACGGTAGCAGTAATATATATGCCCAATAGAAATTTGCCTTCGACATTTCTACAAACCTTGAATAACAATGTAAACTGAATATAATATAAATACAAATACACACACATACACACAACACATGTGTTTAGTATTGATTCCATTTACTGACGATTCATATAAAATTTTCTAGTTATAGATAATTTCATAGATAATAATTAAAAAATTTGAACAAAAATTGCATGTTGCAAAAAAAAAGTTTTCAACCAAAAATTAATCATTAATGACAAACTTATTCGCCCTTCTGTACATATCGACCGCACTAATTATCCCTTCATGTACGATTAAATTTTTTTCAGCAGAGGATGTAACACTTTGTAGCATGTTCTTATGCAGTGCTTGTTCTATGCGGCAACTAAAATTGATAGTGTAATAAACAAAATATTTGCAAATCCTATTGATATTAATTGTTCCGTTTTTCAAACTCTGAAAGATTGTTTTACCTGGCTATTTGAAACAATCCACACGCATGTTGCGTATACGACATATAAAGTGTCTCGGTGGCTATCACTGTAGTTAAACCACAAAAAACAATCAAGAATACGTGAAATAAAAGCAGGATAAAATATTTTTCCTGATCTACAAAATATTCGAGTTTGACGGGTAACCGTCGTGAATGAGATTGATTTCTAGTCATTATGATATCCAGAAGAAAATTTGATAAAAACTGCATCATAACAAAGCTGAATATACATAGATACATAAACACTGCAATGATTAAAGAATCGTTATCGAATATAGTGTACGAAAAATCTATTTGAGATGCGGCTTACATGTCGTAGCCAATGTAATAAATCTTCCGATAGCCCAGTATTTTTTTATTATTTTGATTTCCTGAACAGTATTTAATGCATTCCAATCACGTTGCAGTTGCTCCATGAGACCTTCCGTCTAAGTTCAACGATAATATTCGACATTATTCATCAATCGAGAAAAAAATACGTTTGATATATCGTGAATATACCTACCTTTTTTATATTAAAGCAAAGAACGCTATATTTTAACGTATAACCTAACCACGGGATGCTGTATGCGAGAATTTGTAGAAGAAGATCCCAGTTATACTCTGTTGTGATGAAAGTCGTAAACTGAAAGTAATATTTTTCTACTATTTTTATTTTATTAAAATTATCAATCATTTTTCTCACTAGGATAACTTCGAAGAATAACGTAAACATTTGCAAATACGAAAACTTTAATTATTAAAATTTTAAATGATTATTTTTATTTAAAAAATGTTGTATATATGTTATTATATTATGAAAAATGTGTATTATGAAAATATGCATTATGAAAAATGTCACCTTATTTCATAATAATAATAATATATTTTACTTTATAGCGTATACTCCGTCTCTAATTTTTATATTAAATAATTGTCCACAAATAAAATTAATTAGTTAGAGACATGTATAAGATATAAAAAAAAAGAAAGTTGTCATACCTGAGCTATTACGCTCGATGAAAGTATTATAATCATAAATACTATTATAATATATCTGAGGTTAGAATTTTGATATGGCCATAAACCAACAGATGTTAACAGAATTCTATTTATCGTATAGTAATTATTTGCAGCGCAAGTCTGCCATTTCGGTACAAATGTCATGACACGTTTGTGCTGACAGTCTTTCCTCCAGTGATCCCTTAGATTCGGTATGTTCGATTGCGTATTACGATTCTTTATTTCCATGTATTTGTAATAACCGATATTGAGAGTTATTATGATAAACTAAAGATAAATTATAATTTTATCTTATCCTAGCTAAAAAATATTTATATCTATAGTAAAACATTCAAGAAACGAAACGTTATTACTTTCCATGGTATGATACACCGATTAAATATTATTTTCCTCAATATATGAATTTGTTTCTCTCTTGCGTGTTCGATCGACGCAGGCGCAATTGCAAAGTCGCATTCGCATATTTTTGATGTCTTTTCATTCTTATTCAAGACGCGAGGCATTACGGTTGCTTTTCTTATGCTGAAATAATCCAAACATATTAAAATCATATGAGGTTAATTTATGAAACATCGTTATATAATAATCATCAAAATGTTGTGATGTGTGTTTCATTAATATCGTGAAAAGTTACTTTGGATTAGATACAAAAAACCATGGATTAATAAGTTTCCATAATTGTGTGTCAATATAATTCGGTGCGTTATAATTTATTATAATATTATGTTTAGAGCTCATTATATCAAAGATTTCTGTTTAATATTATAATATTATGCAGACTTATTTGATTTTACACTCCTGATAAAGAAATAACATCATTAAGAGATAACATTAATTTTTTTAACAATATTTCTGGATTGCTAATGTTAAATATATTTTGCATTAACTATAGTTTTTTATAATAATACTTGCGCGATTAAAACACTGATTCCATCAGAGGTCATTTTTCTTTACACTGATAATAATATCAATAATAAACATAACTTGAAGATTAATTGCTTTTAATTGTATATGATTAAATTTACAATAAGAGTATATTAAAATTACTCCTATAGTGCAGATCTATGTGCTCCAACTAATGTTTTAGTGGCACGATATTAATGGACGGATTATATTATCATAAAATGAGAGCGATACGCTTGTAAAAAAGCTAAAATAGAAATATTATTCTGGACAATTTAAGACGAAATATTTGAATATATGATAAAATATTATATTAATATATATATATATATATATATATATATATATATATATACAAATTCTTCTAACGACGGAACTAACAAATTGTCTATGACAATGAAATATCCCATATTCTTTTGCATTTTAGAAGCAGCAGTAACTTCTGCGCGGAGTCATGTAGCATTGTACATTGTATCTAATCAATTTGATATTAAAAATAATAGATTCGAAAGTTTCATTGATTAATAGCTGCAAGAACTATACATGCAAGTTTGTTTATAGAACAGACTTTGGGCTTTATAGACAAGGACTACAGATAGAATAAAGTAAACGAAATAAATTTGATTTCTAAACAAACAATATATTACATAAATGTATCTTATACAGTTCTTGTGTTGATTTTCAACGAATCAAGTTATTTCGTTACCACATCTGTTATTTTGTACACGTAAAAATATTTATTCAGGAATTATCTCAAAGCCTTCTTTTATATTTCTTTAAAAAAGCAAATTTTTAATTATTTCCTTATATACAGTAATAAAATCATTAACTCAAGTGCTTTTGTATTATCTATTTATACTTGCAACTAGTATTTATATCGTGAGATTCTAGATGTTCGGACTTATTTCACGAAGAGGATAATGATCAACAGGTGGAAAAGATCACCGTGAAGTATGAAACTGACATGCTCGTAAGCTAAAAAAGAAATTATAATCCAGGAAATAAGCAAATGTGTCTTTGTCATAAAGATTACTATAAATGTTGAGATTCTAACCGTGGCAAATCCTTCAAACGACAGAACAAACAAACCACCAATGACAATCGAGGAATGCCGCATGCTCCTTTGCATCACAAGCAGCAATAATTTCTGTGCTTTCAACGGTGCTACATACCATTTCGTATTGTATCTGTATAAGTTAACAGCAGAAAACCGTTACTAAAAACTTCGAGTGCTGCAGATTTATGCTCTCTTCTAATATACATGTATTACTTACGTTCTATAAAAGATATTCCCGCTATGATCGATTACTTCCTGTCCCATATAGTTGCAGAAAAACATGTACCAAAAATGGCCAAGGACAAAAAGAATACTAATGATCAGTTCATAATATTCTTCGGATATTATCAGCTGAGAAAACTGAAAAACACAGACTATAATAATTTGCTTTCGCAAAAAATAAATATGTTTTATACATGACGAATAGTATTACGTCTCGGTATATCCGAACAAAATATGATATTGAATTAGATTCATTTTGATCAATAAGCGTATATCAATAATTACTCACACGATAAAGATTGACACTTAGCGACAGTACTCCTAATGGTAACAACGTTAAGTATCCCCATTTAAAATTTGCCTTTGACATTTCCATAAACCTTAAATAACATGATGCGAAATAAATAAATATAAATGTAAAGTACAATACATACACACATACACACACATATATCTAGTGGATCAATTATGTTTACTGACAATTCGTATAATTTCTTGCATACAATTTTTTTGTTTATATGTAATTTCGTAGGAAATAATTGAAAAATTCGAGCAAAAATCGCATTTAAAGAAAAAAAGTTTCCAATTAAAGTTAATTATTAATTATTAATTACTTGATTGCTCTTCTGTACATATGGACCGCACTGATTATTCCTTTACACACGATTAAATTTCTTTCCGCAGAAGATGTAACACTTTGTAACATTTTCGTATGCAGTGCCTGCTCTATGCGGCAACTAAAATTGATAATGTAATAAAACGATTGATAATTTATAACAAAATATTTGCAAATTCTGTTAATATCAATTGTCTCGTTTTTCAAATTCTGAAACATTGTTTCACCTGGCTATTTGAAACAATCCACATGCATGTTGCACGTACGACATAAAAAGTGTTTCAGTGGCTACCACTGTGGTTAATCCACACAAAACAATCAGGAAAACATGAAATGAAAGCGGAATAAAATATTTTTCTTGATCTAGAAAATATTCGAGCTTAACAGGTAATCGTCGGGAACGAGACTGATTTCCAGTCATTACGATATCCAGAAAAAAATTTGATAAAAACTGCACCAGAACGAAACCGAATATACATAGATAAATAAACACTGTAATGATTAAAGAATCGTTATCAAATGTAGCGCGTGAAACAACTATTCGAAATGCTTACATGTTGTAATCAATGTTATGAATCTTCCGATAGTCCAGTATCTTTTTATTATTTCCATTTCTTGCACACTGCTTAATGCATTCCAGTCACGAAACACTTGTTCCATAAGCCTTTGCATCTAAATTCAATGATAATGATTATTTATCAAGAAAGAACGTGTTTGATATGTCGCACATGTATCTACCTTCTTTACGTTCAAGCAAAGAATGTTATACTTTAACATATAAGCTAACCATGGGATACTATATGCGAGAATTTGCAGAAGAAGATCAGTGTTATATTCTGTTGTGATAAAAGTCGTAAACTGAAAATGATATTTCTCTCGAATTTTTGGTTTTACGTTAAAGTTGTAGATTACTTTCTCGATAGAATAATACATAAACATACATACATACAAATATGAAAATTTTTACAACTAAAATTTTAGATTATATTTTATTAAAAAAATATTTATATAATCATATTTATATAATCATATTTATATACATATTATTGTAACATATACAAAGAATATGTTATCCGTTTCACATAATAATAGTGGTATTCCACCTTATAGTATACACCGTTTCTAATTTTTATATTAAATAATAGTCCACAGAAAAAAATAATTAATTAGAAAATTAATTATAAAATATATATAAGCTATAAGAAAGCAAAGATTATCATACTTGAAATATTACGCTCGACATAAGTATTGCGGTCATAAATACTATTACGATATGTCTGAAACTAGAATTCTGATACGGCCATAAACCAATACATATTAGCAGAAATCTATTAATCCTATAGTAACTATTCGCTGCGCAATCCTGCCATTTTGGTACAAATGTCGTGACACGTTTGTGCTGACATTCTATTCTCCAGTGATCTCTTAAATTCGACATGTTCGATTACGTATTACAATTCTCTTATAGCTTATTCGAAATAACGTGCGAATTATTAGGATAAACTATAGGTGAATAATTTTATGTTATATCCTGCTAATGTCTATATCTACGATAAAATTTAGAATTTTATGCCAAAGACGAATTATTACTCTCATTGGCATAATAAACCGATGTACATTATTTTCTTCAGCATGTGTGCATTTGACGTCTCCCCTCTCAACACGTGTTCGATCGACGCAAGCGCAAATGGGAAGTCGCATTCACATATTTTTGATGTCTCTTCATTCATATTCGAGACATGAGACGTTACGGTTGCTTTTTTCGCGGTGCTTAAATAATGCTAACATATGTCATATGTGATTAATTATGTGAAGAAATATCGCTGATAATCGTTGAAAAATTGCAGATGTATGTGTTTGGTGAATATCGTGATAAGCAATTTTGGATTAGATCGAAAAGTCAAGGGATTAGTAAGTTTTCGTAATTGTATTATCAATGTTATTCGTTGTGTTGTAATAAAATGTTACGTACAGCTCATAATATCAAAAATTTCTATTTAATAATTTAAAAATTTATATCTATAAAAGTATTTTATTGTTAAACAGTTAAATCTTCAGAATATATATGTTGTACCGAAAATTATGTATTTATTGATTTTATACTTCTAGCAAAAAAACAATATTATTAAGAGATAATGTTTATTTTTTAGCAATAATTTTAATTGCTAATGTTATATATGTTTTAACAATGCATTAATGATGCATTAATTCTTATAATGATACTCGTGCGTGTAGATGAGTTCGCACGTGAGAAATACAGACTTTGTATTGGGTACGGTACTATTCGATTAAGACATTTATTATCAGTATTATCAGATTTATTAGTAAGTCAATAAGTGTGCGTTAATAATTACTCACTATAGAGATTGGTGCCTAAATGCCTAATGACAGCAAGCTCCTTAATAAAAAGAAATATTTTCTTAAAATTCGACATTTCTATGAATCATAAAGAACGATGTGCATAAAATGAATATAAATATTTACATTGACAATTATATGTACTGACATTCACATGATTTCTTGTGCAAGAAATTTTATATTAGATGTTGGTATAAAATAACTTGAGTGATTTGATGTGAAATATATAACAGGACTATATAATAAAATTAATCTTTTTGATTAAATTATTGATCCGAGTTATGAACACTACACTTTTTTTCTGAATAGCAGTTCTGCATATTTCAATCAAATAATTAGTAATTACTTCACATTTCTTTTATCACATTCAAATAGTATTTGTTTATTATAAGTAAATCATCAATGTATATACAGAATGATTTACTTTTATATATGTAAACTAGTATAATACATGTAGTAATGATAATAAATAAATAATATTTTGATAAATACTAATATTACTGAATATTTAGTCCAATTGCCTAAAAATATTATATAGATAAAAAGCATAGTTTTACTTTGTTAGAAGCATACACATATACATCTACTTATTACGAAATATATTTATATTATATATTTCTTTATATATTTGATATATTTATATATTTTTTAAACAATATAATTTATTAATAACAAAACGATATAATTTGTTGTATATTTAAAATAATAATTGTAAAGAAAGATGTGTGCTGCTCACTTATTTTTAAGGAAGACACACATACACACACAAAGAGAGGAAGAAAGAAAGGAAACGGAAAAAAAGGAAAAAAGAGAAAGAGTAAAGAGAGAGGGGGCGGGTAGGGGATAGGGAGGGAGGGAGGAAAAAATAGGGGGAGGAGAAAGGGTGGGAGAGAAAGTGAGAATGAAGAAATTAAAAATTGAATGCAATTGAAAACGAATTATTTTCTATTTTGTTTCAAGATATACTAAAACAAGAATGTTATAATAAAAACTTACTTTCAAAAGAAAGTGGCAAATACATGAATCTGTTGAGAAAAATGAGTATTATCATAAAAAATTATTATAAAATGATGCATAATAGTTATATGAATTTTCGATATTTAATTTTTTGATAAATTTGGACATTGTAATATTATTGCTTTCGTAAAAAAAATTGAAATAAATATTTTATTATTTGTTAAAATGTTAAGATATTACTATTTGAAAAAGAATAAATTAGCATAAGTTTTGATTCCTAATTGGTTCCATTTTTATATCATTAATTTTTTAGTAGAATATTTAATAAACTATTTTGCACGATAACTTCTTTTTAATATAATAATTTGTCTTTAAACTAAAATAACATGTATAAAATAACTTGTTTTATACAAATTATAATAACAATAAATACAAAAAGAAACTATTATAATTTACAAAGCATTTTATATGCTATATTATAACAGTTTTTTTATGGTAATATATATTTTTCATAAATGATATTTATGCTTTTTTTTCTTTTTTTAAAAAAGTATGTGTTTAGTTATTATGTATACTACAATAAATGCTTTATTAGATCAATTACTTTTGTATTATTCTATTTATAACAAGTCTATTTGTAACAAGTATATCAACTACTTGCATTGATGTTTTTATATTCGGACTTATTTCATGGGAAGGAAAATGATCAACGAGTGGAAAAGATCACCGTGAAGTATGAAACTGACATGCTCGTAAGCTAAAAAAGAAATTTTAATCCAGGAAATAAGCAAATCTCTTTGCCATAAAGATTACTTTATTTTGCTGAGACTTTACCGTGGCGAATCCTTCGAACGACGGAATGTACAAACCACCAAGGACGAGTGGAGAATGACGCATGCTCCTTTGCATCACAAGCAACAATAATTTCTGCGCTTTTAACGGTGCTGCGTACCATTCCGTGTTGTATCTATACAAGTTATCGGCAGAAAATCATAACTAAAAATTTCGAGTGCTGCAGATTTACGCTCTTTTCTAATATACATATGTTACTCACGTTCTATAAAAGATATTCCCGCTATGATCGATTACTTCCTGACCCAAATAGTTGCAGAAGAACACGTACCAAAAATGGCCAAGGATAAAAAGAGTACTAATGATCAGTTCATAATATTCATCAGATATTATCAGCTGAGAAAACTATGAAAAACACGGGTTATAATAATTTGCTTTCACAAGAAATAGATGTTTTACATATCACGAATAGTACTGTGTTTCGATATAGCTCAAAAAATAATACATGAATTAGATAATTATGATCAATAAACGTGTATCAATAATTACATACACGATAAAAATTGACACTTAGCGACAGAACTCCTAACGGTAACAATGTTAAATATCCCCATTTAAAATTTGCCTTTGACATTTCCATAAACCTTAAATAACATGATGCGAAATAAATAAATATAAATGTAAAGTACATACACACATACACACACATATATCTAGTGGATCAATTATGTTTACTGACAATTCGTATAATTTCTTGCATACAATTTTTTTGTTTATATGTAATTTCGTAGGAAATAATTGAAAAATTCGAGCAAAAATCGCATTTTATAAAAAAAAAAGTTTTCAATTAAAGTTAATTATTAATTACTTGATTGCTCTTCTGTGCATATGGACCGCACTGATTATTCCTTTACACACGATTAAATTTCTTTCCGCAGAGGATGTAACACTTTGTAACATTTTCGTATGCAGTGCCTGCTCTATGCGGCAACTAAAATTAATAATGTAATAAAACGATTGATAATTTATAACAAAATATTTGCAAATTCTGTTAATATCAATTGTCTCGTTTTTCAAATTCTGAAACATTGTTTCACCTGGCTATTTGAAACAATCCACATGCATGTTGCGCGTACGACATAAAAAGTGTTTCAGTGGCTACCACTGTGGTTAATCCACACAAAACAGTCAGGAAAACGTGAAATGAAAGCGGAATAAAATATTTTTCTTGATCTAGAAAATATTCGAGCTTAACAGGTAATCGTCGGGAATGAGACTGATTTCCAATCATTACGATATCCAAAAAAAAATTTGATAAAAACTGCACCAGAACGAAACCGAATATACATAGATAAATAAACACTGTAATGATTAAAGAATCGTTATCAAATGTAGCGCGTGAAACAACTATTCGAAATGCTTACATGTTGTAATCAATGTTATGAATCTTCCGATAGTCCAGTATCTTTTTATTATTTCCATTTCTTGCACGCTGCTTAATGCATTCCAGTCACGAAACACTTGTTCCATAAGCCCTTGCATCTAAATTCAATGATAATTTCAATGATTATTTATCAAGAAAGAACGTGTTTGATATGTCGCGCATGTATCTACCTTCTTTACGTTTAAGCAAAGAATGTTATACTTTAACATATAAGCTAACCATGGGATACTATATGCGAGAATTTGCAGAAGAAGATCAGTGTTATATTCTGTTGTGATAAAAGTCGTAAGCTGAAAATGATATTTCTCTCGAATTTTTGGTTTTACGTTAAAGTTGTAGATTATTTTCTCGATAGAATAATACATAAACATACATACATATAAATATGAAAATTTTTACTACTAAAATTTTAGATTATATTTTATTAAAAAAATATTTATATAATCACATTTATATATTTATTATTGTAACATTTACAAAGAATATGTTATTCGTTTCACATAATAATAGTGGTATATTCCACCTTATAGTATACACCGTTTCTAATTTTTATATTAAATAATAGTCCACAGAAAAAAATAATTAATTAGAAAATTAATTATAAAATATATATAAGCTATAAGAAAGCAGAGATTATCATACTTGAAATATTACGCTCGACATAAGTATTGCGGTCATAAATACTATTACGATATGTCTGAAACTAGAATTCTGATACGGCCATAAACCAACACATATTAGCAGAATTCTATTAATCCTATAGTAACTATTCGCTGCGCAATCCTGCCATTTCGGTATAAATGTCGTGACACGTTTGTGCTGACATTCATTTCTCAAGTGATCTTTTAAATTCGACATGTTCGATTATATATTACAATTCTCTCATAGCTTATCCGAAATAACGTGCAAATTGTTAGGATAAACTAAAGGTGAAATATCATTTTATCTTATATCCTGCTAATGTATATATCTATGATAAAATTTAGAATTTTAAAAGACGGATTATTACTCTCATTAGCATAATAAACCAATTGTACATTATTTTCTTCAGCATGTGCATTTGACGTTTCCCCTCTCAACACGTATTCGATCGACGCAAGCGCAAATGCGAAGTCGCATTCACATATTTTTGATGTCTCTTCATTCATATTCGAGACATGAGACGTTACGGTTGTTTTTCTCGCGGTGCTTAAATAATGCTAACATATTAATGTCATATGTGATTAATTATGTGAAGAAATATCGCTGATAATTGTCGAAAAATTGCAGATGTATGTGTTTAGTAAATTCATTCACAATTTCCTCTCCTTTTGTTTCTTCTATTTTAAAATAAGAAGCTTTTTTTGCATTTCAACATTATTTTTAATGACATTAGTGGAATAAATGGGAATGTAGAAACTACAATTACCTAATAAAACAAAAAGAAGTATACGGTAAATACTAATTTACTGCGATAGATATAAAACTAGTTACAAATTGTAAAGAAAGAACCTCTTTCTCGTTTCTCATTTTATATATATTTTCTTTTTATATATTTTTTTTACATTATACTTTTTTTGACACTTAAGTGAATTAATTGTTTTCTGAATAAGTCGAATTCCTATCACGTCTTATCTTTTCATTTGTTTGTAAATTCAAATAGAAGTTCGGCTGCCATTTTACTGATACTATTATATATATATATATATATATATATATATATATATATATATATATATATTTTTTTTTTCTTTTCTCTAAAAGAAGTTTCATATTCTATATATAAAAATTTTATGTACTATATTTTATGTTTGAATTGATTCTCTGATATTTCTTAAAATTAATAAATATAGAAATTTTTTGATGGTTCATTGTTTTTTTTAGGCCAGAAATATTTTTAAATAATTCTTGATACGTATTACAATTCAAATTTATCGAAGACAAATATCTGTTGAAAATCTCTTAAATTTTTTCTATATCTACAGAGAAAACAAAGATCGAACAATAGTAATATTACATATAGCAAAAAATAAATAAATAAAAAATAAATAAATTATGATTTATAAAATTAAAAATTATTTTGTGTGACAAGCAGTATATTTAATATAATCATGCTACATAGTGAATTCAAGATGTCGATTTAACTATTCAAACAAGTGAATCATAATTCTCTTGTCACTTGTAATTTTGCATTTCGATTAGCCTTGTAGGTTTTGAGAAGAATTTTCGTCTCTGTGATAATTATGCAGATTTTATCCATAGAAATCTTAACTTTGTATTGACCAAAAAACTGTGAAGTAAGACATAGAGATGCTCACAAGCTAAAATATGAAATGTTAAATCAATGTACATTTCCTATTATTATTATTATTATTATTATTATTATTATTATTATCATTATTATTATCATTATTATTTATTATTATTATTAATTAATGAAATTTATTAAATTTTACAATGTCACAAATAATGAATATAGATAGCAAATTTAATATATCCTTCACGTCGATTGCAACTTGATAAAATAAAATATATCATAATAAATATTTACTCATTTAAATAAATAAATAGAATTGTTTTACATATAACATTCCATATATATATATATATATATATATATATATATATATTCTTTTTTACATTTAATCTATATATATGTTATACTTATTAATAATAATTTTAACATTTTTTAATACATATTTTTCGTATATATTGCTTACCGAAGCGAAGCGTTCAAGTGATACGTCAATTAAGCCAAGTATTATAAATTTATTGCCTTTTATGCTTCGTTGCATTATGAATTGGAGCATTTTTTGACATCGAATAGAGACAGTATTCCAAGGCAATTCGCATCTAAAAACGAAATAATGATATTTGATAATAATATTGGATGTAATATTTGACTTTTATTTTTTTATACGGTTTTTTTATATAAAACACATCATTTAATACAAGTTAACTTAATTCAATTAAATAAAATGAACAATAAGACTTACAAGTCTAATCAATATGCAATATAAAATAATATTTTCAAATAATTATATTATAAGATTTTCACGTCATCTATTTATTATTTATTCACATGGTTTTTGTTAATTTTAAAACGTTGCTTGTTATCGATAACATAAAATTGATATTGCAGTAAGCCCTATAATAGCGAAATACTGCTAAATAATAAAATATTTTGATTTAATGATATTTACGTTTTATAGAATATTTCGTCACTGCAATTTGTTAATCTCTGTGCAAAAAAATTATATATAAACATATAAATAAATTGGCAGATGATAAATAATCCAATTGCAAATAACTCTTCCATTTTTTTCTTCAACCCTGCTAAACAAAGCTGATGCATGCGAAAAAATATTTTAAATCATAAAATCAAAATATTAATTTACTACATTATATCCGTTAATATATTTTACAATAAAAATAGTATATCAATAGAGAAGAAATGCACAAATTCTTTAAGTCAGAATTCTTTAAGTCAGAAGATGTTCTTTATCATTATATTCAACAAATTTTTGTTGAATATAATGATAAAGAACATCTTCTGACCTAAAGAATTTGTGCATTTCTTCTTTATTGATATACTATTTTTATTTTTATATTTAATTTTAATAATATGTTGCAGTAATTAATTCAGCACGTATCATTTACAATTAATATAATACTCACACGAAACAGATTAATGCTTAAAGAACACACACCTAATATAAGTAATATGAAATAAGATACCTCGAAGTGGCAGTTAAGAAATTTGAAAAACCTTCAACAAGATTCTAGCATTAGCTTTAATGAATTGCACATTAATTGTGTATTGTTTATCTTTCAATTGTTTCATTAAAATCTAATTCGAAATTTCTTTCTGTACTGATTATAAGTTTTTTTACTATAATTAATCGTAAAATATCAATGATATATATAGCTACGCACTTGATAGCTCGATTATGAGTAGTTATCGCATTGATTATATTAGTATAATACATCGCGTTTTTCTCCATCGCAGAGATATGTATTTCGCAATCAAACGCATGCTCTATGCGAAAACTGCAGGAATAAAACATGCATATTAATAATTATATGTAATGTAAAAATATAATGAAAGATATGCTCCTATACCATAATATAAGATTAACAAAAATTTAATTATAACGTTTTCTTAAGTTTCCTATTCCAGTTGCCAATTCAATCTTTGCGGATAAGTTTTATTAAATTTTTCTATTTCGATTCGTTACCTGGCAATTTTAAATAGAGCACAAGCATGTTGCGTAATTATCAAGAACACTGTTTCCGTAGCTATTATTATAGTTATTTCTACTGAAAGCGCCACTGTCATATGTAGAAATATTGGAACGAAATATTTTTCTTGATCGAAGAAAAATGTGGCTATAGCCAAAAGTTCGTAGGAACGCGATTCGTTTAAGGGCGCCACTATGTCAAGGAATTTTGGTAAAATTTGCATTATTATGAACATATATACGCATAAATAGAAGAATGCTGAAAAAATAATTTAAATCAAAGATAATAATTATATATCAGTAAAATGCAGAAAAAAATAATAATATAATAAGAAATATGCGCAAAAACATACGTAAAAAAATTGAAAAATAATTGACATTGTTTCTTCCAATTAGAATTTTATTTAAAAAAATGTAGTATTCATTTAAATGTAGTATTCAGTATACAGTAAAGATTATTTTTTACTTGCTATGGTAATTGTCATTAAATATCCGATCTTGGTGTATTGCTGTAAGATTTTTAATTCCTCTATGCATTTTGTTGTATTCCAATGATATATTATTTGCTCATATATTTTTTTTATCTACCATTATCAATAATTCATGATATTATATGTTATTTTTATATTCCTTATTTGTTAAGTAAAATAGTAAATGAATAGTAAATGAACGGAAATAATTAAATAAAATATTAATTTTAAATTTTGATTAGAATATTTATGTATTATGATTATTTCAACTTTTCAATAAATATAATAAATTAATCTAACTTACAGCTTTATATTTTACACAAAATGTAGCATATTTCAAAGAGAACACTAAACAAGGTATAGCGAATGATAAGATTTGAAGAAGAGATTCCAAATTAAATACGCTTGTCATGATCTTTCCTAACTGAAAAAAAAAATATATATGTGTGTGTGTGTGTATATATATATATATATATATATATATATATATATATATATAGTTTTTATTAATCGTTTTCAACAATAATTTTATCATATACATGTATATATTTATTATTATATCTTATTATTATATCAACACTATATATGCTATATTTAAAAAAAACTATATACATTTTGTAAAATTAAAAAGCACAAATTTTTGCATTTTCTCAATTCGCATTTCATACAATTTCGCTTATAACATTAATATTATAAATTTACTCAAAAATTATCACTATTTCATTATATCTATTTCGTTTGCACAAATGCAAATAAATTTCATTCGTTTATTTTCATTGGGCTATTCAAACAGTTCTTAAAATTAAAAATAGGAAGAAGTGAGAAAAAAATACCTGCACAAATATGGAAAATGCGAGTAGTAGAATGAAAAATACTCTCTGAATATTTTTGAACATTGAGTTATTATACGGCCATAGACCGAGTGCGATTAATAAATTTTGACTTAACTTATAGTAGCGCTTGCCAGCAAATTCCATTTTTTCACGAAGGCTGAAACACGACTGCGCTGGAAAATACTGTGGTAGCCCTGACTTCTATTCTCCGTCATATTTTATTAAAGATCGCTTATAGAGTTCAGAGAGTTTTTCACGCTTTTCTTGGGTTATTATGTGAAAAATTTTGTGGGAATAACAGATAGTAATAAAGGTTTATCTACCGGACGAGAGGAAAAGGTCGATAACAAGCGAATCGATACACTTTACTTCCGCAATGTAATTTTCGTAATTGTCGAAAATACCAATGATGAAGTAAATATCACTCTGTAAAGTGTGCAAGTATAATGATACTATATTGAAAGGGAAGAATTGTTTTCCTGTAAAAGTTAACACACTTTCATTATTTTATAATAACAATTCTCAGTCTGTTCGAGACCTTACTTGAACAAAATGAGTTATCTTCTCTATATAAAGAATGCAAATAATATTCCATTTGACCAAAATTGAATAAAAGAGAGACTGAGCTCCTAGAAACTAATGAGAGAGAAAAAGAGATCAACATGAAATGGAGTATGATTTTAATGGAAATTTTCAAAATAATATTTTAAATAATATTTCAAAATAATTATTTTTTTGCAATAATTCATGCATGTTATTTTTAGTTCATTGATTTCTTTTTCTATACAAACTATTAAACAATTAAACTTTTAATTTGTATTATCATGTATTTATATGCGTATGATTTTTCTGTATATATATAATTTTTTTTTAAGTAAACATAGATAAAAAAGAAAAAAACAATATTTCCTATATTTGTCATAAATTTTTTACTTTAAGAAAAAAGAAAAAAGGAAAACAGCAAATCCAAAACTTTTGGTTAATCTATTTTTCTTTATTATACAAACAAGTAAATTGTTAAAATTAAAGTGATTTATTATCTATTAAGGAAAAATGTGACATAATTAATAATATTACAGTATATATTTAAAAGATTCGCAAAATAAGAAATGTTAGGGAATTTAAGATTGGCAATAAGACGATCGAGACATATATCTTTTTAATCAAATGTTTAATCAAGTTTTTTATTAAAATACGTAATTTAAATTAATATAATTTCATTATCATTAGATCGAGTACAAAACAGTGAAAAAAGAAAACAATAATTACTCTCAATGGTATAATAAACCAATTGTACATTATTTTCTTCAGCATGTGCATTTGACGTCTCCCCTCTCAACACGTATTCGATCGACGCAAGCGCAAATGCGAAGTCGCATTCACATATTTTTGATGTCTCTTCATTCGTATTCGAGACATGAGACGTTACGGTTGCTTCTCTCGCGGTGCTTAAATAATGCTAACATATGTCATATGTGATTAATTATGTGAAGAAATATCACTGATAATCGTCGAAAAATTGCAGATGTATGTGTTTGGTGAATATCGTGATAAGCAATTTTGGATTAGATCTAAAAGCCAAGGGATTAGTAAGTTCTCGTAATTGTATATCATTGTTATTTGTTGTGTTGTAATGTAATATTACATATAGCTCACAATATCAAAAATTTCTATTTAATAATATTAATTCTATTATAGTATTTTGTTGTGAAAGAGTTAAAAATCTTCAGAGAATATATATGTTGTATCAAAAATTATGCATTTACTGATTTTACGCTTCTAGCAAAAAAACAATATTACTAAGAGATAGTGTGTATTTTTTAGCAATAATTTTAATTGTTAATGTTATATGTTTTAACGATGCATTAACGATGTTTTAACGATGCATTCTTATCAGATTTGTTAGTAAATCAGTACGTGTGCATCAATAATTACTCACGATAGAGATTGGTGCCTAAATGCCTAATGACAGCAAGCTCATTAATAGAAAGAAATATTATCTTAAGATTCGACATTTCTATAAATCATAAAGAACGATGTGTATAAAATGAATATGAATATTTACGTTGATAGTTGTATTGATATGGTATATTGTATACTATATTTTATGTTTGAATTGATTCTCTGATATTTCTTAAAATTAATAAATATAAAAATTTTTTGATAGTTCATTGTTTTTTTAGGCCACAAATATTTTTAAATAATTCTTGATGTGTATTACAATTAAAATTTATCGAAGACAAATATCTGTTGAAATTCTCTTAAATTTTTTCTATATCTACAGAGAAAACAAAGATTGAACAATAGTAATATTATATATGGCAAAAAATAAATAAATAAAAAATAAATAAATTATGATTTATAAAATTAAAAAATACTGTTTAAAAATTATGATTTATAAAATTAAAAATTATTTTGTGTGACAAGCAGTATATTTAATATAATCATGCTACATAGTGAATTCTAAGATGTCGATTTAACTATTTAAACAAATAAATCATAATTCTCTTGTTACTTGTAATTTTGCATTTCGATTAGCCTTGTAGGTTTTGAGAAGAATTTTCGTCTCTGTGATAATTATGCAAATTATCCATAGAAATCTTAACTTTGTATTGACCAAAAAACTGTGAAGTAAGACATAGAGATGCTCACAAGCTAAAATATGAAATGTTAAATCAATGTACATTTCCTATTATTATTATTATTATTATTATTATTATTATCATTATTATTATTATTAATTAATGAAATTTATTAAATTTTACAATGTCACAAATAATGAATATAGATAGCAAATTTAATGTATCGTTCACGTCGATTGCAATTTGATAAAATAAAATATATCATATAATAAATATTTACTCATTTAACTAAATAACATTCCATATATATATATAATGTATAAAAAAAAATATATACAGGGTGAGTCATTTTAAGTGACGGACTAAAATTTCTCGAAAACTATAGGAGATACAGAAAAATGTTTCAGACAAAAGTTGTATGGTTTCAAGGGGAACATAAGATGGTACCATTGGTTTGACCATGAAGAGTTATTTGAAGGTCACATGAAGGTCACCTTCAATTTCTTAAGTGGAATCTACATTTTCTCTTTACATATTCTTGTAGCTTATCTCGAGAGCTTTCCAAAACACTACAATTAAGTACCTTTTCGTTAAGTACTTTTTGAGTTATAAGGCTTGAAATCATTTCTTAATTTTACATAAATCATAAAATATCTTGTAAAATATTCATTTTTCGATTATCTTATATTACTACTTTTATGTACAAAATAATGAGAGGAATCAATTGGTGTAAAGAAAACATACAGTTGTTTTTAAGAAAAAATATGTAATTGTTAATTGCAAATTACATATTTTTTCTTAGAAACAACTATGTGTTTTTTGGAAAGCTCTCGAGATAAGCTACAAGAATATGTAAAGAGAAAATGTAGATTCCACTTAAGAAATTGAAGGTGACCTTCATGTGACCTTCAAATAACTCTTCAAGGTCAAACCAATGGTACCATCTTATGTCCCCCTTGAAACCATACAACTTTTGTCTGAAACATTTTTCTGTATCTCCTATAGTTTTCGAGAAATTTTAGTCCGTCACTTAAAATGACTCACCCTGTATACAGGGTCTACCAAAAGTGTGGAAACCCCTAAATATCTCGGAAAATATACGTTTTACAGAAAAGTGTTTCCAACAAAAGTTGTAGGGTTTAGGAAGATCTATATACTGATTCTATCAGTTTGACCTTGGATGGCGTCGTCAAGGTCAGGTCAAGGTCACATTGACTTTTTTAAATGACACCCCCTACATTTGATTGCATATTCTTATAGCTTAATTCAAGAGCTTTCCAAAACACTATAATAATGTTCATTTTTATTAAGTACTTTGCGAGTTATGAGGGTTGAATGATAGAGTAGCGCCGGTATTAACATTATCCAAGGTGTACTACATGGAGGTTACTCGCTCGGATTTGCATCTGTTGTGTGTGTGATCCAGCTAACTAAGGCAAGATCGATTCCTCAACATATCCTCATATTTCGCTGAAGTCAAATTGCCAAAAAATTGCTCCATAAAACGTGTATGAAACGTCTCGTTAGTTCCTTCATTTACCGCTATGTGACGCACTACATGCAGTCTAACTCGCATTTAAAATTCAACTAAGAATGTATAAAGCTATCAAAGAACGAGCACCTTCTAACTTCAGCTTTGAGCAAGCAGAAATTAATTGTTATCGTCCAAATACAACGTACGATTAATTAAAATTAAACGTTTTAAAAATGGCTGGCGACTTGTCGGAACGTGAAAGAATCACTATCCTCATGATGCGTGGATGGGGTGATAACGAAAGATCGTTCTCTGATGTCGTTCGATTATTTAATGACACGTATCCGAACCGTCGAATTAATAAGTCCACTGTGTTAAAAACAATAGAACGTTTTAGACAAACTGGTAGCGTAAGAAATCGCTCTAAGTCAGGAAGACCATTGTCTGCAACCAACGAAGAAAAACAACTTGATGTTCTGCAGACATTTATTGAAGATCCCAATTCTAGTGTTCAGAGAGTCGCTCAAACTCACGATATTGCTCCCATGTCGGTTTGGAGAATTTTAAAGAAGAACAAGTTCCATCCATATAAATTGCAATACGTTCAAGAATTGCAAAACGGAGATGAGGAGCGTCGTATACATTTCTGTGAAAGAATGATGGCACTAATAGATGTCCGGCCCATCTTCCCTTATCAAATTGTTTTCACAGACGAGGCAACTTTTACCTTAACGGGAGAAGTTAATAATCAAAATTTTCGTTTCTGGTCAGATGAGAATCCGAATTGGGTGCGGGAAACTCACACACAACATCCACAAAAAATAAATGTATGGTGCGGAATAATAGATGGCTATTTAATAGGGCCGTTTTTTTTTGAAGAATATTTGAACGCTCAAAGGTATGAGAGATTACTTGTTGATCAAATAATTCCAGCCATACAGAATACTTTTCCAAATAATTTCCAAGAAATATGGTTTCAGCATGATGGAGCTCCTGCTCATTTTGGTGCAGGACCACGTCGTATTTTAAATGAGACTTTTCCGCTACGGTGGATAGGAAGAAGGAACGGAAATGAGGGAGGAGAGGATTGGCCACCTCGGTCACCAGATCTAACTCCTCTTGATTATTATCTATGGGGATATCTGAAGAGTAAGGTTTACAGAACAAAACCTAAAACCATTCACGAATTGATACAGCGAATAAGGGATGAAATGGCTTTGATACCTTTTGAAACGAATCGTAAAGTCATTTCTACATTCTACCAAAGATTAGCATATTGTCAGGAAGTAAATGGCAGCCACTTTCAGCATTTACTTTAACACATTGAAACACATTTGCAATCGTTTGGTGCAACCTAACCTGATCTCTGTATACACGCACCGCACGCACGCACACGCACACATTTCGAACAATTATTATGATAAATGAGCATCCACAAATTTATTTACTGTTTACTATGTCGATTGCTTTCCAGGTCTTTAAATGCTCGATTGTAATTTGGTTGGGTCTTTGCTTTTGCTGACTGGATCCACGACCGATCTTGCCTTAGTTAGCTGGATCACACACACAACAGATGCAAATCCGAGCGAGTAACCTCCATGTAGTACACCTTGGATAATGTTAATACCGGCGCTACTCTATCATTCAACCCTCATAACTCGCAAAGTACTTAATAAAAATGAACATTATTATAGTGTTTTGGAAAGCTCTTGAATTAAGCTATAAGAATATGCAATCAAATGTAGGGGGTGTCATTTAAAAAAGTCAATGTGACCTTGACCTAACCTTGACGACGCCATCCAAGGTCAAACTGATAGAATCAGTATATAGATCTTCTTAAACCCTACAACTTTTGTTGGAAACACTTTTCTGTAAAACGTATATTTTCCGAGATATTTAGGGGTTTCCACACTTTTGGTAGACCCTGTATATACTCGTATATATATATATATATATATATTCCTTTTAACATTTAATCTATATATATATATATATATATATATATATATATATATATGTTATACTTATTAATAATAATTTTAACATTTTTTAATACATATTTTTCGTATATATTGCTTACCGAAGCGAAGCGTTCAAGTGAAGCGTCAATTAAGCCGAATATTATAAATTTATTGCCTTTTATGCTTCGTTGCATTATGAATTGGAGCATTTTTTGACATCGAATAGAGACAGTATACCAAGGCAATTCGCATCTAAAAATGAAATAATGATATTTGATAATAATATTGGATGTAATATTTGGTTTTTATTTTTTCTCATCTATTTATTATTTATTCACATTCATTTGGTTTTTGTTAATTTTAAAATGTTGCTTGTTATCGATAACATAAAATTAATACTACAGTAAGCCTTATAATAGCGAAATACTGCTAAATAATAAAATAATCTGATTTAATGGTATTTACGTTTTATAGAATATTTCGTCACTGCAATTTGTTAATCTCTGTGCCAAAAAATTATATATAAACATATAAATAAATTGGCAGATGATAAATAATCCAATTGCAAATAACTCTTCCATTTTTTTCTTCAACCCTGCTAAACAAAGCTGATGCATGCAAAAAAATATTAAATTAAATAAAAAAAATATTAAATTAAATATTAAATATTAAATATTAAATCATAAAATCAAAATATTAATTTTCTACATTATATCCGTTAATATATTTTACAATAAAAATAGTATTTCAATAGAGAAATGCACAAATTCTTTAAGTCAGAAGATGTTCTTTATCATTACATTCAATAAATTTTTATATTTAATTTTAATAATATGTTGCAGTAATTAATTCAGCACGTATCATTTACAATTAATATAATACTCACACGAAACAGATTAATGCTTACAGAACACACACCTAATATAAGTAATATGAAATAAGATACTTCGAAGTGGCAGTTAAGAAATTCGAAAAACCTTCAACAAGATTCTAGCATTAGCTTTAATGAATTGCACATTAATTGTGTATTGTTTATTGTTTTTCGATTATTTCATTAAAATCTAATTCGAAATTTCTTTCTGTACTTATTATAAGTCTTTTTACTATAATTAATCGTAAAATATATATGATATATATAGCTACGCACTTGATAGCTCGATTATGAGTGGTTATCGCATTGATTATATTAGTGTAATACGTCGCGTTTTTCTCCATCGCAGATATGTGTATTTCGCAATCAAATGCATGTTCTATGCGAAAACTGCAGGAATAAAACATTCACATTAACGTTTTCTTAAGTTTCCTATTCCAGTTGCCAATTCAATCTTTGCGGGTAAATTTTATTAAATTTTTCTATTTCGATTCGTTACCTGGCAATTTTAAATAGAGCACAAGCATGTTGCGTACTTATCAAGCACATTGTATCGGTGGCTACTATTATAGTTATTTCTACTGAAAGCGCCACTGTCATATGCAGAAATATTGGAACGAAATATTTTTCTTGATCGAAGAAAAATGTGGCTATAGCAAAAAGTTCGTAGGAACGCGATTCGTTTAAGGGCGCCACTATGTCAAGGAATTTTGGTAAAATTTGCATTATTATGAACATATATACGCATAAATAGAAGAATGCTGAAAAAAATCATTTAAATCAAAGATAATAATTATATATCAGTAAAATGCAGAAAAAAATAATAATATAATAAGAAATATGCGCAAAAACATACGTAAAAAAATTGAAAAATAATTGACATTGTTTCTTCCAATTAGAATTTTATTTAAAAAAATGTAGTATTCATTTAAATGTAGTATTCAGTATACAGTAAAGATTATTTTTTACTTGCTATGGTAATTGTCATTAAATATCCGATCTTGGTGTATTGCTGTAAGATTTTTAATTCCTCTATGCATTTTGTTGTATTCCAATGATATATTATTTGCTCATATATTTTTTTTATCTACCATTATCAATAATTCATGATATTATATGTTATTTTTATATTCCTTATTTGTTAAGTAAAATAGTAAATGAATAGTAAATGAACGGAAATAATTAAATAAAATATTAATTTTAAATTTTGATTAGAATATTTATGTATATTATGATTACTTCAACCTTTCAATAAATATAATAAATTAACCTAACTTACAGCTTTATATTTTACACAAAATGTAGCATATTTCAGAGAGAACACTAAACAAGGTATAGCGAATGATAAGACTTGAAGAAGAGATTCTAAATTAAATATGCTTGTCATGATCTTTCCTAACTGAAAAAAAATATATATGTATGTGTATGTATATATATATATAGTTTTTATTAATCGTTTTCAACAATAATTTTATCATATACATGTATATATCTATTATTACATCTTATTATCTTATTATTATATCAACACCATATATGCTATATTAAAAAAAAACTATATACATTTTGTAAAATTAAAAAGAAGGACAAATTTTTGCATTTTCTCAATTCGCATTACATACAATTTCGCTTATAACATTAATATTATAAATTTATTCAAAAAATTATCACTATTTCATTATATCTATTTGCACAAATGCAAATAAATTTCATTCGTTTATTTTCATTGGGCTATTCAAACAGTTTTTAAAATTAAAAATAGGAAGATGTGAGAAAAAAATACCTGCACACATATGGAAAATGCGAGTAGTAGAATGAAAAACATTCTCCGAATATTTTTGAACATTGAGTTATTATACGGCCATAGACCGAGTGCGATTAATAGATTTTGACTTAACTTATAGTAGCGCTTGCCAGCAAATTCCATTTTTTCACGAAGGCTGAAACACGACTGCGCTGGAAAATACTGTGGAAGCCCAGACTTCTATTCTCCGTCATATTTTATTAAAGATCGCTTAGAGAGTTCAGAGAGTTTTTCACGCTTTTCTTGGGTTATTATGTGAAAAATTTTGTGGGAATAACAGATAGTAATAAATAGGTTTATCTACCGGACGAAAGGAAAGGGCCGATAACAAGCGGATCGATACACTTTACTTCCGCAATGTAATTTTCGTAATTGTCGAAAATACCAATGATGAAGTAAATATCACTCTGTAAAGTGTGCAAGTATAGTGATACTATATTGAAAGGGAAGAATTGTTTTCCTGTAAAAGTTAACACACTTTCATTATTTTATAATAACAATTCTCAGTCTGTTCGAGACCTTACTTGAATTCTGTTGAACAAAATGAGTTATCTTCTATATAAAGAATACAAATAATATTCCATTTGACCAAAATTGAATAAAAGAGAGACTGAGCTCCTAGAAACTAATAAGAGAGAAAAAGAGATCAACATGAAATGCAGTATGATTTTAATGGAACTTTTCAAAATAATATTTTAAATAATATTTCAAAATAATTATTTTTTGCAATAATTCATGCATGTTATTTTTAGTTCATTGATTTCTTTTTCTATACAAACTATTAAACAATTAAACTTTTAATTTGTATTATCATGTATTTATATGCGTATGATTTTTCTGTATATATATAATTTTTTTTTAAGTAAACAAAGATAAAAAAGAAAAAAACAATATTTCCTATATTTGTCATAAATTTTTTACTTTAAGAAAAAAGAAAAAAGGAAAACAGCAAATCCAAAACTTTTGGTTAATCTATTATTCTTTATTATACAAATAAGTAAAATGTTAAAATTAAAGTGATCTATTAAGGAAAAATGTGACATAATTAATAATGTTACAGTATATATTTAAAAGATTCGCAAAATAAGGAATGTTAGAGAATTTAAGATTGGCAATAAGACGATCGAGACATATATCTTTTTAATCAAATGTTTAATCAAGTTTTTTATTAAAATACGTAATTTAAATTAATATAATTTCGTTATCATTAGATCGAGCCCAAAACAGTGAAAAAAGAAAACAATAAACTCATGGTCTAAAACAAAAAAATTAATTGTTTAAACAACAGTACAGTGATTAATACAGTAATTATAAATTCCTTTAATAGTGTGAGCTCTTACCGCGACCAAACCTTCCAAGCAAGGGCTAAACATACCACCGGCATCGACTCTGTAAGTTTTTGTGGTTTTTTGTAACATAAAAAGTATTAATTTTTGCGCTTTTAATGGAGCATTGTACCATTCTGTATTGCATCTGCATGATAAAAAGAAATATATAAATAATACTAATAAATTTATAAATACGTCTTTGTAGACACGAAGTACACAGTGTTTAAAAATTATAAAATTTAGAATATATTCAATATGTATATCTATTTTAAGAAAAGCAAATACAATAATTATACTTCTTACATCGTTTGATGGACATAACTGTCATAATTTATAAATTCCTGTCCAGCAAAATTGCCTAGAATTAGAAACAAAAAATGGCAGAATATTAATGAAACAGCTTTTATAATTTCCAGTATTTCTTGTTTCATCGTGATTACTCGAAATAACTGTAAGTAAAATTTATGATTTCACCAGATAGTTTTCTAAAACTAATAACAGAAATAGTATGACTATATACGAGTATATAACTAGTGACTCACTTACATGTAAGAGATTAATGCTTCCCGAACATATAATAATCGTAATTACGAGTAGGTAGGAACGTCCAAAAGTTATTTTTAATAATTCTGACAAGCTAACAGAATAAATGATGCTTTATGTTATTATTCTATACATGATATGTTAAGCATAATAATAGATATTTATATTTAGATAATTAATTTCATTTAATCTTAAAATAATTTGTTTAAAATATGTATGCAAAATTATATTCAAATAAAAAATCAAAGAAATAATGCTGCAATAATCATCTCTATTTTTGTTAATATATTATATATATAGCTATTCGCGTGAAAGTATTGTGAAATTAGTAGCATACTGACTCAAGCGCTCTTCTATGAACATCCACTGCAGCAGTTATTCTGTGATGGAATATAATATATTTTTGAGCTATACATTTTGCTTGCAAAACATTTTCGCTTAGCATATGTTTTATACGGTAACTATAAAATTCAATATGTTACAAAAGAGATAATATATGCATATTACATCTATAGAGCGAAATAATATATGTAAATCTATTATATCTATATGATCAAGTTTGTGATCATTTGTATATAATTATTGAGGATTTATCTTCATAAATATTAACTATATATTATTTTTTATAAATATTCTTAAATAATAAATAGAAAAAAAAGAAAAAAAATTAATAAATGCTACAAATATAAAGCGTTTTATAAATATATAATATAATTTAATAACTTAAAATATAAGGAGGAAATAAATGAAAAACAAAAATTATTTAAGAAATATACATTAAGTCACTTACAATTTACCTAGCAATTTTAAACATCCCGAAAGCGTGTACTGCATTTATTAATGCAAATGATTCAGTAGCTATACCAGTAGTCGCTGAAAGAAGTATTACAATATTTATGTGCATTGTCAGGACATGAAAATATTTTTGTTGATCGACAAAATATTCCGCTTCAATTAAAAGTCGTGGACGAGACTCGTTCAATGGCATTATGATATCAAATAAGATTGGGATATATTGCAGTAAAATGAAGAGGAAAATTCCGAAATAAACGGACACTAGAATTTTAAAAATTTTATTAAATTAAAAAATAATCTATAGTACTCAAATTAATAACTTTTTTATATTAAACTCAATCAATAGAATTGTATAAATGTATATATTTGTATATATTTGTATATATTTCTAAACTAATACATATTAATCATATTAGAAACAAAGCAAATGATTTTTATATAATTTTCGTAATATGTAATATTCATGATAATTAATATTAAAATGTGATGAAACTATATATAATATTAAATTTTGATGAAACTATATATTAGTTGTATATAGAATCTATATATTTATATATTACTATAATATAAGTTCAAAAATTCAATGAAGCCTAGTTTTTTATTATTATTTAAAATTGATTGCTATATATTTTCTATAGTGATTTTTTATAATCACATTGAGATCTATCTGTACAATAATTTTTTTTCAATATATTAAAAATTATATATTGAACAAATTGTAAAATGTATCATACTATTTTTAAGTTGTGTTTCAAATACGTAGTTAGATAATTTAAAATCAATTAAGAGCAGCTAGTTGGAAATTTATTTGACACTTACTTGCTATAATTATCGTGAATAGTTTTCCGTTGTCAGTATATTTACGCATTATATCAACCTCTTGATCGTCTGTTAAAATACTCCAGTTATCTCGAACACATTTTCGGATTTTTTGTATCTATTATGTATATAGTATGTATGACAAGTATCCGTTTATGATAATCAATTTTAAATTAAATTATTGTTGGACTTACATCTTTTATAATAACATAAAAAGTAATGTATTTGGCAGTCCATGCCATAATCAAAACATCATAAGATAATATTTCCAAAAGAAGATCAAAGTTATATTTCGTAGTGAATAATTTGATTAACTGTAAATAATTTGTTGATGCAAATTATATATATGTATGAGTGTATTTATATATGTGTATAAGTATTCTCACATAATTATTACTAAAAAAATATAAAAAAATATAAAAATACAAATAATGTATAATATACATGTATAATATATAATATATACATGCATAAAAAAAGTATCTATTTTATGTTTTAAATTCAAAAAGCCAAATATATATATATATATATATATATATATATATATGTATATATATATGTTACAATAGAGTTCGTATAAAACATATATGTATACAAATAATGTTTTAAGATTCAGGATACCCGAACAAATGCAAATTAAAACAATATAGATACCTGAGATATTATAAATATTAAATATATTAATAATGCTAATACAACTTGAATTTGATTGATGCTGGAGTTTTTATGTGGCCAGAGTCCAATCAATGCTAAAAAAATATAATTGAGTCTATAATATTTCTCCTCGGGAAATTCCATCTTAAGCAGTTGTCAAAACGTTACTAACAATGAATACTTAGTATAGTCTAAAGAAGTCTTTTTCCTTCTTCCTTTTTCCCTCTTCGCTTCCATTTTTACAATTATTTCTTTTAGCATTTTATTTTAAACTTTTCTATAATGCAACACTCTCTTCCCGTCGTTATATGGATAATAAAGACAAAAATTTTATTTAGCATTTAAATAGAGCTTAAATTCGCATTGAAGGAATATACGATCTTAAATAATTTAAAATAAAGACAAATAATATATATTTTTCGAAATATACTCCTCGCAAGAGGAGGACTATATCCCTGTTCTATTATGCAAATGGACTATAACTATTATCATAATTTGCAGTTATAGGTATGAATTATTATAATTTACAGTTATAAGTATTAAGGCTTCTTTCTTGCCCCCTCCTTCCTCCAACGCACGCGCAGTAAAGAACAGAACACTATACATTGACAAAGTGTATTTCTTCCATACGCGACGGATTAAACACAATGTATTATGATATCTGTGATATATTTTATGTTTCTAAAATTTTTGATATTAAAAAAAGTGATTAAATTGATTGTAGGAATAATTAAACTGTCACAATAAATAATTATTAATAATTATATATTATATATCAAAATTATTAATAATTATATATCAAAAATTATAAAACAATTTCGGATGTTTGAAACTTTGAACTTTTAAAATGCCTAGATTCATGTGAAAAAAGATGGCAAAATATAATCGATTAATAAAAATAAGAAAAAAAAAAATGCATGATTCACAGGGGAGAGTAATATATATGTACTCCGTTAAAAAAAAATACGTTACAACTTGAATTCACAGTTACATAATATGTTTCAATAATATCGAATTTTTATCTCTCTCTAATACGTTATAATGTAATGCAGAGCAAAATAGTGTTTTTTTTTTTCGAGAGAGAGAGTGTTTATTTACGCGAACGGTACACTCCATCGTTAATTATATTCAATGGAACTCACTAACTAGGCTCAATTAGAAAACTTGAATCATACAGTAAGTATAAATGACAAATACAGTATGTTTTGAATAACCTGAATGAGATATCGTATCATTATGCATAAAAATTTAAAAACGTTAATAAAAAAATATGCAAAAAATATGTGCGTAATAATATATGTGGTAATATATAAATGTTAAAATATATTTAAGAATAGTGTTTCTTTTTATTCGACAATTTCATTTTTTGTCAACTTGACTTTTATGCCAAAATATTACAGTAGCTTGATAATATTTTAATGATACTTTCTAATTTAATTTTCTTCATTTTAAACTAAATGTCTCTTATTTTCTTATTGAACAAAGAACAGTGAAGTAAGAAAGTGACGTACTCGCGAGCTAGAATAAATAATTCATTTACATTCTTCATAAAAGTTACAATTGTATAATTTACAAATTTTTTAATTACCGTTGTAAAGCCTTGTAATGATGGACTGTATAAGCCACCAACATCCATGTGATAACTTTTCATGGCTTTTTGCATAATAAATAATATCTGTTTTTGCGCCCGCAAAGGTGCATTGTACCATTGTATGTTACATCTATAATAATTTCACAGAAATATTATACATATAACTATCATTGCATTATTTATGTTACCTACATCTTTTTATAAACATCAATGTCGTAATCTATAAATTTCTGTCCAGCATAATTAGTTGCGAACATGTAGACGAAATGACAAACAACAAATATAACAGATCTCATTAAATCACTTATTACATTCGATCTGATTACTTGGAAAAACTGCGAAAAAATAGTTTGTTAAAAAATCTATTTATTCTTTATGTATATAATTATAACTCAAGATTTATTTTCATTTTTCGATTAGAATAATTAGTTTACCAGAAATAAGTTCACGCTTGTTGAAGTTACTCCAAATAAAATTAAAGCCAAGTAAGGTATCGCAAAAGTTGACTTAATAATCTCAGAAAATCTTAAAAAAAAATCGAAATTTTTTAATACTTGTTTATAGGAAGAATTGTAAATCTATTTTTGTAATGAAATAATTTATAAAGTCAAATACGTGTACACGCGCGCGCGCGCTCATACACACACATACATATTATTTATATATTTTATTAAAAATCATAAATCATATATATCTATATACAGAATTAAAGAAAATTAATATTATTTAACTTCTTCATTGAGTATGTAAATTATAAATTATATAAAACTACAAGACAAAAATATAATGCAAATTAATTGAATGAAGTTATAATTATTAATTTTATTGTCATTATAATTTTACCTGTTATAGCATATTTAAAAAAGTGAATTATTCTTTGAAATTGAAAATCTAAATTAAATGTAAATTATTTTTATACTTTTAATATAACTTAATTATATTTTAAAAATAAAATGCAAAAATAATACGTAAATAAATGAAATAATATTCTTTAAAATATATTTAAATGTATTAAAATATATTTTAATAATTCCATTTATAAATGGTATTTATAATACTAACTCAATTGCTCTTCTATGACCATTTACAGCAGCCACTATATTATTATAAAAGATACAATGCTTCTTTATGAATATATTTGATACATTTTCATCGATTATATATTCCATGCGATAACTATGAATACAAAATATAAGCAATATTTGCAAGATAAAAAGATATACACGATTAAAAAAATATGTCGAATATACCTAGCTATTTTAAACATCCCAAATGCGTGTATGGCAAGTGATAAACAAAATGACTCAGTAGATAGAATCGTTATCGCAGCGAGTATTAACCCTATATCTAAATGAAATTGGATTGTGTGATAATATTTTTCTTGATCAATGAAATATTCGACTTGAAATAATAATTCGACTCGCTGAGATTTGTTTCGTGGCACTAAGATGTTGAGAAAACTTGGCACATACTGAATGCAAATAACCATGGTTATACATACGTAAATCAATGCTGGAATTGAAGAATAAGAATTAAATATAAGGAAAATTAAATATGTGATATTGTTATCAATATTATAATGATTTTATCATCAAATTGGTATAATTATGCTTGATTGGCAAAATATCCTATTGCGCAATATTTTAATAATGTATTGGAGATTAATTACAGTGCATTAAAAAAATCTTCTAATATCCAGGTCACAAATCAAATCTAATTTTCGAATTATACATAATTAGAATTGACCAGTGTAGAATTTACGTACTTTAGATTCTCTATGCATACGCATTTGTCTGCTGTTATTGATTTTTATAACTCAGCTGATATTGATTTTCACAGTTGACTGTGTTTTATGATTTTTAGATAGGTATATCATATACATTGTATTGATTAACTAATGAATGACAAGTTAATTAAAAAATGACAATAAAAAATGACAATTTTTACAAGTAAATTATTTGATATTATTTTTTAATGAACATTTTAAATAATCGAACAATTATTTTACAATAATTTTTAAAAAATTACTCACTTTAATATTAAATCTTATTTTATAAAATAAAATTTATTTTTGTAAATTTATTTCGTTACTAAAGTAATGCAAATATAAGCTAAATTTTTAGGGTAAAAAGTTATTAATGAAATTCTCACATATATTTAAATCTATATATATAAAATGTCAGTTACAAAAATATAAATTAATATTATTAATATTATCTTTTTCTAAAGTTTTTATCTTTCAAAGAAAATCAAATATAATGTAATAAATTAGTAAAAATAAATCAATGTAATATATGCGTAACTTAATTTAATTTGTTTGATTTATTAAAATTATAAAATTTATGATACAAAAATTACGTATTTCCTCTTTTTAGAATGTAAAAATTTGAAAAAAAAATAATAATAATAAGAAATTTCAATTTATTTTTTTGCTGAAAATAGATATTAAAATATTAAATTTCGATTAAAGCAAAGATAAATTTTATTCTGCGAATAAATAGTGCATTTAACAATTTTTGTTAAATCACAACCAATCGATAAACTATTCAAATTTTTATTAAATGAGAATTATTTAATTTAAGTATTGAATTAATATTTGGTATTAATAATCAGCTTGTCATTAAGAATTAATTAATACAATATATGTTATACATACGCATAAACCTCAAGATGCAATCAGCTACACAGTGAAAATCAATATACCTAAATTATGAAAATCAATAACAGCTGATAGACCAGTATGCGTTAATGTACAGTTGGGACTTGAGCATGCAAATTGTATACGATATTATTGATCAGCCACCACTATCATCGCTTATAAATGGAAAGGTATTGTGTACTCGATGTTTTCGTTAAAATTTTTGATTCTAATTAATCATTAGAATATGATATATATATATATATATATATATATATATATATATTTCAATATTGTAATATTATAATAGTAACACACTCTCATATAAAATGTCAGTATATAAAAGGTGCAGTATTCATTAACTATTACATATAATATAACATTATAATTATTTACTTGCTAAAGATGTAGTACATAATTTTGCGGCTTTTGCGTATCGATGAATTATTTCCCGTTCATTATTATCTTTCAAGGTATTCCAATCATTCTGAATTTGTTGCATTAATTCTTTTATCTGCCATGAATTATAAAAATAATAAATTTTTTAATAGTAATTATCTCATGAAAAAGAAAAATTAAGAAAATATAGAAAATAAAAATAAAAAAAGAATATAAAAAAATTAAAATTTTTACAATAAAACTTTTTGCTTTATAACATTTAAAAATATAATTTAGAATAATCATTAATAAATATTATTTCTATACTTACATCGTCAGTGACGAAATAAAAAGTAACGTATTTTACAATAAATAACATGAATGGTAAGGCAGATGATAGAACTCTTAAAATGATATCCGCATCATATTTTGTTGTGATCAATTTTATTAACTAAAAATGCTTATTTATATATATCGTACATGTTTAAAAAATGGTATAACAAAATGATTAAAAAAAAGAAAAGAATTTTTACAATTATAAGTATTATCGATATAAGTCTATACATACACATTAGGTGATGTATAACAATTAAAAATAAATTTATAAAATTTACAAAAATAAAAACACAATCTACAAGATATTGATCTACATATACCTGAGGAATTGTTACTGATATCAAAATAAACGATGATATGATGCCTTGAATTTGCCGCAATGTAATATAACGATGCGGCCATAGACCAATAGCTGACAAAAAAATACGATTAAACTTATAATAATAATCACCATTGAAGTTCATTTCACAAAGTACTGGAAATATCTTGGTTTCTTTTAAGTTTGTAATATTACGTGTGCAGTACTTTGACCATCATATAGTGTATTACAAATTCTAAATGCAATCATTTTCCTTTTTCTATGTCGCAAGAAAATATTTATAAAAAGAAAATATAAGAAACATTATTTCTAAATTATTTATAATCATTTGGTAAAGAAAAAGAACTGGAGCGCAATTATTTTTATAGCAAGCGCTTAAGTTCGACCGTTATTGCAGATAAAAAGCAAATTATTAAAATAGCTTAAGTAGTCAACTATTATTTTTAGGATATAATATCATAAATATTCCTTTTATCTGCATTTTATGTTGGCGCAAGCGTAGTTTGTCTATAAAATTGATCTACATGGATGAAAGTTCATTGTAGCGCGAACAGTTCACGAATGCATTTTACAATACATAATAATTCTTTTGTACTATTGTAATGTTGCATAATATTTGATATGAAAAAAGTAAAAATATAATTAAAATTTTCATGTAAATTTTGTAAATGTGCAAAAAAAGTCTAAAAAATCTGCATTTGAAGAGTGATTTAAAAATAGATATTATAAAAAAAGATATTTTAAATGTTATTTTAATTGTTATTTTATTATATCGCATGTTATATTAATCTAACTATGTAAATTAAATATTTTATTTCTACAATTTATTTCTTATAAACTGGTAGCTAAGAACGCATTATAATATCTGGTTTAATTATTTTATGTTATTAAATTTTGCAAAAGCGATAATAAATAAAAAATAATCATGTTAAATATATATGTATATATATCATTTTATAAATATATACAATATTATTTTATTATAACAATATTTTTTCTGTTGATATTGTTCGAGAGAACTGCAAACAATAATGTCAATTTTTTGAAAAAATTGATTTTATTTTAAATTGATTTTTAAAAAAAATTAACGAAAAATGTAACTAAATAAAATTTTATGATGCATTAGACACGTTTACTCACGTTTACTCACGTTAAGTAAATTGATGCTTGTTGAGCACACCAGTAACACATAAAGAATCAAGTACATTCATCCAAAACTTGCTTTCCACAATTCAGAATATCAAATAAAACAAAATACGCATATTATCACATCTTTGATATGTGTTAATAGTAATTTTTTAAAAATTAAATTAATTTTTAATTTAAATATTTAAAATTATGCATGCAGAATCATATGATAGTATAAAATGAATGTTGCATGTATAAATTAAATATAAATTAATCAAGCTATCTCACAACCTATGTACAATACTTTAATAATAGTATAATATATTTTAAAGATAAAATAGTGTCAAAAATTTTCACACGAAAATGTTGAAGTTATAATAATTTTTAAATCGTAAGTGATCCAAGTTTACTAATGATATCATATAATAAAACTCGCGCATTCATATCTAACTGCATTTACACGCACGCGTACCGATCTGTCATTTGTTATTAATTTTTTCATGTTATAATAATTTTGTATATTAAATAATATAAATTAAATTTATTTTAATATTTATTTTTTATATTATTTTCTAAATCTTCTATATTATTTATAATTTATTAATATTAATTAATCACCATAATGTACGATGTAACGCATGTAAACTCATATAAGAAATAATAAAATAAAATCAATTGTGCAATATAAAACTCAATATCACTTGACGTGAAAAAATGAATAACACACACACGCGCACACACACACACACAAATGACAAATCGGTACGCGTGCAAATATAGTTATGGGTAAGCGCGTGAATTCTACGTCATCATTTACAAATGATCGCTTAAATCAAATAATAAATAAAAAATTATAACCTTAACATATTTTCATATTAGAATTTTTGGTTCCATTTTATCTCTAGAATGAGCTATTAAAGCATTGTATGGAAATTGCGAATCATTCTGTATAAATATTATTTAAATATATAATAACTACTAGTAAAATGTAGAGACGTAGTATTGTGTGCAACAAACAAAAGTTTGTTTGCTCTTCATATCTTTTATTCGCTAATTTAAAAAATAACTCTCTCTTTCTCTCTCTCTCTTACTTTGTATGTGTAATGTTTTATAATCATCTACATAAAAAACAAATAATATCAATTATTGTGTCTGTGCAATGCAATATTATTCAACGTTATATTACGTTTGTATCAAACAGAAAAATTGTATCTATAATCAAATAAACAATATTAACAATTATTAGTAAATGTAACTAATCACACACACACACACACACACACGCGCGCGCGCGCGCGCGCACACACACACACACACACACACACATTATTATTTATTATATTATTTATTATATTATTTATTATATTATTTATTATATATATTATTTATTTTAATTATCTAATATTTATTAAAAATGTATATTATTATTTATAAATCTCACACATTTTTGAAAGTATAACGAAATATAGATATCTTTTATATTCAGATATTATAATTGTATGGAGGAAAGAACCATAAAATAAGAAATCGTCATACTAAAACTCTAAAATAAAAGATCTGTTATAGCGGTTAATCTATTAATGTGAATTGATATAATCAATTAACTTAGCAAGATTTGTCTTACTGTGGCTAATCCTTCGAAACAGGGACTAAACATACCACCGGCATCGACTTTATAGCATTTTGTAGTCTTTTGTATCAAGAACAATATTAGTTTTTGTGTCTTTAACGGAGCATTATACCATTTCGTATTGCATCTATACAATGCAAGGAAATTCTGGACATTATATAATTACAGTGGTATCAATTTATAATTTAAAACAAATCCAAACTCTTGTAAAAAATGTAATAATAATAATAATAATAATAATAATAATAATAATAATAATAATAATAATAATTGTATATATACTTACATGGTTCGATAATAATGTGTATCATAATCAATAAATTTCTGACCAGCATAATTACCCAAAGTTATCAATATAACATATACGATTATAGAAAAGATACATTTAATCATATCCAATATTTTTTCTGATGATATTGTCCGAGAGAACTGCAAACAAAAATGTCAATTTTTTGAAAAAATTGATTTTTTTTCAAATTGATTTTTTTTTTAAATTAACGAAAAATGTAATAAAATTTTATGCTGCATTACTCACGTTAAATAAATTGATGCTTGTTGAGCACACCATTACCACAAAAAGAACCAAGTACGTTCGTCCAAAACTTGCTTTCAACAATTCAGAATATCTTATAAAACAAAATACGCATATTATCACATCTTTAATATGTGTTAATAGTAATTTTTTTAAAATTAAATTAATTTTTAATTTAAATATTTAATTTAAAATATATGCATGCGCAGAATCATATGATAGTATAAAATGAATGTTGTATGTATAAATTGATCAGGCTATCTCACAACCTATGTACAATACTTTAATAGTATAATATATTTTAAAGATAAAATAAAGTTTTAAAGATAAAATAGTGTCAAACATTTTCACACGAAAATGTTGAAGTTATAATAGTTTTTAAATCGTAAGTGATCCAAGTTTACTAATGTATCATATAATAAAACTCACGCGTTCAGATCTGTAACTGCACTTATACGCACGCGTACCGATCTGTCGTTTGTTATTCATTTTTTCATGTTATAATGATTTTTATATTAAATATAAATTAAATTTATTTTATATTTATCTTTTATATTATTTTCTAAATCTTCTATGTTATTTATAATTTGTTAATATTAATTAATCACCATAACGTACGATGTAGTAAACGCATGTAAGAAATAATAAAATAAAATTAATTGTGCAATAAAAATCAATATCACTTGACGTGAAAAAATCAATAACACACACACACACACACACACAAATGACAAATCGGTACGCGTGCAAATATAGTTATGGGTAAGCGCGCGAATTCTACGTCATCATTTACAAATGATCGTTCAAATCAAATAATAAATAAAAAATTATAACCTTAACATATTTTCATATTAGTATTTTTGGTCCGATTTTATCTTTAGAATGAGCTATTAAAGCATTGTATGGAAATTACGAATCATTCTGTATAAATATTATTTAAATATATATACAGTAATGAAATAAAGTAATGAAATAAATTATATGTATAAATGATAGAAAAATAATTTTAGATTTTTGTCTATTTGCGTATGTGAAGTGATTTTAATTTAAATGTACTCAATTAAATGAGTGTACAAATAATAACTCAATTGCTCTTCTATGGAAATCCACTGCAGCGATTATTCTGTGTCGAAGTATAATATATTGTTTAGTTATACACATCTGCGAATCTGTTTTCCTTAATATATGTTTCATGCGATAACTAGAAAAAGTTCAGATACCATATATTAGTAAATATATTAGTAAATATAAACATTTAATATACAAAATTCACATATAATTATTGATAATATTCTAGAGAGCTGCGTTATCATATTAAATATTTCACATATCTTAAAGACCAACAGAGAGTACCCCAAAATTCAAAACGTGTATCATTTAGGAGAATGTATTTTCTATAATAGATGTTAGAATGAAAATGACCTGTGCTGTGTGTGTATAAATTAATGTAATTTTATCAAAATAATTTGAACTTACCTAGCGACTTCAAATAGTCCGAAGGCATGCAATGCGTTTGCAAGTGAAAATGATTTGGTAGCTATTATACTCATTACTATAACGAAAAATCCAATTCCTGCATGTATTGTTACGATAGGAAAATATTTTTGTTCATCGATAAAATATTCTGCCGGAAATACAAGTTCACGCGGACGAGATTCGTTTATAGGTATTACAATATCGAGTAACATTGAAATATATTGTAGAAAAAAGAAGGAGAACATTGCTCCACACCCGAACACTAAAATATAATCAAAATATCATTAATATTAAATTAAATAATAATTACTTTTTATAAAGAAATGATGTAATTATTAATTATGACAAATACTGTAGTTATTAAATATAATTAGCGCATACTTATAATGAAATTAAATAAAATCTATATTTTCAATTCTACGTCAAGTTTATCTCTTAGAAATAAGACAATAGAGAAAGAATGAGATATATATATATATATCTACAAAAATATAGAACATTTAATACATTTTGTCGATTAATCACTAATTTTTTTTTATGAAGTTTTTGACCGAAATTTGAACTTGATTTTAATGACATGAAAAATTATCACTTGTAGCAAAGTCAAATCAAGTAGTAAAATTTTAATTTTCATTATCAAATACTTTTTGAATAAAAATCTCAAATTAAAAATATTGAAAATGAGATTTTATCATCTTACTATCTCTAGCTTTAAATATAGAAAAGTTCTTTTCATCTTTAGACAGTAATAATTTAAAAAATTACTGATTATCTAACACACGCACGTATATACGCATACGCGCATATATATTCAATAAAATTTTTATATTATATTTAAAATCCGTATAATTAAAATTGATAAAGTTGGAATATTAGAAATAAAATATATAATATATATATTGCAATAAATAAAAGTTAAAATAATATAACTTTGCGTGATATACCATTGACGATTACTAATTCAATGTATTGTATTGTATTGTATTGCATGTGTATATTTTTATGTATTGCATGTTTATATTTAAATTTAGATTTTTTCTAAAAATATATCCAAAAATAATAATAGAACGAGAAGATTATAAAAAATAATTGTCTAACTTTCAGATATTGAGACACGTATAATAATTTAATATTAATGTGTATTTAATTAATTTAATATTAATTAAATAATATTAATTAATATTAATTTAATATTAATTAAATACACAAATAATTTCAATTCGAAAACGAGTAATTAATCACATATTTGGCATTTACTTATTATAGCTATTGTACATAATCTTCCGATGAATGCTTGTTTGCGTATTATGTTAATCTCTCGATTATCTGTCAAAGCATACCAGTTTCTTTGAAGACGTTCGTGGAACTCTTTTATCTATTCTAATAAATATAATAAATATTATTATACATGATTATTTATTATAAATTAAATCGTTGTTATGGACTTACATTTTTTATTATAACATAAACTGTGACATACTTCACAGAAAATGCTATAAAAATCATATCAAAAGGTAATATTTCTACAAGGAGATCCAAATTGCATTTCGAGATGAATAATTTCATTAACTAAAAAGATTGCATAACAATCATAATATTCGTACAATTTTTAACATTACAACATATAGCAAAAACACAAAACGATTCTAAAACATAGAAAGGTCAAAAAGAAACAAGTGCATATGAATATTGTGAAGTAGTATGTGAGAACATTCGCGTGATACAAATGTTATGGTATTACAAATATAAATTAGCGTAAAGCAAATACCTGAGCACTAGTAAATAGTATCAATGTCAATAATGTCAATATAAAACGAAATTGTCTAACTTTGAAATCATCATATGGCCAAAGACCGATCGCAGATAAAAGAACGCGATTCAGTATATAATATTGTTCTAAGTCCATTTAGACGTTCCAATATTTCAAATATCACTAAACGTGCACGTTAGTCTATAAAAACTTTTCCCTTTATATTACTATTTTTCATAATTATCTTTTTCTTTTATGTAACTCCTCTTTTTGTCAGACTTTTAAATTTTTAAGATATATTTACATCCATATAAATAAATGAAGGATAAGAAATTGCGCGATTTCTCTGCTCAAGAACCTACATAATGTCTATACTATCTATTTACTTATAGATAATGGCTTTTCCATAAGAATAATGATGATAAGTAAAAATTTTGTAATTTTCAGTTGCGCTTCATGCATATCAATATTTTCTATTTCCCTTTTTTTCCACGCGCAAGCACAATGAGAAATAAAATAAATGTTATTCTGGAGATGCTCACATTTACGCTACAGTCAATCGCGCAACGCGATGTGTCTATTGAAACATTTTGCGTGTATAAAGTTCAAATTAAAAATTTTATTAGTGTGATCATCTGACTTTTTATATATCGGTATGTATTGCAAATCGAAAACATCTAAATTTTATTAAATCAAAAAAGTCATTAAATCAGAATGCAAACTAGCAAAATGTAGAGACGTAGTATTGTGTGCAGCAAACAAAAGTTTGTTTGCTCTTCATATCTTTTATTCGCTAATTTAAAAAATAACTCTCTCTCTCTCTCTCTTACTTTGTATGTGTAATGTTTTATAATCATCTACATAAAAAACAAATAATATCAATTATTGTGTCTGTGCAATGCAATATTATTCAACGTTTGTATCAAACAGAAAAATTGTATCTATAATCAAATAAACAATATTATCAATTATTAGTAAATGTAACTAATCACACACACACATACACACACACACACACACACATATTATTATTTATTATTTTATTTATTATATATATTATTTATTTTAATTATCTGATATTTATTAAAAATATATATTATTATTTATAAATCTCACACATTTTTGAAATTATAACGAAATATAGATATCTTTTATATTCAGATATTATAATTATATGGAGGAAAGAACCATAAAATAAGAAATCGTCATACTAAAACTCTAAAATAAAAGATCTGTTATAGCGGTTAATCTATTAATGTGAATTGATATAATCAATTAACTTAGCAAGATTTGTCTTACTGTGGCTAATCCTTCAAAACAGGGACTAAACATACCACCGGCATCGACTTTATAGCATTTTGTAGTCTTTTGTATCAAGAACAATATTAGTTTTTGTGTCTTTAACGGAGCATTATACCATTTCGTATTGCATCTATACAATGCAAGGAAATTCTGGACATTATATAATTACAGTGGTATCAATTTATAATTTAAAACAAATCCAAACTCTTGTAAAAAATGTAATAATAATAATAATAATAATAATAATAATAATAATAATAATTGTATATATACTTACATGGTTCGATAATAATGTGTATCATAATCAATAAATTTCTGACCAGCATAATTAGCCAAAGTTAAACATACAACACATACGATTATAAAAAAGATACATTTAATCATATCCAATATTTTTTCTGATGATATTGTCCGAGAGAACTGCAATACAATAATGTCAATTTTTTTTCAAATTGATTTTTTTTTTAAATTAACGAAAAATATAATAAAATTTTATGCTGTATTACTCACGTTAAATAAATTGATGCTTGTTGAGCACACCATTACCACAAAAAGAACCAAGTACATTCGTCCAAAACTTGCTTTCAACAATTCAGAATATCTTATAAAACAAAATACGCATATTATCACATTTTTTATATGTGTTAATAATAATTTTTTTAAAATTAAATTAATTTTTAATTTAAATATTTAATTTAAAATATATGCATGCGCAGAATCATATGATAGTATAAAATGAATATTGTATGTATAAATTGATCAGGCTATCTCACAACCTATGTACAATACTTTAATAGTATAATATATTTTAAAGATAAAATGAAGTTTTAAAGATAAAATAGTGTCAAAAATTTTCACACGAAAATGTTGAAGTTATAATAGTTTTTAAATCGTAAGTGATCCAAGTTTACTAATGATATCATATAATAAAACTCACGCGTTCAGATCTGTAACTGCACTTATACGCACGCGTACCGATCTGTCGTTTGTTATTCATTTTTTCATGTTATAATGATTTTTTATATTAAATATAAATTAAATTTATTTTATATTTATCTTTTATATTATTTTCTAAATCTTCTATGTTATTTATAATTTGTTAATATTAATTAATCACCATAACGTACGATGTAGTAAACGCATGTAAGAAATAATAAAATAAAATTAATTGTGCAATAAAAATCAATATCACTTGACGTGAAAAAATCAATGACACACACACACACACACACACAAATGACAAATCGGTACGCGTGCAAATATAGTTATGGGTAAGCGCGCGAATTCTACGTCATCATTTACAAATGATCGTTCAAATCAAATAATAAATAAAAAATTATAACCTTAACATATTTTCATATTAGTATTTTTGGTCCGATTTTATCTCTAGAATGAGCTATTAAAGCATTGTATGGAAATTGCGAATCATTCTGTATAAATATTATTTAAATATATATACAGTAATGAAATAAAGTAATGAAATAAATTATATGTATAAATGATAGAAAAATAATTTTAGATTTTTGTCTATTTGCATATGTGAAGTGATTTTAATTTAAATGTACTCAATTAAATGAGTGTACAAATAATAACTCAATTGCTCTTCTATGGAAATCCACTGCAGCGATTATTCTGTGTCGAATATATTGTTTAGTTATACACATCTGCGAATCAGATTTCCTTAATATATGTTTCATGCGATAACTAGAAAAAGTTCAGATACCATATATTAGTAAATATATTAGTAAATATAAACATTTAATATACAAAATTCACATATAATTATTGATAATATTCTAGAGAGCTGCGTTATCATATTAAATATTTCACATATCTTAAAGACCAACAGAGAGTACCCCAAAATTCAAAACGTGTATCATTTAGGAGAATGTATTTTCTATAATAGATGTTAGAATGAAAATGACCTGTGCTGTGTGTGTATAAATTAATGTAATTTTATCAAAATAATTGAACTTACCTAGCGATTTCAAATAGTCCGAAGGCATGCAATGCGTTTGCAAGTGAAAATGATTCGGTAGCTATTATACTTATTGTTACAACGAATAATCCAATTCCTGCATGTATTGTTACGATAGGAAAGTATTTTTGTTGATCGATAAAATATTCTGCGGGAAATAAAAGTTCACGCGGACGAGATTCGTTCAAAGGTATTACAATATCGAGTAAAATTGAAATATATTGTAAAATAAAGCAGGAGAACAATATTCCACACGCGAACACTGAAATATAATCAAAATATCATTAATATTAAATTAAATAATAATTGCTTTTTATACAGAAATGATATAATTATTAATTATGACAAATACTGTAGTTATTAAATATAATTAGCGCATACTTATAATGAAATTAAATAAAATCTATATTTTCAATTCTACGTCGAGTTTATTTCTTAGAAATAAAACAACAGAGGAAGAAAGAGAGAGAGATATCTCTACAAAAATATAGAACATTTAATATATTTTGTCGATTAATCACTAATTTTGTTTTTATAAAGTTTTTGAGCGAAATTTGAACTTGATTTTAATGACATGAGAAATTATCACTCGTAGCAAAGTCAAATCAAGTAATAACATTTTAATTTTCATTATCAAATATTTTGTGAATAAAATTCTCAAATTAAAAATAATGAAAATGAGATTGTATTATCTTACTATCTCTAGCTTTAAATATAGAAAAGTTCTTTTCATCTTTAGACAGTAATAATTTAAAAAATTATGGATTTAACGGAAGAAATATGATTTTGAAAAAAAAAGTTTTTCGCATTATATAGAAGAAAAAAATGATTTAAAAAAAAATGGTTTCAAAAAAATGATTTCAATTCTTGAAAAAATTTTTTTCATTATAGAAAAAAATGATTCAGGACTTTCCGATTCGGTTTTTAATCAGGAATAACGCTATATGCTTAGTAGGAGTTTTTTAAGATACACCCTGTATACGCACATGCGCGTACATCCCAATAAAATTTTCATATTATATTTAAAATCCATGTATATAATTAAAATTGATAAATTTGGAATACACATACTAGAAATAAAATGTATGATATATATTATATATTGCAATAAATAAGAGTTAAAATATTATAAGTTTGCGTGATGTACCACTGACGATTATTAATTCAATGTATTGTATTGTATTGTATTGCATGTATATGTTTTTATATATTTAAATTTAGATTTTTTTTAACAATATAGCCAAAAATAATAATAGAATGAGATGATTATAAAAAATAATTGTCTAACGATATTAAACTAAATATTTAACTAAATTGTCTTCAGATATTGAGACACGTATAATAATTTAATATTAATTATCACAAATAATTTTAATTTGGATACGAGTAATTAATCATATATTTGGCATTTACTTATTATAGCTATTGTAAATAATCTTCCAATGATCGCTTGTTTGCGTATTATGTCAATTTCTCGATTATCTGTCAAAGCGTACCAGTTTCTTTGAAGACGTTCCTGGAATTCTTTTATCTATTCTAGTAAATATAATAAATATTATTATACATGATTATTTATTATGAAATAAATCGTTGTTATGGACTTACATTTTTTATCATAACATAAACTGTGACATACTTTACAGAAATTGCTATAAAAATCATATTAAAAGGTAATATTTCTACAAGAAGATCCAAATTGCATTTCGAGACGAATAATTTCATTAACTGAAAAGATTGCATAATAATCATAATATTCGTACAATTTTAACATTACAACATATAGCAGAAACACAAAACGATATTATTCTAAAGCACAGAAAGGTCAAAAAGAAACTAGTGCATATGAATATTGTGAAGTACTATGTGAGAACATTCGCGTGATGCAAATGTTATTATATTACAAATATAAATTAGCATAAAGCAAATACCTGAGCACTAGTAAATAGTATCAATGTCAATAATGTCAATATAAAACGAAGTTGTCTAACTTTGAAATCATCATATGGCCAAAGACCAATCATAGATAAAAGAACACGATTCAGTATATAATATTGTTCTAAGTCCATTTAGACGTTCCAATATTTCAAATATAACTAAACGTGCACGTTAGTCTATAAAAACTTTTCCCTTTATATTACTATTTTTCATAATTATCTTTTTCTTTTATGTAACTCCTCTTTTTGTCAGACTTTTAAATTTTTAAGATATATTTACATCCATATAAATAAATGAAGGATAAGAAATTGCGCGATTTCTCTGTTCAAGAACCTATATAATGCCTATACTATCCATTTACTTATAGACATGTCTCTTCCACTAACAGTAATGATGATAAGTAAAAATTTCATAATTTTCAATTATGCAATTTTGATATTTGCATATCAATATTTTCTATTTCCTCTTTTTTGATGCGCAGGTGCAAAGAGAAATAAAATGAAATATTATACTGAAGATGCTCATATTTACGCTGACAGTCAACGTGAAACCTGATGCATCTATTGAAATATGTAAAGTTCATATCAAAAATTTTGTTAGTGTTATTATTTAAATTTTTATATATTGATATTCATTACAAATCGGAAATATCAAGATATTCCACTTTAAGAGACAAAAGTCATTAAATTAGAGTATTAAATTAGAGTACAATCTAGCAAAGAGTAGTGACAGAGTAGTGATATTTTCATGTGTATATGTGTGTGTGTGTGTTTGTGAAATTTTATTCTTAAAAACGTTTATTAAAGATATGTTTTTATATAATCTTTTGTTATAATGCTCTTCATATTTTTTCCATAATTTAAAAAACATACATTCTCTCTCTCTCTCTCTCTCTCTCTCTCTCTCTCTCTTTTCTGTATATATAACATTTTATAATCTTTTATATTAAAAAAAATAGAAATAAAGAATATCAATTATTATGTCTGCAATGCAATATTATGCAATTTTTATATTACATTTATACAAATTATGTATTTCTTCTAAAAATATGTATTTCTATCTGTAATCAATAAGTAATATTATGAATTATCAATAAGTATAAGTAATCACTTGATTATGATCATTTGATTACATAAAATTGTGCAAACGTAAAATACTTTATAAAGTAGCAATAACTTCTAATTACAATAAATTTCTAAATATTAAAATTTCTATAACTGTTAGAGCCGAACAAATAAGAACTTGAATAAAAGATCAATAAAGTTATATATAACTCTTCTTAAATTAAATAATATTTATTCATTATACATGTCTTTATTGTCTCGGTAACATAAATTTCTGAAAATATAAGTCGTTATGAATCATAATTGTAACGTATTCCAGAACCTCCATGAACATTTAATGCAAGAGACCCTTCATCGATGCCAGTTGTTGTAAAGCAGACATAAAGTGTCACGCTCCATTCCCACAACCCTAGAGTCATTCGTTTCCGTTGACCGTTGATAAGTATGTTTCGTTTTCGGTGCTTTCTACGTACTATCGTGAACTCTGGTATTGTGAGCGTATAGCGTGACATTTTGCATCTGTTGTGCCCCTTCAATGATTGGCATCCATGGGGAACCTCTCGTATTAAATGTTCGTGATGGGTTTTGCGATACGCTGCAATTATGACTCATAACAATTCATTTTTTGAAATTAAAAATTTAACTGAAAATGACCAGATGTGGGATTGAAAAGTATAATAAATATTATTTAATTTTAGAAGAGTTATATAATTTTTTTACCCAACACTTGGCTCTTATTTGTTCAGTTTTAGATATTTTTATTATTATTATATTTATTATTTTTATTATTATTATTATTATTTTTTATTATTATTAACAATTATAGATATTTTTATAAAATAGATAAGATATTATTTATATCACTTAGATAAATTTCGCAATAAATAGATTGTTTCAGTAGATAGATACCATTTATTCTATAGTGATAGTGAATAAAAAATAAGTAAAAACATATTTCTATATAAATTGTAATATTTTAAAAACAAAAAAATCTAATACATTTAGATTTGTTTATAATAATTCGATATTGCACATCAGTAGCATTATGTTTTATAGGAAGTCGAAAATGCTATGCATAAAGACTATGCCAAACAGACTGAAGCAAATGCCTTATCCCTACTAAGATTGGATTAGATTAATTTTTTTCAATCGGAAAACGTTGAAGTAAGTTAATATACAATTGACAATATTACTGTACATGAATTTATTGCAATTTTACATGACTTGTTTTTTGTAATATATAAGTTTAAAAACTTAAAATTTTTACAAACAATTTTTTATTCACAATTTTTCATATAAGGTACAGATAAAATGGATACAATTAGATTAAATTTAATTTTTAATTATTTTCTTTATAATAATAATCAAGTAGCTCGTGTAAGCTTTAATTATAGCAATATGATGAGAAACGTACTAATATTTATACATATATACTATAATATTTTATTATCGCAAAGGTTTACTATAAAGTTTACTAAAGTTTAACATAAACTTTAAAATAATATACAAGCAACAAAAGTTTATATTGATATATATTTAATTCAAATCCAAATATTTGTCACGAAAAAATAATTGATTTGTGCAAACAGCGCTATTACCGTGTGATTATTAGGAGTCATGCGAAAAAATTAACATTTAGACATAGTTTTATTTTCGCGATTATCTATCAATTCTGGACAGATGATAATACCGTAAAATAAGATATCGATGTGGCGAGAAGCTGCAACGAAATATTACTGTTACCGTTAAAAAAATGCGTTAATATGTCACAATGATTGTTGTTTACCGATGTAAATCCTTCTAACGACAAAACAAAAGTCCCACCGGTTATTAATTTACAACTGTGCATGCTTCGATGTAAAATGAATAACATTAATTTCTGCTCTCGTAGAGGTACACGGTACCACTGGGTATCGTATCTGTGAATACACAAAGCATCTATAGTTTGTTATAGATGTAATTGCTATAGTTTACTATTCACGTTTTATATGCGCGATTTTATTTGTATTACTTAAATATACAATTACATTAAACGTACGAACATTAAATTAAAATCCAGAACATGATATCAATTGCGTTTATAAAAAAAAATATTTGTCAAAAAATATTTTATTGATTATTTCCCAAAAAAATTAATTCGGATAATAATCTTACAATTACAAAGCAGGAAGAAATTTCAATAAAAAGAAAAGATAAATAAGTGTATTTCTATTACTACCGATACAATATTATGCACTTGTACTCACACATTTTCATGAACTTCCATACTGTGATCTATAAAGACCTGTCCGGCATAGTTGCCACAAAAAATGTAAATCAAATGAGCAGCAACACATATACTGGACATTAACAACTCGTCGGTATTTTTTACTATAACGATAGCTTGAAAAACCTGCGGCAAAAGATTGTTGCTCTTCACAAGCGAGATACTGATTAATGTAGAAAGATTCTAATCACATTGATATTTTTGTTACTCACGCGAAATAAATTAATACTTAGTGATACCACTCCGATCAATATCAAGATAAAATAAGAGAGTGCTAGTTTGGACCACAAAAAGTCGTAAAACCTTCAACAATAAAAATTTTTCGGCATAAAATTTATTTCGCGTAACATAACTAGTAACATAAGATTTAAAAAATTCTTCATGATATAAATGATATGAACGAAATAGAATTTTCTTTTCTTTGCACGGCGTGAATTATGCGAATATATATTGTACATGAATATTAATATGCGAAATACAGGTGTACTTTGTGGGTAACTTTAAATTAAACGCATATACCAACTCGAGAGCTCTTTTGTGGATCTTTATTGCAGCGATTATTTTCGTACGAATCATCGCATTTCTTACGAAAGAAGAAATTTGAAGAGCATCTTGGTCGAAGGCATGTTGTAGTCGATAACTGCGATAAAGAAATAAATTGATTGCAAAAATACAAAAGATAAAATGATAAAAAAATTCTTCTTATCAGTACCTTTTTTTCGTATTTTCATACCTGGCAATCTTAAACATTCCACAAGCATGATGAACATACGATACATATAGCGTTTCCGTGGCTAATATTACAGTTATACTTAAGATTAACGTTACGTATATATGATAGAATATAGCATAAAAATATTTTTGTTCATTGATGAAATATTCAACTTCGATCGGAAGTTTCTGCTTGCGAGAAACATTTAGCGGCGCCACAATATCAAGAATACTCGGAATATATATGGTTATCAATACACCGAATACACATGCATATCCAAATACTATAATTATATATAAAATTATAATTATAAATGTGATTGCAGAAACAAAAGATATACTTTGTATATTAAATTCCTATCCACGTAATATAAAAATTCGTTATATATAGACAGTCTAATTTTATTTATTATTCATAATATAATAATTATTAATTCATTTATCATGTACCTGAAAAAATTATTGTACAGAGCCGTCCAAAATGTGCATATTTTTGTATTATTTCGAGTTCTTTCGCATCTTTCAAAACATTCCAATCATTCTGGACCAATTCCATGAGTTTCTTTATCTACAATCGCGACATATTTATTCAACAAAAAATAATGGATAATAAAGAACATAATATTCTCCTAACGATCTTGTTTATTCTTATAATGAACAAATTATATATTTTGTGAAACAACAAAATTATATCATGTACATACATATAAATGGAAGAACGAGATGTATGTAAACACGTGCAATTTGCTCTAAAGTATTAATGCGTTTCAAGAAAATTACAATATATATGTATATTATTGTATATACTTACACTTGCAGGAAGTAATAAAAAGGTGATATATTTCACAATAATAATCACAGCAGGAACCGCGAGTGACATAGTTCTTAGCATAACTTCCATATCTTTTGTCGACGTAATTATCTTCGCAATCTATAAGCGGCAAATTTTGTAATAGATATATAACAATGATAATAATTTATATAAAATCAAAAGAATTTGGACAATGTACAATTTAAATTTAATAGAAATCACAAAATTAAAAATTTTTCGAAAAAATAAAAGATCTAAATAAATGTGAGAAAGCTTTTAAAAAGTTCAGAGAAAGGAAACATCTGCACAATTTAAATTTATCGCGTTCATACCATCGCTGCGCTGCAAGTTATAAAAAAACTAGACAATATCAATATTTTGATTAGTTTAAATTTTGATTTATCATATGGCCATAAACCAACCAATAGCAAAAGTATACGATTGAGCTCATAATATTTACTTCCTTCGAAATCCATCTTCGACAATAGTCGAAACAATTGTGTCTGTACGAAAATGTTGAACAAAGATATAATTCTATAATATTCTAAAGAGAGCTCGTAATTTTTTCTCCTTCCTTTAATTTTCCGAAATTGCGAAATTACAGTTATCCGGCTATGTGCACATTATTATTCATGATTCAATAATGCATTCATTATGGAGAAAGAAAGAAACTTGAATGATTGCAAATAATACTTGCATTTTTTAAAATATAATATACAATACAGTTTCCTATTTATAACTAATCTTTAATTTTCTTGATATCGTTTCTATATCAAGTCAACGCAAGCGCGATAAAACTTTCGTTTAAGTGAAATTCTACTCTCACTTTCAGCCGGGCAGTCAGACAGTTCGTTTCATGCTTGCTTTAATTATGTCATAGTAAGACAACAATACAGTAGAGAAAACAATAGCATACACGTTCATGTAAATTCAGTATATCTTCGTTAAAGAATAATATAGTTTTCGTTCTGTTGTGCGTATAATTGAATCGATGTGATCTAAATATCACCTATACCTAGATAAATAGATTAATGACTGTACACAGCACACAATTTATAATTAAATATTGATAAGTAAAGTTTTATAATAATTTAGCAATATTTATATCTAAGGAAAGTTTGATAACCTTTACATCAATATTTATCTATGAAAATATGCAAATCCAGTTGCATCCAGATCACATAAAATTAATTCTAAATGGATAATTAAATTGTTGAGTATGCTCAACAATTTAATTATCCATTTAGAATTAATTTTTTAAAAGTAACTAATAAGATATTACAAGATAAGATTTAATTTAATTTTATTATTTTATATAGTAAGCAATTTTATTGATTTAGTATAACTACACAACTTATGTCATAAATTGTCATTGCTTAACAATATTAATTCTGTACCGACCAAATTACTGTAAAGTATGATAGAGTCGTGCTCATAAGCTGAAATTCAAGACTTACATTATAGAAAAAAGATTTATTTGATGATTTTTATTATATCTTCTTAATAGTAATACGAATTATTAAAAATTAATTCAGATAGAGTTTTTAAGAAAAAAGTAACTTATATATTATTAATAATTATGTGTGTGTGTGTGTGTGTGTGTGTGTGTGTGTGTGTGTGTGTGTGTGTGTGTGTAATTATTAATATATAATGTTATTAATATATGTATTATTAATAACGTAAATATATAGTAATGTTTACCGTTGCAAAACCTTCGAACGATGAAACGTACATACCGTTTATGACCATTTTGCAACTTTTCATACTTCTTTGCATTATAATTGGCAATAATTTCTGTGCTTGTAAAGAAGCATCATACCACCGCGTGATATATCTAAAAATTAAGCCTGAATATAAATTTTCATCCCATATTTACGACTGATATTTCATATTGTACAAAATAGCATAAGGCCAAATTATTTTTCAATAATTTTTTTAGTATTAGTTATATGTTTTTAGATTTATTAATTTCAGATTTATTAGTTTTAGATTAGTTATATATATATATATATATATATATATATATATATTCTTTTTTTTATTATTATTAAAATTCTCTTAATGTTCAATTTAGTATTCAATTTTTATGATATATTGATGAATAAAATGTCGATAATTACCGATATTCTAATCTTTTATTTATTGCGCTATATTTGATTTTGTATATACAATATATAAAATTTAAAAATTTTTATAGAAATTCTTTTCAGAAATTTATATCAGCTTTCCAGAAGATCTAATATATTCAAAGTTTATTTCTACTTACGTGTTTTCAAAGATACTAGAGCTATGATCTATTAAAATTTGACCAACGTAGTTACCCAAGAATAAGTAAACAAAGTGACCAAAGTTAAATCCAATTAAAAGTATTATATCTTTTATCTCCTTTATAAATAATACTGTTTGCAAAAGCTGAAATGAGTACAAATTTAGGAAAAAATATTTGTTGCAAATATTAATATAAAGAAAATTTATTACAAAAATTAACATTTTTCAAATGTATACAGTTGATCATTATCAGTAATGTACATCGACCTCATTAGGCTAAAGGAAAAAAATTCAAACAAATGACTAAAAAAAAGTTTTAAAAATTTTACTCACACAGAAAAGATTAATGAGAAAAGATGTAATACCGATTATAAGCAAAATGCTGTACGATACCGACAAAGTAGACCATAGGAATTCGGAAAACCTTGAAGAGAAAGAAGATTTGATGAATTAATTGATCTTCAATATAAAATTCCTGCATATTATTTTTAACTTTGCATTAATTTTCGAGAGTTTTTTTAAATTTAATGGCCATATTATTTTATGGAGATTCAATAGTATAACAATGTATTAATCTAATAAAAAATATCTTTGTTTTAAATTAATAAGAAAATGCATTATACAGACTCGAGAGCTCTTTTGTGAATATGTATTGCTTCGATTATCCCTTTACAAACAATGACTGACTGTTTTTCAAGCGTACAATTTTGTAACAGCTTGTTGTCGAACGCTTGATGCAATCGATAACTGCGGAGATAGCGATCGCAATTATAAATTCATATGACGAATAATTAAAATACTTATTGATTGTATTGATTAATTTAAAAAATTAATATATTTAATAATTTATATAAATATATATTAAATGTTTATAACATGCATTTGAAAGAAATCAGTACATAAAAAATGCGGAAGATTTTCGTTCATTTTATTACCTGGCAATTTGAAACATTCCGCAAACATGTAATATGTATGTTATGTATAACGATTCGGTGCCAACCAGCGTAATGAGTACTAAACTTGCAGTAATATTAAAATGCAAACAAATGACATAAAAATATTTCTGCTGATCGATAAAATATTCTACTGGAAATAGGAGTTGTCGTGGACGCGAATAATTTAACGGCATAAAGATGTCGAGGACGATTGGTACGAATGGTAAAAACATAATAATTAATATAGCTACCAAACCGACTACTGAAATAATGATAAGATATGCTTTTAAATACAATTGTATGTCGTGTTTGTTAAAAGCCGATAAGTTACATATATTTATTTCTCACTTGTTAAAGCCAAGGTGCACATGCTTCCAATATAAGTGTATCTCTCTATAATCTCTAATTCCTTTTTATTTTTAAGCATATTCCAATCTTGTTCTACATGATCCATGAGATATCTCATCTGTTCATAAGAAGCATAAAAATTAAGATTGCTAAGTAAATTTGATCATCTTTTGTAGTAGAAAATGGCAGTGCATCTTTTATTATTGCTATAAAAATCCGTATTTTTATCGTTCATTTACAAGATAAGAATTTACAAAATAAGAAAACTTATTATGTTGTGAATGTTTTCAATTTTATGCAAATAAAAGCAGACAATCTAAATAAGATAAATAAATTTTCAGATATAATGATAACAAAATATATTATCCTTAAGTTTATTTAAGGAATAAAATTCTTTATATATGATAAACAGTTTAAATGTACTTTTTTTAATCTTATAATATAAAAGACTTATAATAAAAAAGATAGATTAAATAAAATAAGTTATCACAAAGAAATATTTTTCAATATATTAATTATTCTAATAGCAGAAAAAAACGTACGCGTTATATATATAAATGGGCGAGTCAATATTAAGCAATAATTAATATATCTTGTCTTGTACATTATAAAAACAAACAGAACGCGATTTATTTGAATATGATATTTAGAAATATTAAGAAGAAAGCGTGATATAAATACGCATTGTGGCTCACTTTTTTAGCAACGATACAAAATGTTTGATGCTTTATAATGCAGATAAGACAAGGTAAAATAGGAGGCAGAAGTTTCAGCATGAGGTTTACATCTTGTTTTAATGTTAACAATTTCGCTATCTAAAAGTACAAATTATGATATATAATTCTCTCTCAATTAATACTTATAAATTATTAATTTTCAAGTTGACTTGCATTTCATAAGCAAGCAATCTATAATCAGCAGAATTTTTCAACTTTGCGTAATAATTCTTACCTGGAAAACCATCAGGAATGCTACAATAATGTTACAAAATATTATTTGACAATATCTAAATAATGAATGGACATACGGCCACAAACCGACCAATAGTAACAGATGTCGATTGAGTTTATAATATTTATTTCCGAGAAAGTTCATCTCTTTCCGCGCCAGTCAAAATGCTTTTGTGCTCAGAAAAACACAGAACAATATCTTCATGTGCATTATCCTTTTCTCCCTCTCCCCCCATTCCCTCTTTTCCATTTATTAAATCTATTATATTTCTCGGTACATTACATCTCACTTGCCAAATATTGCAATTTGTAAAATCGTGTGTTTAAGAATATATTAAAATTATATCTACATCTTGCATCCAGACATGCGGAAATGATATGTAAAGAGAAATTTAAAAAATTGCCTTAGAATGCCGCAGTTAGAAAAGTAATTTTCTTATACCGCGAATCAGCACATATACTTCTTTATTGCTTATCCAATTATCAATAGTGTCTCACTGAAGCATAAACAGCTTTATATATACAGATATATAACTACACAGCTTATTCTAAAATATTTTAAGAGCATGAAATATATTTAAATGAGTGATATTTTATATGTAATTTATACTCTTCTTCTTTGAGATACGACACATAATATTAAAAGATAATAAATAAAAATTGTTTTTTATACAGCATTTACATAATAATTTTAATATATAAATCTAATAATCTTCCGTCTTAACATATCAAGAAACTAAATTATTGTTAAGTATCATTATTTTTTCTCCTATTTAATATCATTTCATATTTTTTATCAAAATTGGTTGTATTCTGACATCTTGTCAAAATATATTATCGTAAAATTTGATGATATCAAATTTTTTTTGAAATTACATATATATTACAATAGAGATAGGAAAAAAACTTTAATATCTGAAAAATTGTCATGTGCATGTGTGAGAGGCATATTACAATAGATAGTGTGCGTCAGCGTCGGCGTCGCGACGCAGCGCAAGCGTAATAGTGAGAGACGCTCTTCATTCGCGGAGTTTCACTCAATACTGCATGAGCTGTCATTCGAAGAGCTTCACTATACAGCTATACCGTGTTGCACTTTCGTTTATTCGATAATTGTGTTTTTCTTCATCGTCGCGTAACTGTGTGCATTTACTGTTGACAATATCAAACAGCATATCCGTGAACGTTTTAATTTCTATCTGTTTATAAAATCGTAGATGATTTGTGCTGTGGAATGTGCTGGTAAATTATGTGAACTTGTCAAATTCTAATAAAATTCTGTCACGAAATCATGCATCCAGAATACATGCGTCGTATATTTGGCAGTTTGACTGCATTTTAATAGAAGCAAAAGAGATCTGGACAGTAAAATGTACTAAGGTAAAAATATAGATATGTCTATATATATAGTAGTATATGAATAAATGTATTTGTTTATATTTCTCGTAAAAAATATATGTAGTTCTGCGTGAATAAAATTAATTTTTTTTGAAGATATTGTTGTCTTAAAAAAGTCGTATTCATCGTGTGCTAGTAAAATTATTATATTGTCATAATACATACATAGATATCTTGTTTTGATTATCCATATTATTGGTATTATCGTAATTTAGAGAGATAATTAATATTAATAAAATATGTTGTTACAGTATTTGTAAAGAAAGAAAAAGAAAAAGCTTTTCTAGAAATTATGTATGTAATTATTTATATATGTAAATTATGTGTAATTATTTAATTTATTATCTTCATAAATGAAATTTGTAAATGATATCTGTAGCTATTAATAGAGTCGTAGTAAGATTAGAAAAAGCCTTCAATGAATATTGCAAATATTGCTTGTTTCTTCGTAAAAGATATATATAAATATTTAGTTTCTTATTTATAACTTATATCTTTAAATTTTTTAATCGTTGTTTTTTTATTTCTTATCATTTCTTTTTCAAACTGATGCAAGCAATAAAGTTTTCGTTTGAGTGAAATTCTACATTTTCATTCAGACAATTAAATAAGCCATTTTATATTCGCTTTAAATACGTCAAGACATAGTAAGACATAACAATACAGTAGAGATACATACACATTCACATAAATTTAGTATTATTATATATTTAGTATTCTTTATTAAAGAGATAATAATTCTTGATTCTGTTCTGCGTAAAAATTGAATTGATATATGTGATCAAAATAAAATTAGAACACAGATTAATATATGGATTAAAATATGACTTTGCACATATCATAATTAAATACTGATAAGTAAACAACATAATGATAAGAAAACAATTAAGCAATTTTTATTTATTTATATTAAGCAATTTTATTTAAAAAAGCAAAATTCGATAACGTTTATCGATATATTTATTTATAAAAATATATAAATCTAATGTATTTTTTCCTCTCTCTCTTCCTCTCTCTCTATTCGTTGAAAAATTAATTCGAAATATATAATTAATTTATTCATTACCAATTGTAGTCATATTAAAATAATTATTTTTAATAAATAATAAAAATAGAGAAAAACTGGGAAAAATTGATGTAAAATAGTTAATTTGTATTAATATTTATTTTTCTTCATGATTTTTTCATAGCACATTATATAGATGCAGTTTTATTTGATACCAAAGTAATTCTACTGATTTAGTATAACTACGATTTAAATGTCAAATTGTCATTGCTTACCAGTATTACTGTACCGACCAAACTACTGTAAAGTATGATAGAGTTGTGCTCATAAGCTGAAATTCAAGATTTACGTTATAGAAAGAAGATTATGTTCGATTTTTATTAATCTTCTTTTAATAGCGACATGAATTATTGAAAATTAATCCAGGCAGCAAAAAAAAGGTTAAGAAAAAAGTAGCTTATTTTAATTGTAATTATTAACAGATAATAATATCAATATATAATAATATTTTATTAAAGTTAATATATAATAAAATTAATATATAATAATGTCGTTATATAATGTAACATTTACCGCTGCGAAGCCTTCGAATGATGGGACAAACGTACCGCCTACGACCATTTTACAACTTCTCATACTTCTTTGCATTATAATTGGCAATAATCTTTGTGCTTGCAAAGGAGCGCTGTACCATCGTGTGATATATCTAAAAATTAGGCACAGTTTTTTTGAATATCAATTTTCGCAGTTTTTTGAATATCAATTTTCATATTTACGAATGATATTTCATATTAGGTGTAATATCAACACAAAACGCAAAATTATTTTTCAATATTCTGTTTTAGTTATATATAGAATGTATATATTTTTATTGAAATTCTTATTCAATTGTTTTCATATATCTTGTTGATAATAGCTGTTCAATGCTTATATCCTTGCCGTTATTTTAATCGTTTATTGTGTTTTATAATTTTTGATATTATAAGATTTAAATTTGTTTTGAAATCCTTTTCAAAAATTTTTACCAATTTTTCGAATTTCAAAATATACTCAAAGTTTGTCTCTACTTACATGTTTTCAAAGACACCAGCGCTATGATCTATTAAAATTTGACCAACATAGTTACCCAAGAATAAATAAAAAAAATGACCAAAGGTAAATACAATTAAAATTATTATATCATTCATCTTTTTTATAAATAGTACTGCTTGCAAAAGCTGAAATAGATAAGAGTTAGAGAATAGATAGAAATTTAAGAGAAAATATTTACTGCAAATGTTAATAGAGAGAATTACTATAAAAGTTATCATTTTTTAATTATACAATTATCAATATTGATGAGATTCATAATTGGCCTCGTTAAGTATTTATATTAAAGAAAAGGCATACTTAAAAAAAAATGTTCTACAAATTTTACTCACGCAGAAAAGATTAATGAGGAGAGATATAATACCGATTATTAACAAAATGCTGTATGATATCGCTAAGGTAGACCATAGAAATTCGGAAAACCTTGAAGAGAAAGAATATTAGTCCATATAGGAAGAATATTTAGTCCATCAATCGATCATCAGTGTGTAAAATTTTCGCGCATTTTAATCTTGAATTTTCGGAGAGATGTTTTAGTTTAATCGTGTTAATATTGTTGTGGAGATTCAATAATATAATAACGTATTAATCTGATAGAAAATATCGTTGTTTTAAATTAATGTATTGTAAAAAAATGCATTGTACCGACTCGAGAGCTCTTTTGTGAATGTGTATGGCTTCGATTATTCCTTTACAAACGATGATTTTCCGCTTTTCAGGTATGCAATTTTGTAATAGCTTCTTGTCGAACGCTTGATTCATTCGATAACTGCGGAGATAGTAGTCGTGTATAATAAATTCATTTACTGAATTAAAAAACTTAAGTTTAAATAAAATATCAAGTAGAGATTAAATATACATAATTAAAATACATAATAATCTATCAATATACATTAAATGTGTAATACATAAAAAATCAATACATTAATACATCAATACATAAAACATGTGGAAGATTTTTGTTTATTTTATTACCTAGCAATTTGAAACATTCCGCAAGCATGTAGTACGTGTGTTACGTACAATGATTCGGTACTAACTAGAGTAGCGAGTATTATGCTTAAAGTAATATTAAAATGCAAACAAATGACATAAAAATATTTCTGCTGATCGATAAAGTATTCTACCGGAAATATGAGTTGTCGTGGACGCGAATAATTTAGCGGCATAAAGATATCGAGGACGATTGGTACGAATGGTAAGAATGTAATAATTGATATAGCTACCAAAGCGATTACTGAAATAATGATAAGATGCTTTTAATTTTAAGATATTTACAATTGCATGTCGCGTTTGTTAAAAGCCAGTAAGTTATATATATTTATTTTTTACTTGTAAAAATCAAGGTGCACATATTTCCAATATAAGTGTATCTCTCTATAATCTCCAATTCTTTTTTATCTTTAAGTACATTCCAATCTTGTTCTACATGATCCATGAGATATTTTATCTGTTCACGAGAAGCATAAAAATTCAGATTGCTGAAAAAACTTGATCATCTTTTGTAGTAGTGCATCTTTGTGAAAGTGATAGTGCATCTTTGATTATTGCTAAAGATTCGTATTTTTATCGCTCATTTACAAATCAAGAATTAAACTTATATATAATATAAACTTATATATTATATCATAAATGTCAATTGTTTCAACTTTGCGTAAATAAAAGCAGAAAATTCAAATAAAATAAGTTTTTCCAGATACTGTTAACAAAAAATATTTATTTATCATTCAACTTAAGGAATAAAATATCCTATCTATATAAGATAGATAGTTTAGATATACTTAAATAAACTTTTTTATCTCTCTCATAACGTAAAAAAGAAATAAAATAAATTACTGCAAAGATTTTTCAATATAATAATTATTCTAATTATAATTATTCTAATAGCAGAAAATGCACGTTATGCAAAATCATATATATAATTGAACGATTCAATATTCAAGCAATATATCTTGTCTTGTACATTATAAAAACAAACAGAGAATGCAATTTATTTAAATATGACATTTCGAAATGTTGAGAGAAAAGCGTGATATAAATACACATTATTGACTCACTTTTTTAGCGAAGATACAAAATGTTTGATGCTTTATAATGCAGATAAAACAAGGTAAAATTAGAGGGAGAAGTTTCAGCATGAGACTTACGTTTCGTCTTAACCTTATTAATTTCGCTATCTAAAAATACAAATTACAATGATTTTCAATTAATATTTAAATTTTTAATTTCCAGATCAATTTGTATTTCGTAAACAAGCACTCTGTAACTAAAAGAAGTTTTAGATTTTGCGTAATATTCTCACCTGAAAAGTCACCATCAATGCTACAGTGATGTTACAAAATATTACTTGATAATACCTAAACAATGAATGATCATATGGCCACAAACCAACCAGTAGTAACAGACGTCGATTGAGTTTATAATATTTATTTCCAAGAAAGTTCATCTCCATGCACTAGTCAAAATGCTTTTGTGCTCGAGAAAAATGGAGAGCAATACTCTTACGCGCATCTCTTTCTCTTTCTCTTTTTCTTTTTTCCCCATTTATTAAATCTATTATATTTCTCTGTGTTGTATCTCACTTGTAAAAGAAATGTAAAGTACAAATACTGCAACTTACAAAATTATTCGTGTGTTTAAGAATATATTAAAATTATGTCTGCATCTTGTATCTAGATATGCGGAAATTATACGTGGAGAGAAATTTATTAATCTGTATAATTTAGAATGCCGCGGTCAGAAAAGTAATTTTCTTATACCGCGAATCGGTATATGTACTTCTTTATTGCTTATCAAATTGTCAAGTGTCTCGCATTGAAGTATAAACAGCTTTATATATATATATAGTCAGCTGATATAACTACAACTTATTCTAAAATATTTTAAAAGCATGAAATATACCAAAGTGAGTGATATTTTACATATAATTTATACTCTTTTTCTTTTAGATATGACACAGTATTCTTAAATATTTCTTAAGTCAAAAGACAATACATAAAAGTTGCATTTTATATAGCATATGCATGTAAAATATTCCAATATCAATCAGCATTTACTTAATAATTTTAATATATAAACCTAATAATTTCGTCTTAATATATCAAACAGCTGAATTATTGTATCATTATTTTTTTTCATTTCTCCCATTTAATATCATGCAATAATTTTTCATCAAAATTGATTGTATTCTGATATTTCGTTTAAATATATTATTGTAAAATTTGATGATAAGAAAAGATCAAAATTTTTTTTGAAATTACATATATATTACAATAGAGATAGGAAAAAACTTTAATATACGAAAAATCAATATATACACGTGTGAGAGCCAGCTACATGAGATTACAATGAATAGTGTGCGTCGGCGTCGGCGTCGGCGTCGGCGTCGGCGTCGGCGTCGGCGTCGCGGCGCCGCGCAAGCGTAATAGTGAGAGACGCTCTTCATTTGCGGAGTTTCACTCAATACTGCATGAACCGTCATGCGAGAAGTTTCACTATACAGATATACCGTGTTGAATTTCTGTTCCAACTGTATTTTTCTTCATCGCGTAACATTGTGCATTTACCGTTGACGATATGAAACAGCATCCGTGAACATTTGAATTTCTATCTGTTTATAAAATCATAGATGATTTGTGCTGATGAACAAGTGTGTTATATGTGAGCTTGTGCCTTTTCAATTTTTAATAAAATTTTCGATATGAAATCGTGCACTCAGAATATATGCTTCGTATATTTAATTAAACTTTGATATATAGCGAGTTCGAACGGTATCAAGGTAAAAATATAAATAATACATGTATACATGCAATATATAAATAAATATATTCTTTTATGTTTCTTATTAATATATATGTGTGTGTGTGTGTGTGTGTGTGTGTGTGTGTGTGTGTGTGTGATGTTTCTAAATATAATATATAATATGTAAGAAAATTAATGGAAGTATCATAAGTATCTATATTAATCAATGAAAATATTTTTATATTGTCTGTCATTTTCTATAAAATTAAAAAATTTAGATTGTTATAATTTCCACATGTTAAAGTTTATATAATTTTAATAATTCTTTCGGAGTTTGAAGACTTTGCGTGAGATAATTTTTAAGTTTCTTTATATATATATATATATATATATATATATATATATATATATATATATTCTTCATTCTCCTTTTATTTGAGTTGTCCTCATAAATACTGTTATTAAATAAAATTGCTATATATGAAAAGCTATTATTTGATGTCTCTGCCATATGTTGTATTATTCTTAAAAAAATACTTTTATTATTAATTTTGTAAGTATCGCTTATTTTTATTTATTAATTCAAATTTTAAATTAATATTATATATTATATATTACTGTATAAATATAATTATTAATGATGGAAAAACAAGATAAAAGAAATATATGAGAAAAAGAAATATCTTCATGTATGTTCATATGTGCATAAGTAATAAATATAGGAATAATTTTGAAAAACAAATAAATGTGACCACAAATTTATTAGTAATTTTATGTATATGTGTACGTGTGTATTTACATGTACACGTATGCACACATATTGCATATATATATATATATATATATATATATATATATATATGCAATATGTGTGTAATATATATATATATATATATATATATATATATATATGTGTGTATTTCTTAAATTCTTTTATACACTGAATGCATTCTTTTGCGAATCGAATTCTTTATGTGACTATAAATTTTGTCGTTACGTTTGCACAGATTGAAGAACCATAATATATGACATGGACATACTTATAAGCTGTAATAAATATATTTTTTTTCTTGTGGCATACTAATCAGAACATTTTTTGGCAATATAATTTGTCTTACCATAGCAAAACCTTCTAACGATGCATTAAATAAACCTCCACCCGCAATCAAAGCACTCTTTTTGCTGCTTCTTCGTATTATTAATAATATCGACTTTTGTATCCATAATGGTGCTGTGTACCACTGTGTATTATATCTGTTAATATATTTTACAACAATTTATTTTAATACAATTAATAAATATTTTACAATTTAATACAATTAATTAATAATTGTACTATTAAATGATAAATATATTTAATGTCATTAATTAATCAAATACATTTCTTTATTTTTTTCTTATCAAATATTTAATACATACATACATATGTACATACATGTATGTGTGTGTGTATATGTATGTGTGTGTATTAAATATTTTACAATGAGAATATACATATATATATATATATATATATATATATATATTTTTTTTTTTTTTTTTTTTTTTTTCTCATTGTTGGATGGAATTTTGTCATTCGGATATTGTACTCGATCGAAACCACGTGTGAAGCATTCGTCAGCTGACGGACCGATCAATAATATCGATCAGCTACTTTGAAAGAAGAAAGTGTGTCGTGCATAAAGAGACTGACAGCAGAATATAACTAAACTTCGGTCTTTTAAGATTACTTATGTACTTGCGAGTCTTAATTAAATGGTGTTTTAATCGTTTTGAAAACATTATCTTTTTATTAAAATGTGAGAGCGATATCGTGCATGAGCTTGCGAATGACGGAATGGAGATCATATTAATTACGCACATACACACACACATATGTATATATATATATATATATATATATATATATGTATATATATTATATGTATATATGTGTGTGTGTGTGTGTGTGTGTGTGTGTGTGTATGTATGTACATATAAATTTATATTTAATAAGAAATAATATTATTTATATTCTATTTACATTCTATTTTTCGAACATGAACATCATTAAAAATGTAGAAATGTATTAAAAAATACTGTATAAATCATGTTTAATACTCACATTGTCTGATGAATATCAGTGCTGGTATCTATAATATTCTGCCCGACATAGTTTCCCAGAAATATGTAATACAAATGTATAAATAAAATGCCAAAAAAGATCAGTGATTCTACATCATCCAGGAATACTATATTAACAAACTGAATGTTGTTTATTAATTATATCTTTTATATTTATATTTTTTTTAGTATTTGTATTTGTAATAATAATTAACTTTTTTGTTATACATGAGATTATATTTTTTTCATATATTTACGCTTACATTAACGACACTGAGAATAGCCGAAGATACTCCAAATGCTAATAATACGAAATAGAATATCGCAAAATTGTTCGTCAAAATAGTAGCCAAACTTTAACAGCAAATTTTATAATATTTTATTTTTATAATTATATTATATTTTAATTAATTTATATTATATTGGAAGAATACAATTTTGTTCTAGATTATCCGAGCAAAATAAGACATCAAATACAAGAAATGACATATAATACTATATTATACTAACTCCAAAGCTCTGCGATGAAGATGTACAGCATGAATTAATTTCTCATAAAATACATGTTGCTTAAGATCCTTGGGTATTTGTTGTACATTTTCGTCACATATGTGTTCCATTCGGTAACTATAAAATTACGATGATATTACTAAATTTTTTCCAACAATTTTTTTTCGAGATTATTTATTTTCAGAATTTAATTTACTTATGAAAAAACTACTTTTGTTTTTACCTGGTAATTTTAAACATGGCGCAGGTGTGCAATGCATATGCTATGAGTAACGTTGCGATAGCCGCTATTGTGACACAACCAGCATACATGGTGACGATAATATGTGTTAAAATAATGTAAAAGTGTACTTCTTCATCAATGAAATAATACTCCACTAAAATTGGTAATCGTCGCGGTCGCGAGTCATTCATTGGCATAATTATATCGAATATGCATGGTATACAGCTGGTTATTAACAGTGTCAATATTGCGACTGTAACTAACACTGAAGTATGCGAATTATGTCACAAAATATTTGACAAAATACAAAAATTAAATATGATGAACATAACGTACTAGAATCATATAAGAAATGAAAACAAAACTATGAATTTCTTTAGAGAGAAACATATTTTTTATTTTTAATTTCCTTAAAGAAATATTATGGTAAGAAATGGAGAAAAATTGATTCTTTGTTATTTACGCTTATTGTTCCTCTGCTGACGCAAAATAATGAGATAGAAAAAATATGCGATATTATTTGTACGGATCTAAGCTATCATTAAAAATTTTGTAAAAATTTGTGTAAAATTTTAATTTTTCTTAAGAAATAAATTTAATAATAACGATGCATATAAAAATAACATGTCGAAGAAAGGAAAGAATATTGAGATTGATACATTTAATTTTAATTCTTACACATAAAACAGATTGTAGATAATTTTGCATTATCTGCATATCTTCGTATTATATCCAATTCCGCTTGAGTCTTTAATATATTCCAATCGAATCGAATTCTATCGAATATATGTTTAATCTATGAAAGCAAACAAGCAAGGTAAATGTTCTATTCTGATAAATAATAACGTAAATATTCTAAAAGTTTCTTTGCCATGCACTTGATATCAACCATTTTTTCCATTATATTTATAATTTTTTTAAATTGTATCTAATAAAATTGTAATATATCTAATTAAATTATAACGTTATTTATAATTGGTTATAAATTATACATTATTTAAATCAGAAAATTTACAGAAAAAATAAAATGGTAGAAAAATATTATTAAATATTATTAAAAATATTATTAAAAACGGATATAGAGAACAGACATTTTCGAATGAATTTTGAAAGTAAACAAATACTTACATTATCGGCAAGTAGAAAATATGCATTGTATTTTATAATATAAATAAAGTTAATAACAACATACATGGAAATTTTGAGGATTATTTCGATGTCGCATTTTATTACGAGAAATGCGTTTAACTGAAAGCAATAGTCTCATTGAAAGATTATAATATGTTATCAACAAATATTAACAAATATTAATTTATATGAAACGTTTATTATCGCCTATCTTATTATAAGCAAATATTCAGTAGATATTCTCATTTAAGTTTTCGCACAAATAAATTAAATAATGTGAAAATCTTTTTTTATAGTACCTGACATAGCAGGAAAGATGTGAATAATGTTTCAAAAAAGATTATTTGAATTTTCTTCAAGCCTGAATCTTGATAAGGCCATAGGCCAAGACACAACAAAAGAATTCGATTCAACTTGTAGTATCGTTCTCCAGTGAAGTCCATTTCCGGTGAAAGTTAAAATGTATATGTCAGAACAAACGGTGTAAAACCTATCTTCCTCCTCTACGTACAAAAGTCAGACATAGAGTCCTCTTTCTCAAATTCATAACATAATTTTTAGAGAGCGACATCATTGTCATAGAATATACAGCAAATATGAGAAATTTATGAAGCGCCAGTAGAAGCGAAATATAAGCGTAAATAAAAAAGAATCAATTTTCCTCAATTTCCTAGCTTTATCATAAAATAATAATAAGCCATTCAAGATAATATTATTAAAATTGGCAATCTAGCGCTATTATCGTATAGGTTTTTTTTTTCTAAAGATGAATATATTTTTTTCTCTCGTGTATCGATCCTGTAAGTGTATAGACTATAATTCTCGCAGAGGATTTAGGTCATTCATTACAATTCGAACTAAGTAGTATCTCATATCAAAACAACTTATATGGTCCATTAATTAGTTTAATCACAAGAATTGAAATTAGAATTGAATCTATCGAAATATATATATATATATATATATATATATATATATATATATGCGTATATTTATATATTTCGATTTATATATTTTATAATCAGAGACTGAAGGAAAAAGAGATACACAATATCTTTCATACATGCACGCACACACGTACGCACGCACGCACGCATACACGCACGCACGCACGCACACATCTATACATATGTATATGTATGTATGTATATATGTATGTATGTATGTATGTATGTATGTATGTATGTATGTATGTATGTATGTATGTATGTATGTATGTATGTATGTATGTATGTATGTATGTATGTACGTACATACATACACACACACACACACACACACATATACGCGCACGCAAGGATAAAATAATTTAATTTTTTGCCATTAAAAATAGTGCCGTAGTTTAGCATGGATATGACATAAGAAGAAACGATCAATAATACTTTTGCAATTAGGTTTGTAGTGTGAGCTGCAGTGATCAATTCACAATTGTTGCAGATCGAAATATCAATTTTGTATTTCTGTAATACACGAAATGATTATTCTTAAAGTATTAACATAACATTTATCTTTTATATATTTTAATAATCTCAAAATAATATCCAAAACTTTTTTATTTTATTGCATATACAAAGCTTATTTCAATATTTGAAACATTATAACAAGAAAAATAACGAGAATGTCATAAGAACGAAAAAAAATGTATATGTGTATGCATCTGAACTTTAATTTCTGAAAGGGCGTAATCCGCTTATTAGCAAAAGTTCAGTCAAGTCATAGTACTTATATTCTATAAAGACGAACATTTTTCTGCGAGTGCTGAAACTCGATCGCGAGGTTATCGTGAAAATCATTACCATCATTATATTATCTTCTTTTCACAATGTTGCATTCCAGTTATTTCTCTCTTACATCGTTTTCAATAAAAAGTCGAATGTCCAAGCAAGTGATATAATAATTTATAAAATCATTTATAACACTAACACAATAACTTACATTTCCACAACTAATTCTTTATATAATTATACATAAAATAATTATATAATTTTGAACGCGAAAAATGTTCTCGGCCACAATTCATTTCATTATTATTCAAGACATCGCAAAGAATTGTTATTTTGATTTTATAATAAGGAGTTTCTTGTAAAATTGCATAACGCACTTATAAAATAAAGCCATAAATGTATGTGAATAAAAGAAACAAAGAATAATAATCGATATGTGTATGACAATATTTGGTAAATGTATTTTGTAAATATTTCTATTATATCACTCTATTTTTATTTTAATTATTATATATGAAACAGTAATGTTTTTATTTTCGCTGTAATATTTTCTGAAATGATACAATTCATTATTTTTGTAAATATTTAACAGACATCTTTATACGAAGATATATATATATATTTATTTATTTATTTATGATTTTATGTTAATGTTTATTTATTTATGATTTTATGTTAATGGAACAACATTGGTCCAATCACCTCATACAATTTTCCATAATCATTTCTGTTGTATTGCATTTTTATTGTTGCGTAGAGTAGATTACCATGAAGTAAGATAGTGACATACTTGTAAGCTAAAATTATCATTTTTTAATCTTTTATTATACTGATATATAATATTATCTCTATGTTGGTTTAAATATATTTCTATAAGAAGCTGAAGTATGATACTTTTGTACAGATGAAAGATTAATAATAATTGTAGAATTACTGATACAAAAGTTATTCAATATGCATATGGTGGAATCGTATTAAGTAAATGCAGAAAAGGGAGAAGCTATTACTGTTGATTGTAAATATTCTTACTGTAATAAAACCTTCTAATGAAGCGACGTAGATCCCTCCAATGAGAAAACTATAACTTTTTGTATTTTTTAATATTAAAAAAAGAATCAATTTTTGTATTCGTAAAGGTGCCATATACCATTGTATATTATATCTTGAAAATTATATGCAATAGAAATTTTATTTTATTATTGCATATTTAAAATATATAACATTTTATTACTTTAATAAATTTTATAATTAAATATATAAATCATACGAAGCAAAAAATTCTATGATTTTTATCTACTTACAATGTTGTTAGAATATCCACGCTATGATCCGTAATTATCTGTCCGCCATAATTCCCCACGAAAAAAAATATAAAATGTAGAATAATAAAGAAAGAAGTTAGTATAAGGTCATTTATATTATCCAGAATTAAAATGGCTTGTAGCATCTAGAATTAGCATTAAAACGAAATAGAATGCGCACAATCCAATAAATTATACTAAATCACTTACATTTAATAAATTAACTGCCAACGAAAGCACGCCTAGTCCAATCATCATTAAATAGCATCTTTTAAAGGTATATAAAGTAAATTCAGCGAACCTTCAAAACAGCAAAGAAATCCGATATCTGTTACGGATCGTACTAATTATGCATCGATGTCTGCATTGAGAAAAAAAGTTGTTAACTTGACTAAACCATTTAACTAAATTATTTTTTAATTGAAATATCTAACTATTTAAATTAAATAATATATATTAAACGAATATTTAATATATATTAATATATATTAAACGAATATTTAATATATATTAATAGATTAATATATATTAAATATATATTAATCTAATGACATCTATTTAACTTAAATATTTAAATATTTCAATTAAAAAAATAATAATTTAGTTAAATGATTTGGTAAAGTTAACAATTTATTTTTCTCAGTATGTGCAAAAAAAATCAATAGCTTAAATAATGATAAAATAAATCTTCACAAATATAAATTCTGTATTATATATAGATCGTTTATATTATGTATTATTTCAAAATGAATCAAATATTTTATAAAGAAAATATGATGATTATTACAATAATAAATAATAAGTAGTAAACAAAATTTTTAGAAAAAAAAAAGATTTAAATTCCATTGTCGCAAATAAAATAAAATCTGGAAAAATTTAAATACATACATACACAAAATGTATACATACACATACATGCATACATATGTATATACTTGAGTGAATATGGCATGTGTATGCATATAATAATATTATATGATGCATGCATATAATAATTAAGATAATTTAAATTTTTAAATATATAATTTAAAAATATAATAGATACTTTCTTTTTCTTCTTACAGTGAATTTAAATATATGTTTCGAAGGAATTTACATATGTAATATTTACGTAGAATTATTCTAAACTAATACCGACTGCAGGGCTCTTCGATGAATATTGATGGCGCTAATTAACCTCTGATACATCATTTTCTCTTTTTGAGAAATCGACATATGTAAAATATTCTCATTCAATGAATTTTCGATACGATAACTATAAATATATCATGTTACGATCAGAAAATATTTTGATGATATAGGTATTCTATATAAACATGAAAGATTCTTACCAAGTGATCTTGAACATCATACAAATGTGTCGCATGTAAGCTATAATCATTGTTATAGTAGATGTTATGACGAAAACACCCACGAAACTGGTTATGAAAAAGTAAATATATTTTTTTTTATCAAGATATACATCAGAAATGTCATCTTGTTTTAAAAAAAATTTATCGACTGTAGTAGAACTATTAATGAAGATTGGAATATATCGCACCAGCATCACAATTAACAAGCCGAAGAGTGTGCACACTAAAAAATACTTAAATTATAAAAAAATATTTATCTATAGATTGCCTTAAATAATGTAATTATAAAAATGATCCGTTTATATAAAAAAAATCTATTAATGACTTCTTACAAAATAAAATTTTCGTAAGTCGCTTCGTAAACTTTCCATATTTTTGTGCTATTTCAAGTTCTTCAGAATTTTTCAATGCGTTCCAATCTTCGTAAATCTGATCTAATAGTTGCTTCACCTGTACATTATTTACACAATTAGAATTTTTCTTGCGAATATCACGCGATTAAATAAATTGTGTAAAAAAATATTTTGCCATCGTTCATATAACCATAACTTAAAATAATCATGTTAACAAACAAGAATTGTGATTTGATTAACTGGATATATTATACTTCATACATCTTATTTACATAAATAAAATATTCTTTTTATAAAATAGAGCTTTTGCAAAAATATGTTATATATATTTAACATTTTTGTAAACCCGAACTGTAGAATAACTTACTTTTTTTGAATTAAATAGAAAGGTGATGAATTTCACCATGCAAACAGCAAAAGGAAGCATGTCTGCACTAATCTTCAAGACTAATTTAAAATTATACTTGTAGATAAACAGTATTATCATCTAAAATCGATAGTATAAAGATATCAAGAATGTAGCGAAATAGGTTGTAACTTTAAAACATTTTCATCTGATCGGATCAACACATGTACCTGATAAATCATGAAGGAAATTAATATTCCGCATAAGAACACTACTCGTACATACCGGAATTTCGTATTTTCATAGGGCCATAAACCGCATATTAGTAAAAGAATACGGTTAATATTATAGTACTGATTCTCAACCTCGATCATCTCTCCGTGAATTCCGAACTACATATGCGTTCTCAGTGACAATGAAAACCTCTGTCTCCCTTCTCCGAGGTGCTGAATATTGTTCTAGCGTGAATAATAATTACAAAATTACCTGCGTGTGTATATAGAAGACGAAGAAAGTCTCGCGATCGATTAGCTATTATCTCTCAGATATTCAGGCGCGACAGAAAATAGGGTGTAATTATATAAAGTATACATACAACATCTGATAATATCTCTCGTTCGGAGAGGTAAAAAAATAAAATTCTAATATTTTCTAAATTAACGCAAGTGCATAAGTAAGTCGTATCTATATACGTTAGATATTGTCATACAATTCAAATTTCACGTTGCGTTACCATATATTATAGCGTCTCGATTATCGTAAAAAAACCTTTAGAGGTTTAAGAAATGCAATCTTAAAGCTGAGATATGTTAATAAATAAAAGATAAATGAAAAAGATAAGATACTTGAAAAATAATTTAATAATTAAATTATATAAAATAATTAAAGAGCATATTATATAGTTTGAAAGAAATAATTAAATTAATATCTTATTAATAAAAATGTCAATTTAATCTATAATGTAATCGAATTGTTATGTTTCCTTTCTTTCTTGTTTTTATTTTATATATGATTACGTGATCACACAAATTTATAATAGCAGAACAGCATAAGAAGAAAAGTGATAAATAGTAAGTACAGAGTGTAAACAGGAATGTAATACGGGAGTTTGACATATTTATTTTTATATATGATCGACGCATGTTATAAAAATTAATCCTACAATTTACTGATTAAATATAACGATATTGATTTGAGAAGTATGTATAGAAAAGGTGCAAGAAATAATGAAATTATGATTACAATTAAATAAATTCTTGAACAAAGAATTTTCAATTTTTATCAAAAATCTAAATATTAAATAAAAAGAAGGGTAAATATAAAGCTTTTTTTTACACACACACACACACTATATATATATATATATATATATATATATATATATATATATAGAGAGAGAGAGAGAGAGAGAGAGAGAATTTACTTCTTTTTTTTATATTTTTTTATTTGGACGCTTTTTTTTCTTTTTTTAAACGAAATTTCTAATGCTATACAGTAACTGCACGATAATTTATATATTTAATTCAATTGTAGTATTTCTTATGATGAAACAAAGGAAGAAATAAGATTAAAGAACACCATATAATCAGTTCTATTTATTTTTCATTTATTATTCACATTAAAAGCTATCCAGATATTTGCATTGTTAATTTCTTTTATAATCGTTTTCATCATTATATAGAATAAATTACAGTTAAATAAGATAATGACATATTTATAATAGTTAACGTCTCTCTAATATACGGATTGATAACCTTGATAAATTCATTCGTCGTAATTATTATAATAGAGAATAGATTACTGTGAAATACGATATTGACAAACTCGTGAGCTGTAACACAAACACTTTGTTAGACACTTTTTGTTAATAGAAACCTATAATTTTTTATATAATTTTTTGTATATCTCATTTTACCTCTACCTTAGTAAAACCTTCTATCGAAGCGACAATTAAACTACCGATTTTTACAACATATAGTTTTGTGGTATTCTGCATTATAAATAATAGTAATTTTTGGATTTCTACTGGAACCGTATACCATCGTATAATATATCTGTTGATAAAAAACTACTTTAAACTTTCTTGCATACCTTTAAACCTTCTTGCATACCTTTAAACTTTCTTGCATACCCGAAATTTTATCGAAACTTAATCTCATAAAAATTAGATTTCAATGACAGAATAAATTATATTATTAAAAATACAAATACTCACGTTTTCTCAAAAACTTCGTTGTTATGATCTGTAATTATTTGCCCATAGTAATTAGCCAGAAACATCATTAGAAAATGTATATTAACAAATAATATTGATGAAATCAATTCGTTTATATTCTGTAATAAAATTACTGCTCTGAGCAGCTAAAATTATGTGAAATTAATTTTTTATAATATACATATACATAAGAATGCTTGTATAAGCTTGCTTATTTATTGAAACAAAATTTATGAGATGTAGAGAGATTCAAGAAAAATAACTTACTCGGAACAAGTTTAAACTTAAAGATGCAACGCTGATTATGACTATTATGAAAAATGTTGGCGCAAAAGTAACCATGAAAAATTCGCTGTATCTTTAATAAGAATTTAATAAGAAGAGATAATAATAAGTGTAAGAATAATATTATGTAATTGAATGGAATCGTTTTACATCTTATATAAAAAACCAACATCTTTATTTTTTTTGCAAACAGATTGAAAGGGCATAAATAATTATATAAATACTGACTCGAGAGCTCTTCGATGCATATTCACTGCAACGCTTATGTTCTGAATAGTCGCGTTAGCTTCTTGGATAGAATTACACAATACATATTTGTCTAATGAATGTTCAATTCGATAGCTGTAAATATACATTTAATCATTTGCTTATATATCATATATATATATATATATATATATATATATATATATATAAATTTTGATATAATATTTAAATTAAAGTACATTATACATATGTATATATATAATTTCTTCCTATACTAATTATGAAATAGTAAAAAATGTAATATTTAAAATTAATAATATTGAGTTCATTATAAATTATACATATATGTAAATGGCTAAAATAAAAAATTATTTGATAATCATTCAATATCACACAAATTCTAAGTCTTACCTAGCGATTTTTAATAATCCGTAAATATGTTGAAAATATACAATTTGGAAAGTACTTGTAGCCATACCGACAAAGCCACCAAAACACAATCCCATTAACCAATGACATAAAATTGCATAATAGTATCTTTTCTCATCGACGAAATATTCTGTTAAAGCATGTAACTCCCGTGGACGAGTTTCATTTAACGGAAAAATTATGTCAAGAAGAGTCGGCATTAATTCAAGAAATATATACAGAGCAATGCTCATGGTGATACTCACTAGAATTTTATATAAAAAAATTACGTGTAAAAAATTCTTTTTGTTCGAATATTAATAATCTATGAGATATTATTGGTGTTCAAATTGTTTTTAACTTTATTTTAAATAACGTAATTTTTCAGTACAAAAATGATTCACAATAGATTTATGTACAAACAAAGCGAATAGTTAGCATGTTGTTCAGTTTAAGAAAAATAAGTAACATACGATTATGTTTTCAAAATTCATATCGCGAGCCTTTGAGATTGTGACTTTCAAGCTCGTTACTTATAACGTATTAAAAAAATGTTAGAATGACATACAATTTTGACCACTTTTCTTTTTAAATAAATCGCATACATGCTATTAGTATCGAATGTAATTCACCAGAAGATGCATATTGCCGCATTATATCGCGTTCTGCCTTGTTTTTTATAAGATTCCAACAGTCATGAATATCTTTCCACATCCGTTTCACCTGTGATTAGATTATTTCAGATAATCTCTGAATATTAAGCAAAATAAGAGAAGAGATACAGAAGCGATGAAATACAGAAAAATCAACTTACTTCGTTGGGTTTAGCATAAAATGAATAGTATTGTACGATATATATGAAAGATGGTACAGCGTACGAGAGAACCATAACAATTGAAGTCATAGTTAATTGGAGTGTTAGAAATGATGTCAACTGAAAGCAGCGAGAATATAAAAATGATATGTTTCGACATATAACGACATATAACGATATGTATGTCATATACCCTTTTGAACGTATATATCTAAAGTAAAATGCTATGATATTGATAAGTTTAAGTAAAATGATAAAAAAATATCAAAAAAAGCCATTAAGATACAGTGCAGTAAATAAAACGAAACATTAATTAATAATTAAGAGATGTTAAAATATATATATGTATGTAGAGTGTTTGATAAAGATTCAACCAATGTTTATAGACGGGTAAAGCGCAGTAAATTGAAAAGTAGTTTCCCATTTTGCAATTTTTACACTAGTTATTGGAATATTAATTAAAAAAGACTGATAAATGAGCATCTGTTTCGCGTAGCTAGATCTTAAGATGTGTCCTTTAGGTAAACCCTCAATAATGTCATATAGCAACGAAAAGTCTGGCCGTGTCTTATCCAATTCATGTCTTTCCGTTCCAGTGTTTCGCTGATGACACCTAGATTACATATCTCATGGCCTAACTAAAGCGAAATGACGCTCATTTATTAATCCTTTTTAATTAATATTTTAATAATTGCAAAAATTGCAAAATGGTAAAGAATTTTTTTGTTCAATTTATCGTGCCCTATCTGCTTAATGTTGGTCAAATCTTTATCAAACACCCTGTACATATATATACATATATATATTTATTTATTTATTTACTTATTTACGTGAAAAAATCTCGAATACATCAGAATTAATTAGTGAAAATAAAATTGCTAGTAAAATTTGAAAATATTATATTTTTAGATGGAAAATTATAATCATATAACAGAATTAATATAAGATTAATATGAGAAACAAATCGTATGATTTCAAATTATTATAGTATTAAATTCTTACTGTTGACTATTTAATATTATATATTTATAGTGTATTCTGAATCATATGTATCAAAACTTTAATATTTTTGAAATCTATTTATAATTTTTGTTTACAAATCGCTATAAGTCGCTATAATTGCTATTTTGAAAGTAAGAATATTAACATAATATTAAATCAGTACTTTTATGTTTAATATAAATTTCACACTAAATGATAAAAACAAAATAAATTTAAGATTAGAGCAACAAATTAGTAATAATTTAATGTTTAATTATAATTTGAATTTTAATTTAACTTAGAGATAACGGATAAACAAAAATGGTAAAAATATGTTATATAATACGTTGCATAATCAATATGTTGCATATTAATATATACACATACATACATACATATATATATACATACATACATACATATATATAATTTAGAAAAGCATACCTGAAAAAATACAAAAGATAACATTAAAGTAAAATGAAAAACATAATTAATTTTCGCAAACTTTGATCGTCGATATGGCCACAAATCAAGCATCGAAAGAAATATTTGATTGATCCTGTAATAACGATTTTCGACGAAGTCTGTCTCACAGCGATTCGAAGACATAGCGACAAAAAAATTATATCGAAATACCATGTGGTACGTTTTCTAATAAGTAGTTTAACTAACTCCCTCGTGTTCGATCGATGTTTTTTTACCATAATATTTTTCTAGCATATAATCAAGGAAACATTTATGATACCCTCCGAGTTGGGAAAGTTAATCGATCGTTTGCATTTATGTTTTTGCGTTGAAGGAAACGACAGGAAGTTGAATTATCGAAATAATATGTTATATTCGCCAGATGCACTTTTCCCAGAATAAGGGAGAAATAATATCCCTCCCTTTTTTTTCACCTGGACGCAGGCGCAATTGTACGTATGTCTTTAAACAGTTTGCCACGACTTCATTGTCATCCGTGATGTTGAGCAGCGCGCTAGGATTGTTCTCTCAAGTGCTCTTGATGATGATGAAATGTGTATGTGTTTATATGTATAAGTGTGTTTATGTGTGTGTATGTGTGTGTTTTTATATATATACGATACAAAAGTTTAGTTATTAAAAAATTCATAATGTAAAGTGGTTTTCTAAAATGGATATATTTACGTAAGTAAAATTTGTCACATGTACATATATATATATATATATATATATATATATATATATATATGAAGATATATATCAATGCCAATAGTAAATTTAAATAAATACAGTGATTTATTTACAGTAAAGTATCCTCTTTGAAAGTTCTTTCTAATATTGAAAGGATCATTAATATTGTTTTCTTTCAATAATAAATATTCGTTTCAAACAATTTTTATTAAACTTTATTTATATTTTAATTATTTACCGGATTTAATTTATTACCGGAAAAATCTCTATTAATTATTTACATTATATGGAAAAAATAATAGCAATTTTCAGCCAAATTGTAGTTTATGTGTATATAATAGTTATTACTTAGTTAAATAGAATTCTGTTCATCATTACATTATTATAATATATAATCACAAATAGGGATAATTAAAATATTGAATGAATAAAGCAACATAACGATTTTGTGCACAATTGTTTTCGGATTATTAGTCATCTCGTATGTGGCTTACTAATTATCCTAAATTAATATTAATTAGAATTGTATATAAATTGTATATAAATGTGATATTTTATATTACATTATATTATATAATTACTGTTAATTTATTTTATATGAGTACACAATGATCGAGATGGCGTTTGATAATTGAAATATTTTGTAACTTTTGTAATTCTTATCTTGCTATCTTTAACATTGCGTAACTATATAATATGTATCCTACAAATATACAACACATACAATACAGTAGCAATGCCTCAGAAGGAAGGAGGCAGCAGACTATGTATCAAAATAAAATAAAAGAACCATTCCTGATCGACAAAATTCGATTGTACATGTGAAATGATATTTCCGAGATTTCTTAAGTAGTATAACAACATAAAGAATATTTGAGAGAAACAAAGTGAAAAAGATTAACTTATGACCTATCATTTATACTTATTATTTATCGCTAAAAAAGAGAGAATGTGGTGGAAAATTTACTATATGTACAAATTTATTTTTTATGTTATGTTAAAAAATTTATATCATTAAATTTAGGAAATCATAATTTATAAAATAATAAATAGCTTAATATGATAAATTCACATATTACACGTATACACGTATTACTATTTCTTATCTTAAAGATAAATGATAAAAAAAATTGAGTCAATATTCACCAAAATAATCGCAGTAAAAAATGTACGTATTTTAATGTATGAATTTTTTTATTTTTAAATTTAATTTTTAATTCTTCTTTTATTTTATTAATAAGGGAAATAGAAAAATCAGATTCTTAGAAAATATTTCTTATGATATATATTATATATTTCTTATAATATATTATATATTTATTTCACATAAATAATCAGAATTTCACATAAAACATCACAATATTATATAAATATACCACTGTTGTACATATAATCAATAATTTAATTATGCAATTTCGAATAAAGAGTGATTAAAGAAAAATTAAACGGAGAAAAAAAATTATATATATATCATTATCCTATTCAAGTGAAGTATTTGAAATATAATAAATAATTTGAATATGATAATGATATATATATATATATATATATATATATATATATATCATTATCATAAAAAAATCTTACTATAAATATAAATGTATTAAAGTGAGAAATCACTAAAAATTTTATGTTTACTTGCATCTACAAGAAAATAAAAGTATAGTTTTTGATCGTATCTCCCTTCTTTCTTAGTGAATAGAAAACATTACGGCGACATAGGATAGTGCACTATTCAGAAGCTAGAAAAATTAATATTGTACACATATTAGCAGAAAATATTGTTTTTTCGTTTCTATAATACTCCTTACCATAGCAAAACTTTCTACCTTTCCCACAATTATAAAACCAATCCTTAAATTAAACTCTTTGCCAGTTTTTTGCATTAAAAACAAAATTAATTTTCGCGAAGGTATAGATATTAAGTACCATGGTGTATCATATCTAAAAATTTACAAAATTATCTAAAAATTATCGCATATAAAATATCTAAAAATTCATCATTAATAAAAATAAAAAATAAAATTATCAGATTCAAGATATTTTACGCAAAATATCCTATTTCTGGACAATCAATAAATAAAATTAGATGAAAAATGGATTGAACTTTTATTATTTACATAAATATATAAATACATTTTTAAATTATAATCGTTACAGGTTTTCAATTTATTTTCCGCGATATAAAAATAGAAATAGAAAATTAAATCCTAACAAAAAAATGCTTATACAAAGTGATGAAGTTCAAAACTTTGAAAAATTGAAAGATTTACACACAAATAACTCTTATACTTGTATCAATTAAACAGAATATAAAATATGTAATACTTACACCCTCTCAAAAATCTCATAATTGTAATCTGTAATTATTTGTCCAAAATAATTCGCTATAAACATGTAAAGTAGATAGAATATAATAGCACCAGATGATATTACTGCATCTTCCAAGTCTTTTGATATACTTATCGCGTTAAGGAACTGTTATATTAGAAATCATATTTTACACGGAATTTGCAATAAAATAAATTTATTTCTTTAATGATATATAATAAATAAATGAATATACAGAATGTTTCATAAGTGGTGGGCAAAATTTCAGGAATGAATTCCTCATGCTTAGAGAAGAAAAAAAAGTTAATCAACATAGGTCCGGAAATGATTAGTTTTTGAGTTATTAAGATTTTTGTAATACAAAATTTTGTCTCATTTCTCGTCTTAGAAGTCCTTTTACAGGCATCAATAATGTTGTCGAGAAAACATTATTGATTCCTGTAAAAGGACTTCTAAGACGAGAAATGAGACAAAATTTTGTATTACAAAAATCTTAATAACTCAAAAACTAATCATTTCCGGACCTGTTGATTAACTTTTTTTTCTTCTCTAAGCATGAGGAATTCATTCCTGAAATTTTGCCCACCATTTATGAAACACCCTATATATATATATATATATATATATATATATATATATTTATTTATTTATTTATAATAAATTAATTAAATACCTACTCTAAATATATTGATGCTCAATGACAATACTCCAAGGAGAGCGAGAATACAAAATGTTATATTAAATGTTGATACACAGAGTTCGGAAAATCTTCAAAAAGTGATGAATAAATTATTACACATATATAGAAAGATAACTATATTATTATACGAAAGAGAACGAAACTATTGCGCCATTGTACGTAAATAATAAAACAAGAAATAAAAGAAAAAAATGTCTAAATATCTTCAAAATATAAAAACAAAAGATAAGATATTGTAAATTGTACTTAATTTAATCTTTTATATTTATGTCCGATGACATCAAAGTTAAACCATAAATATGCTTTTTTGAGAAAATATTTCCAAAAATATACAAAAATTAAAAAACAAAAGAAATATAATGTGTAACTAACTTCATAGCTCTGCGATGTGCAATTACAGCGTGAATTAAATTTTCGCAAAATGCGTATTCCTTTTTAAAATTTGATATATTTTGCAATATGTTATCCTCCATGGAATATTTTATTCGATGACTGCAAATATTTCCAAGTTTAATTCGTGATCGAATCATTAATATAAATTGATCGTTACCTGGTAATTTCAAACATCCCGATAGAATGAAAGACAAATATCAACATTTGCATTGATGTGGCTAATATCATTGACACACATAATAATGACATTAGTCCTCCGTATAGTATTTTAAAGTAAATGTATTCATCTTGCAGGACAAAATATTCCACCTTAATAAGAAGTTTGACTGACCGAGGTTCATCCAATGGCAAAATAATGTTGAGAATAATCGGATGAAATAGTAATAAGCTTACAATGATTATTCCGAAACTGGCAAGCACTAAGATGTGAACACATAAGACAAATATTTTAAAATATTTTATAAACTTAATAAATAATTTAAATTATGTGAATTTTTGTGAATATAATTTGATTTTTATATAAGTGATATATTATATTTTATATCAGTGTACACTATACGTAAATCTACTGATTTTTTAAATATTTGTAAAAATGCTCTTGTATTATGAATATGATATATTCTGATGTAATATATTTATATTTTATTTTCACAAAAAAAAAATTATCTCTTTTTGGATATATATAGATTAAAGAATATCATACACACACGCGCGCGCGTGTGTACATATATATATATATATATATATATATATAAAATTAATTAAAAGATTAATTAATTAATGTTAAAAAATTTTCTTACAGAATACCAATGTAGTACAATATTGGCAATAACGAGCATATTTCTGTATAATCTCGTTTTCAATCTTATTTCGCATTATCTTCCAATCTTTTTGTATTTGATAGTGCAGATTTGCTATCTGTGTGTGTAATTTAAGTGTTTATTGACTTACTTAATGTGTTAGATACAAGTTCGAAAGTAAAACCTTTTGCTTGTGCAGGTAAACTTACATTTCTTGAATTTAATATGAAACAACAATACTTTACTATAATTATTATGAAAGCAAAAGTGACCGACATAATTTTAACGAAGAGATTCATATCATATGTCGTTGTAATAAAAACTGCCAACTGAAAGTAATAAATATATATAGTGATTATATTAATTATAATAAAAATATATAACATATATAAAATATGTATATTATGATAACTATATTGCTGATGTGAATAGGCGATTTCATATATATTGATTTCACATTAAAATATTTTCATTCATTCAAGAATATTAAATTTAGGAAGTAAGTTAATTTTGAAAAAAAAATCTTAGAAAAGTATTAATAAGAAGCTATGTACTATTTTAATTATTTATTATATTTTATACATTTATATTGATTGAATTACTAAAAATCGATTGTTACCTGCAGGAGTACGAATATTACAGTTGAAATAATAATCAGAACTTGTTGCAATAATACAAGTCGCGATTTATCATGAGGCCAGATACCTAATATTTTAAGAAAAAATTTACTTAGTATAGTATAGTAATAATCTTCGACTATAGACATGTTGCAAAAGCAAACTGATTGAACGATGAAGCATCAATGCGCTTAGTGGCGTTATAATACAATACTAATATATTTTTCCCTTCTTTTTCTATCATTTCTTTTAAATTATCTAAAAACTTTGGCAAATGGTAGGATATATTTTTGCTAATAATTGGTACTTACTATAATGTATACATATCAACAAAATTACATTTCAAGAGAACAGTTAAATAGGCAAATAAATATTTCTCGAATGCTATAGTACATTATTATGAAGAGAACGTCAATTATCTAAATTGCTGTGTAAAATTTTTACTTACTCGGTTGCGAGAAAATAGTACTCTTACATTATATCTATTACATTATATTATATTAATACTTTTTTATTTTTTATGACGCGTATGCGCAGTAGCGACTACAAGTATCGGATAATCTATCAGTCTTTTTCCGAACGTTACACTGATCATATCTATTTATAAAGTGCATTACAAATACGCAATATTAATTGTAACAAGTTTTCATATCTTATTACATTTTTATTGTTATCTTAAACATAGATATTACAAGCTGTTTTCAAACTTCGGTTTAGTTAGGATGGCATAAAGCAACGAAGGAAACAAAATAGAAATATATAGTAATACACAGAGAAGAAATATATAATAAAATAAGAGAAATTTATAATAAAGAAAAAATATAATAAAAAAGATACGTAAATAAGTTATAATTATTTATTAACTGATAATATTTCATGGCTCATTTATCATATATAATTATATACTACCGATGCTATATATATTTTTGAATATTATAGTTTCAGGAAGAAACGGTTTTCAAATACTATAAATTCAGATTATTTTAAATAATTATTTAATAATTTATTCTTGATTTTAAAATAAGCCGCTTTAATTATTATCGATATAATAGGAAATGTAGACATTTTATTATTCACTTTTAATTCAAATTGTATTATCATATTTGACTAAATATTATATACATTTTTTTCTTTATAGGATTATCTGTTCATTAGCATTATACATAATATAAGTGTTCAGAGAAAAATAGTGAAGATTATTTAATATTACATATACATATAAAAATAATGAAGATTATTTAATATTACATATACATACAGGGTGTCCCAATTATCTTCCGTCATCTTTCAAAGACAGATTCCTGGGATCACCTGAAGACGATTTTTCCAACGAAAATGTCGAGGCACTAATAATTTTCGAATTATAAGTGATTGGAAATAAGGGATTTTTCATAAACTAAGCTTTGCAGAAATAAAATATTAACAAAACCACATTCTTTGATTAATTTTAAATAGAGTTTACTTTAGTTGAGTTTTAATTTAAAACTTAATTCCAAAGATATATGATGACAAAAAACGGGAACATAGAAAAAATGATGGCCTTCATTGACATTTTCGCTGAGGAAAAATCATCTTCAAATAATCCCAGGAATCTGTCTTTGAAAGATGACGGAAAACAACTGGGACACCCTGTACATACATTATACATTATATAGAGATACATTCATACATATATACAGATTATATACAGATTATACACAGATCACAAACACTCAAATATTTTAAGAACATAGTCGCATTATTTAATTTAATAAATTATTCAGTTGGATAATAAATTTTTCTTTCCGCTATTATTATCGCGTCGAATACATCACCAAAAAATAGGATACTGCCGCATTCGAGAGCTGAAACGGCACAATAAACTCCTCTTTAAATCTAAATAAAAAATTGATTTTATTGTTAAAGAAATTTTAATTTTACCGAAGCGAAACTTTCCAAAGATACTACATATAAGCGGCCAAATACTAAAGTACCGTTTATATTCCTTTTTTGCATTATAAATAATAATAATTTCTGTATATGTAATGGAGCTGTATACCACAGTCCATTATAACTGTAATTTTTAAAATAGATTTAAATAGAAATATTTACAGATCAACAAAAAAGTAAATCGTCACATTTTTGATATAATTAATGTTAAATTAACAGCCATACGTGTACAAGTATCGAAATAATAATCAGTTTAAGTTGAATGTAAGCGATACATTGTGTGAAAGTAATATATACAGGGTCAGTCATTTTATAAGTTACCCATCCCAATAACTTTTTTTTTTTTTGATTGTAGAAACAAATGAAAAAAGTTGTTTATACTCACGTTGCTTCGAAAAATTCCATTCCATGATCTGTTACTTTTTGTCCGCCGTAATTACCGATAAACATATAACTTAAATGAATGATAATAAATATAATGACTAAAATTCCATCTTCAAAGTTGCTATTATTTATTAATGTCAGCTGTTAAAAAAATCAAGGAATATTTAGATATTGAAGAGCCAAATCGAAAGCACAGGGTATAAAGAAAGATATTATTCTTACTTGAAAAAGATTGATACTTAAAGAGGTAACGCCAACAAAAATCAGAATGGCGAATAATAGCGTAAATTTAAATGTAAAAAGTTTGGTAAACCTTTAAGGAGAGAAACAAGATATTGAAACTGTGGCATTATTAATATAAATGTTTTGTCACATATATTCAGTTATTATAAATATTATGTTCTTCTATATGAGTAATATACATGTCATTTAATATCATTTAAATGACAAAGCTGTCAGAGATTTTACAAACAAAAATATTATGAAAAATATATATAAAGCACATGATTTTGAAAAAAATTATAAATCATAAATTACAATTATAAGAATTACATAAATATAAAAAAAAGTCTATAATATACATTTAATTCTCATTTGTGCTTGATTTTAAATTTTAATTATTTTGCATTTTATTTAATATGTACATATATTTAAGAGATATAATTAATAAAAATGGACAAAAATGGATGATAAAAATGAAGTTGGATGAAATGGATGAAATGGATGATAAAAATGGACAAAAATGGATGATAAAAATGAAGTTTCAATCGCATTTTTTCACAAAAAAAAGATAAGATGCAAAAAGAATGTTGTAAGAAATATGTAAAAATATACTAACTCGATTGCCCTTCGATGAATAAGAACCGCATGTACAATACTCTGATAAAAGAGATAGTGTTTTTCAAAAGTAGGGATCATTGACACATTTTTGTCGATAACATTTACTATTGGACAACTATATTAATTAATTTATATATATTACATATTTATTTAGTTATAACATATTAATTATATATTACCGATTTAAAGCAAATTTATTCAAAAAATAATCGCACTTACCTTGCGATTTTAAATAGCGCACATGCATGGCACACATATGTCATAATTGTTAAAAATGTACCATACAGTGTGATTAATCCTACGAAACATACTAATATTTCGTGTAATAATATAATATAAATATATTTTTCTTGGTTGATAAAATATTCTGTGATTATAAAAATTCGAAAGGGCCGTGATTCATTCAATGGAAATAAAACATCAAGAAATAATGGCAATAATTGAAGTATTGAAAGCAAGAGAAAGCAAAAAATACCAATCACTGAAAAATGTTAGATTTGAATTTACCAAATTTGAATTCAATTATAATAAATTATTCAAAGATTATACAAAGTTTTTTTATATAAAAATATTTTCGATTTGTTCCCTGTTTTTTTTTATCACCAACTCGAATAAGATTTTGTATATATAACAAATAAAAGAAATATTAAGGAATTGAAAATCTAATAATATATACTTTGTCAATACAGTATATAATTAATCATATATATTTCACATTCTCACCTATTAAAATTATTGAAAAAAATTGTATGCTGTAAAAATATTTTTCTAAAATGTCAAATTCCAATTTATTTTTCAATAATCTCCAATCATTTCGCATTCGTTCCAGCATCTTCTTCACCTGTTCATTCCATATTCGCCAACGGTTTCAATGCAATTCATTTTTCAAACGTTACAACGAAAGATTTCAATGAATCTTACTGTGAACTTACGTTATCTGCTTGAATGATAAAAAGACAGTATTTTACAGTGACGAAAAGAACAGGAAACACAATCGAAAGAATCCTAAATAGAAGATTGATACTGTACTGCGTTGTAACGAATACCAATAACTAAAAGAAAATAACATCTTTAGAATTGATAACAATCTCGTATATAGGATATGTATGATTGTCATCATAAATTTTAGCAGATTGGAGAAGATGAAGAGAAGTATGTTCATTTCGTGCTTAAGATCGATGCATTGTGATCTAAATATTACTATCTTATATGGAAGATTGAAATTTGAATGATTAAATATTTATACTTGGACAAGAATAAATGTACAAAGAAGACCTGCAAACAACATTTTATGTATTCGTGTGAAATATGATTGCTGATAGGGCCATAAACCAAGAATCTTAAGAAGTACTCGATTGACTTTGTAATAACGTTCTTCTGTCGCGTACATTTTACACAAAAACTGTTAGACGAACTTTTGAATTTTCGAATTATTTCTTTCCACATTTTCCGTCAATTTTCAACGATCGATATCTTTACACAGCAATTATTGTAAAGATGGTTGTATTTCCATTATAAAATTACATATTCATGATATAAATGAAATAGAATTACTGAAATTGCCTTAATATTGAATATATCTTAATATATACGAGCAATATATTTTTAACACATATGTTTGCGCAAACGCAGTTGTGACTTTTGTAGTGGAGAGAATTTTGATATCTTCCAGTGCAATGTATGAAGTATTACTCATATATTTGATGAATCTACATTATCGAATAGACAAAATTAAAGAAAAATACAAAACCGAAGATTATTCGTATTCTCATATAATCTTTTATTTGTTTTATTTTACACTTTTATTATACACTTAAAAAAATCAAATAAAAAAGCTGATATAAAAAATTTTCATGCAGTGTAAAGTAAGTTTGTACTATAATATGTATATAGAATATCCCATTTTAATTTCCCATCGCAAATATTTTATAAATGATGTGTCGTGGAGAATGTTTAAAACAAAAATTATTTCGTTCAAAAGTGGAAAAAAGATATGGACATTAGTTTGATCTTAGGTACGCGTGTAAGTTTATGTTAATATCAACACGTGTGCATATACATACGTATAAAAATATTTATACGTACTAAAGATTTTGTCGTTGTAACAAAGTATATAGATTCGATATATGTACATAATTTGAAGAAACTACAAAATGTCTTGATGTAAAAAATGTAAATTAATTTTCTTTAATAGTTATTTTTTAATTACTGCGTTTTGCCTAAGAAATAATATTGTTTTTTTTTATATACATGCATGATGGAAAGTATTCTTCATGTATCAAACAATATATAGAGATCTTTATATGCATCAAAGTTTATGCTGATTGAATTTATATAACTAAGAAATAAATCTACTGTATCAAATATACAAATTTCTCACATTTTATTGCATTCTTATCATTTCAATTAAGATGATAATATATAAGACAAATTTTCGTCAATACCTGTAATTGTTGCTTGGGTAATATGTGAATAAAAATATATAAAATTAGAAGAAATATATCTTTAATAAAAAAGATATTGAATTACATAACTGATTAATTAATTATTTATATCCAGTTATTATTGTTATTATTGATATCCCGTTCTTATTGAATAAACTTATTCATGTTAAAATAAATAATCCGTTTCAAAGTTTAATGATCAGTATGTTATTTCTAAACTCGATTAGGTTTCCATCAATCTCTTTGGAAATTTTCCTATTTATTGGAATTATTTGAAAATATCAAGAATGAAAGAATATACGTTCATATTATATAGTAATTACAGTAAAACAAGGAGAAAAGAAGAAATCTACAGAGATTATTCGTAGAGTGCAGTAACGGATAAATATATGTGTGTGTGTATATATATATATATATATATATATATATATATATATATATATATATATATATTGTTCTAAATCTATGATATATAGATCATTTTAAAAACGGTAGACTCACGTTTGCGATAAGTGTTCAGACTAATAAAAAACATAAAAAAGAGTAAAAAATTACATAATTACTTAATAATTAATTATTTTTTATGGCTTATACATCATATACAATAATGCTATCTGTACCATATACTTTTTTGAAAACTATAGCTTCAAGAAGAATATCAGAAAATTTTTTAATAGTTTATAATTTATAATTTATAACATTAATTGAATATAATAATATAATAATAATATAATTGAATATAATATATAATAATAATTGAAATAAAAATCGATTTAATGTTTTATCCTCAATATCATAAGCGGGATATTGAATTCTTTTTGTTCACTACATTCAAATTGTACTATTCGATTAATCAGTTCATTAGTGTTGCACATAAGTGTTCAAAAAACAGTAAATGTTTATATTCATATATACATATACATGTTATACACAAATATTCAATACGAAAATCTTAATGCTAGATTATTTAATTCGATAAATTGCCCGATAATTATAATTATTTTTTTTTCTGCTATATTTTATCGTATTATCGTGTAGAGTATATCACCATAAAGTAAGATACTGCCGCATTCGTAAGCTGAAAATAGCAATAAACAACGATAATAAATTATGCCTTAAATCCAAATTAAAATTCGATTTTATTATTAAAAAAATCTTAATTTTTAATTTTTTACCGAAGCAAAACCTTCTAAGGAAGCAAGAAATAAGTTACCGCATATTATACTGACATTGATTATTCCTTCTTGCATTATAAATAATAACATTTTCTGCGTGGGCAATGGTACTGCATACTACAGTCCATTATAACTATAATTTTTAAAATGAGATTTAAATAGAATTAGTTAAGGATTAATTAAAAGTTGATTTTAACGATATAATTTCATATTCTATTAATAGCTATACATATACAAGTATAATAGAATAATAATATAATCAATTAAATCGAATGTAAGCGAAAAGCATTAAACAAAGATATGTTTTCGTACATATAATTCTAAAAGTATATATTGTAAGACATGATACTTACGTTGCTTTAAACACTTTCATTCCATGATCTGTTACTTTCTGTCCTCCGTAATTAATAATAAACATGTAACTTATGTGTACAACAATAAGTACAAAAATTATAAATATATCTTCAAAATTGCTATTATTTATTAATGTTATCTGTTAAAAAATTACGGAAGGTTTAATGAATTAAATAAAAAGCATAGGATAGAAAAATACACATACACACACTTACTTGAAAAAGATTGATACTTAAAGAGATCACGCCAACAACTATAAGAATGGCGAATAATACCGTAAAATTAGATGTAATAAGTTCGGCAAGCCTTTAATTCCTTTAATAAGGAATTACTGTATTGGAACTGTAATATTATCAATAAAAAATTCGATAAAATATTATCAATAAAAAGTTCGATATATATTCAGTTATAATTATGCTGTTATACGAGTAATGTATATAAGTGAAACTTAATCGACAATAACTGAGATTTTACATCTTATAGAAGTAATATATTGTTAAGTTTACATGCGCTTTTTAAAAGAAATTATAAATCATAATGTTAAGCTCATATGTGCTTTTTAAAAGAAATCATAATCAATTATATAACATTTGTGAGCAATATATTTATAACATATATTTAATTCAAGTTTGTATTTGATATTAATCGATTTGTTTGGATTTTGTTTAATTCATAAAAATACTGAAGAGATGCAATTAATCGTGCAAAAATGGCAAAATGTAAATCAATTTCAGAAAATCACTCCTTTTCACAACAGAAAGACGAAAAAGATTATAATATAATAAAAATGTAAATGTAAATGTATACTGACTTGATAGCCCTTCGATGAATAAGAACTGCATGTACAATTCTTTCAAATAAATACTGTCTTCCAAAAATAGCTAACGCACTTTTTCCGATAGCTTTTTCTATTCGATAATTGTATAAATTTACTTAAATATATATTTATCTAATTATGTTTTTGATTGAGGAAAAGTGCATTCAAAAATAATGATGCCTACCTTTTAAATAGCGCACATGCATGCCACATATATGTCAAAATTGTTATAAACGTACCATATAAAGCTATTACTCCTATTATGCATGCATACCTATGCTAATACCTCGTGTAACAATATAATGTAAATATATTTTTTTTGACTGATAAAATATTCTGTGATTATAAAAGTTCGAAAGGGCCGTGATTCATTCAATGGCAATATAACATCAAGAATTAATGGCAAAAATTGAAATATGAAAAACAAACGAAAAGCAAAAAACAATAATCACTAAAAAATGTTCTGAATTTGAAATGATCTGAATTTGAGTCCAATTATATTAAATTATATAAAAAAGTAAGATTATTTAGATTTATTTCCTGTCCTCCCCTTTCTTTACCAACATGAAATCGTAAAAAAAAAATAAAAGAAATATTAACGAAATAAAAATCTAACATTATATAATATTTATTAATATAATATACAGTTAATAATATATATTTCGTTTCTATCTATTAAAATTATTGAAGAAAATTGTATATATATATATATATATATATATATATATATATATATATATGTATATGCGTACTAAAATGTTTATAAATATTAAAAAATTTGGATGTTGTGTAACAAAATATAAAGAATATAAGATTTAACATGCTTTCAAGAGAGTACAAAATATCTTAATACAAAAAAATCTAGATTAATTTTCTTTAATATAATATAAAAATAAAAAAAGAAAATATTTTTCATATATATTTTGTATTTAAGCATATTAATTGATACGAATGGAATATGTAGTAGATAATTTTTTTACATAAAAACATACTTGTGTTTTTTATGTAATTTTCAACTTTATTGTTTTTGCTCTTGATAGTTATATCTATTTAGTATGTAAATAGGTATAACGATATCAAGAATAAAAGAATATGTATTATATTCTAGAAATTTGTAATGCATATATATATATATATATATATATATATATTTATTTATTTATTTTATATTAATTTAAAGATCTAGCCGACAAATAAAATTTCCTTTGTAGTTATTACCGCGTAGAATAAATCATTATGAAATAGGATACTGCCGCATTTACAAGCTAAAAAGGACACATACATTATTACTGCTTAAATCTACGTTAATCCATTACAATTTGTTAAAAAAAAAACTTTTAATTTTACCGTAGCAAAACCTTCCAAGGAAGCAGCAAATATGCCACCGCATCTTATATTGATGTCCACCATTCCTTCTTGCATTATAAATAATAACATTTTTTGTATTTGCAATGGTGCTGCATACCACATTCCATTATAACTATAAATTTTAAACGCTGAAGTAAAATAAGAAATAAACTAGCAAAAAGCTAAACATAATCTAATTAATATTCGATCAACTGCATGTTTAAAAGTATTAGAAAAATATTTATATATGTATAATAAGATCGATATGAAAATTATTTAGTATTTATATAAACATAGTGAAACATGATACTCACGTTACTTTGAAAAGCTTCATTCCATGATCTGTTACTATTTGTCCCGCATAATTGGCGTCGAACATATAAATTATATGAATGCCAATTAATAAAGCAAGTACCATTGTGTGTGTGATATTATTCATTAGTGTTATCAATTGAAGAAACTACAACGAAATGCCACTTAAAAAACAATGAATTAAGCATAAAATAAATAAATAAATAAATATATAAATATTGCTTACTTGAAAAAGACTTAAACTTAAAGAGCTGACACCAACTACGATCAGAATAGCAAATAATATCGTAAATTCAGACGTGAAAAATTTAATAAACCTTCAATAAGATGTTAAATATTAGAATTGTTACATTATAATTGTTATTATGATATAGACACATAATCTTTGATATATTCAATTTTCTATGCCATGTGATAAATAAACGTGATTCTGATTTCATATTTAATCTTGAGATGGTAATTATCTAGTTCCATACTTTAAAGAGATATTACATTTTTAAGAATCTATATGTGTTCATCGAATACATATTTGAAATAAGTTGCAAATCTTCAATGCATTTTTATTTTTTCTAAATGTGCTTAATTTTAATTGCTCATAAAATTTTGTTGTGATTTCACTTAATGTAAAAATATATTAATAAACAATTTAATATTAAACATGTAGTAAAATAACGCGGTTTTAAAATCAGTTAACTGTTTTTAGTGAATTATGAATAACACAAAAAAACAGAATGCAAATAGTTTTATAACAATAAAAAAATATAAACACTCACTCGATGGCTCTTCGATGTACAATAACTGCATGTACAATCTTTCGGTAAAGAAGATGTTCTTTTGTAGGGCTAGAGATTGCTAATATATTCCATTTCATCGCGTTTTCTATACGATAACTATATAATTATTTAGATATATTTCTATTTTACAAACAGTGACAAGCGCAATTAACATTACCTTGCGATACTAAATAGTGCACATGTCTGCAGAAGATATGTGAAGAATGTCGAACTGGTGCTACACAATGCAATTATTGCTACGATTATGGCTACTATATGATGAAACAATATAGGGTATATATATTTCTCTTGGTTGACAAAATATTCCGTAATGACGATAAGTCGATAGGAACGTGACTCGTTTAATGGTAATACAAAATCAAATATTAACGGCAGGAATTGAATAATTATGAAAATGATTAATCCAGAACAGCATAAGCCTGAGAAAAATTTAGATTTAAAAACGTAAAGAATTCAAAGCAATACATATATTTAAACATTCAAATATATATTTAAACATTCTTTATCTCGTTAATTATAAAAATTTCACAAAAACATATAAAAGCGATAATACTATTATCTTACACATCAAACTTATTGTGAAAAGATTCGCAAAATAAGAATATTTCTTTATAATGCCAATTTCTAATTTATCTTTCAATAATTTCCAGTTGTCTCGGTTCCGCTCCAGCATTTGCTTCACCTATTTATTTCACTTTTCCTTATACCTTTCTTTATATTAAAATACAATTTGTTTTATCCATGTTACAATACTATGTTCGAAAAGATTATATATTATATCTTATTTTAAACTTACACTATCTGCTCGTATAATAAAAAAGCAATACTTTATAGTGCAGAAAAGAATAGGCAAGACAAACGAGAAGATCTTGAGAAGAAGGTTTGTACTGTACTGCGTTGTGATGAATAGCAATAACTAAGAACAACAGATATATTTAGAAGATATAATAATAAATAATTTTTATCTTTCTGCCAACAAAATATTATTTTATATATTAGAACAAAATATTGTTTTATATGTTAGAATGCATTAAATTAACATTTTTTGTTTCAAAATTAAATTCAAATATCATAAATTTAAAAAAATTTATACATATACAGGATGTCCCATTTTAACTTGGATAGTAAAATATCTCAAAACCTAAGCCCAGCAAACAAAAATATTTCAGACAAAAGTTGTATGGTTTCGAGGGGGACATAAGATAGTACCATTTGGAATAGTTTTGAGTATTTAGTTTGTATCATTTCTGTGTATGTACACACACACACACGCGCGCGCGCGCGCACACGCACACACACACACACACAAATACACACATATATTTATATAAATTAATAATCACTATCGAAATGAATTCGACGATACAAGGTTTTTAAGATTAAAAAAGCATGAAAATATACAATAAATGTATTGGTATTAATTTTACGATTTTTAAAATCAATTTTTTCAAATATAAATAATCATATAAAAAATCATATAAAAATCATATAAAAAATCATATAAAAATGTTTACTTTACTTCGAGTATTTCATATTAGAGAAATATATTCCTATTCAACATCAAAAATTAATATTGTGCAAATCTAGAAATGTCTGTATTTCTAATATACCTTCTTATCGTTTTATCTATATGAAAATTGCATTGCTATATATAAAATTCGAATTGTAAAACGTTTTTAGGAATTTGCGCCTCTGCATGATGAAGCTCTTGATGTTTTATTTGTTTATTTGTTAAATTTATTAAAATGTATATTTATTTAAATGAAAGTTATTATAATTAATCATTTTTGTAAAAATTATAAGTATAGGCTAAATATACCTGGGCAAGAATAAATGTCGAAAGAATACTGATAAAAAACACTTTTTGTATCCCTGCGAAATATGATTGTTGGTAGGGCCATAAGCCAAGTATTTTAAGAATTAACTGATTAATTTTATTATAATATTCTTCTGTCGCGTGCATCTTATACGAGAGTTGTGACACAACTATGACACAGACTTTATATTTTCGCATTATTTCTTTTAAAATTGCTCATAAATTTTTCAAGTGATCCATATTATCACATAATGATAGTTCGAATATATAAGAAAATTGTTATAATGGTTATAATTTTCTAACAGCGGAAGTTAATTTGTTTATGATATAAGTGAAACTAAATTAGCCGAAATTATGTCAATTTGAGAGCAATTTTAAAAATTATAATATTAAAAATTTTGTTGCGCAAACGCATTCATGTTTTTTTTCAACAAAAAAAGTTTCAGTTTTTGTCGGTGCATCGTAAGATATGTTACTCACTCTGGAAGTAATACTCTGTTTTGTTTTATCGGATTATACAAAGAACATGAATCATATTTAAAAAAATTGTAGACTGATTCATTCATTTGTTCATTATTATTATACGTATATAATCTATAATTGTGAATTTCTATTTTTTGTTATATTTTTTTTAAGAAAGTTGTAAGCAAAAATCTATCTCTAAATTTTCATGTAGTGACAGATAAAATTTGATCGATTTATTCGTTATAGAATATGTGTGCCTATTAAAATAAATATTTATATAAAATTTTAACTGCTGCAGCAAAATATGCAGCATTCTCTCATATGTATGAATTGAAAAAGTATATATATATATATATATATATATATATATATATAATAATAATAACCATAATAATAACAACAATCATAATAATAATAATAATAATAATGTTATTATTATTATTGTTATTGAATATTGCAAAAAAAACAATTATTTAATCTAATTAACGAAAATATTCAGATACAAGTTTGATAAATTATCTATTTATTGGTATTGCATAATTTACTATTGTATAATTGTTAGAAGTGAAATAATGTACGTTTATTTAATATATTACTTTAATCATATTCATCAACATTTACATGCTGCACGACTATATTCACTTGAAATAGATCTACCCAATTAATAATGAATTTTGATAAAATATTGATAATGAACTTGACTTATCTAGTAGAATAAATTACCGTAAAATAAGATACCGCTGTATTAGTGAGCTGAAAAAGATACGTAAACTGATTGTAAAATTCACATTAAATCGATTCTAGTTTATTCCCAGAAAATTTTTAATTTTACCATAGCAAAACCTTCCAAAGATGCAATAAATAAGCTTCCACATCCTATAGTGACATTTATCTTCCCTTTTCGCATTACAAATAGTAATAATTTTTGTGTATGCAACGGTGCTGCGTACCACAGTCCATTATAACTGTAATTTTTAAATATTAATAATTTAAAAAAATATTTTTTTAATGCTAGAATCGGAATTGTGTAAGTTAGCAAACAGTTATTTCCATTTTATAATTTATAATTATTGTGAAATTGATTGTATTTTTAACAATATCAGATATGTGTATATATATATATATATATATATATATGTATATATAAAATAAATTTATAAATATAACTTTTTAAAAGTATTATAAAATAAAATATGATACTCACGTTGCTTTAAAGAATTTTATGCCATGATCTGTTATTTCTTGTCCGGCACAATTAGCAAAGAACAAATATATTAAATGAGTAATTATAAATATGCCGAATATGAATGCCTCATTAATATTGTTTGTTAATGTTACCATTTGAAGAAACTACGATAGATTGCTCAATGATCAGTCCATAATTAAATAAAATAAAGAAAAAAGGGGAAAAGAGACAAAACAGATGTTACTTACTTGAAAAAGATTGAAACTTAAAGAGCTGATGCCAACTATGATCAGAATAGCATATGATACCATAAAAGTAGATGTTAAAAATTCGGTAAACCTTTAACGAGGAGCTAGATATTGAAACTATTAATAATATAAATAGTGCGAACTTCAAAATATATTCATTTATGATAATTATTACGTTTGTAATATAACTGTCGTACAATCAATGTGTAAAGTATTAGATATATTTTACAACCGCATACATTTATTATTAAAGATTAAGTTGCCAGATTTTATTCAGATTTTTCCAAAATTTTAAAAACAAAATGCAATTAAAATTAATTTATTGAAATATAGTTTGTATATATTTCAAATTCAAATTAACATAATTAAAATTATATAAATTTAAAATTCAATAATATATTCAATTTTGAACTGTAATTAACTTGTAACTCAGATTTTTAATATGTGTCGAAAAGAAATATTAAGCATTGAACGTGCTGTGTAAATGCCGACATCAAGTTTAATTGACAAGAATTTTAATTGATAACAAATACGGGATGCTATAAAATGTATAATAAAGACATATAAAAAATACTAACTCGATTGCCCTTCGATGTATAACAACTGCATGTACAATCCTGCGGTAAAGGAAACGTTCTCTTCTAGGATCAGATATCGCTAATATATTTTTTTCAATTGCGTTTTCTATTCGGTAGCTATATAAATCTATATTTAGATTGAAATATATGTTACAGGAGAGAATACATGTGCATGAATTCATGACATTACCTTGCTACTTCAAATAGTGCACATGCGTGCAAAATGTACATCATAATTGTCGCACCCGTGCCAAATATTGTGATCGCTATTATCAAAACAGTTATTATCTCGTGCAACAATATAGCGTAAATGTATTTCTCTTGGTTAATAAAGTATTCCGTTACTGCAATGATTTGACAGGGGCGTGACTTGTTCAACGGAATTATAATATCAAGGATCATCGGTAGAAGTTGAAATATTGTGCAAAATATTACACCTAAGAGACAGAACGCTAAAAATCGTTTTAAATTTTAATTTCTTAATTGGAATCCAACTATGTAAATTATTTCAACAATAAGTTTTAAGTTGCGCTCAAATATACCTTCTGTCTATTAATTAAAAGTAATTAAAAAAATTACATTACAGAAACAATAATATTATATGACATCTATAATAACATATGTACATGTATATATATATATATATATATATATATATATGTATGTATATATGTATATATGTATATATGTATATATGTATATGTATATATATATATATATATATATATATATATATACATATATATTTCAAGATCTATGGGACAATGATCAAGAAGTAGTAAATTTCACCAAGAGAATCATTTTTTGTCAAGAAATCCATGTCCTGCAATGCATCATAGAGTTATGCGTTCTTGTTCGGACCTGAATATTAATCCACAAATAAAAAAATTAATCATTTAAATAAAAAAAAATAAGAAAAGAAAGCAGAAATAAAATTAAAAGATATGTATCAAAGTATTAAATATCACGTGCAATATATCGCACGACGGATTACCTACCTACTTTATAGGCGGTTCAAACAGAAACGTGTAGCTCTTTAAGGATATGTCGAAGTTTTTTGATAAACATTGATTCTTTTGGTAAGATCTATCACCTCTTGCAGTATGCTCTAAAATATCTTAGATCCTAAAATATCTTAGGATATATAGAATAGATAACAATATTGTGAATAATTATATTAGTATCTTCTTGTATACCCATCACAATCATTGTAAAAAGTCTGGAGTTGCAAGCATATTTCTCTATAATATCAATTTCCAATTTATTTTTCAACAATCTCCAATCATTTCGGACTTGTTCCAATAATTGCTTCACCTGTTTAATTTTTTCCCTTATCAGTAATTAAAATATAATTTTTTTATAAGTGTGTTATATATATGAATAAATAACTCATCTTGTTGGACTTACACTATCTGCCTGAATGATAAAAAGGATATATTTTATAGTGCCGAAAAGAGTAGGGAAGACGAGTGAAAGAATCTTGAGAAGAAGATTTATATTATATTGGGTCGTAATGAATACCAGCAACTGTGTAGGAACAATATTCATTTCACATAAAAAATATGTATTACATATAAAATTCGTTTTATTATGCGATAAATAAAGAAAGTTCTTAAAGCATTTTTTTATAAAATATTATAGAGAAAAAAATAAATCGCAGAAATACTTATAATCAGTATATAAAAATTTTGTGTATATACGTGTATATGATAGTACGAGAAACTTTCATTTCAAAGTTTTTATAAATATCACATATTAAAAATCAAGAAAGACATTCTAAAATCTATTCGATTTACTATAATATTTGTTGCTTTTTAAAAATTTATGAAAAAAATATTATTTATATCTCTTACGTAAAAAAATTCTAAATTTACAATATTATTTGATATAAAAATTATATATTATATAAAAAAATAAAATAATAAAATGAGGAAAATCGAAATAAAACCAAAATATCTATTAATATGCGTATTTAATTAATGTTATCACACTCAATTCACAAAAATTATAAATGTAACTGAATGCATACCTGGACAAGAATAAATGTCCAAAGAATACCGGCAAACAATATTTTATGTATTTGCGTGAGATATGACTGCTGATAAGGCCATAAGCCAAGTGTCTTGAGAATTATTCGATTGATCTTGTAATAACGTTCTTCTATTGCATGCATTTTACACGACAAAAGTAATATAACTGAGAAAGGAACCCTTGAATTTTCGAATTATTTCCCTCGATATTCTCTCTCAATTTTCAACGATCGATATAATTGCCAGTAATTATTATAAAGAGAGTAGTATTCCAACAATTGTGAGTTATATATTTATGATATAGATGAAAGCGCGAATTATTTTGAATTACCTCCATTTGTAAGGGCAATATATTTTTATATATTCTTGCGCAGACATGATCGTTTTGTTTTGCTAGTGGGAAGACTTTCAATATCTCTCTCAGTGAATCGACGAAAGCATTAATCACTCATACATTTGGTGAATTTATAGAGTAGAAAATGGATTGTATTTAAAAATAATAAAGAACTATGGATTTATACATTCATTATAAATATAACTACAATATATAATCTTTTATTTTTTTATTGCTTCAGAAAATCAAAGGAACATGCTGATATAAAAATTTTCAGGCAGCGTTAAGTGTGTCGTTTGATTAATATAACATCTATATGTATATATAATATATATATACAAAATAAATAAAATATATATATAATATATATATACAGTGTCCATTTAATCCCCACCCCAAATACTTTCTTATTTTTATTTTAGAAAAGATGTTTCAGACAAAATTGTATGGTTCGAGGGGACATAGATGGTACATTAATTTGATCTTGAAGATCACATGAAGTTACGTGAAACATTTCAATTTCTTAAATGGAACATATATTTTTGATATTCTTTAGTTATTCAAGCTTTCCAAAACTATAAATAAAATCATCAATACGTCAGTAATGAGGCTAAATCATTTCTTAATTTTACATAAACCATAAAATATCTTGTAAAATATTCATTTTTTGATTATCTTACCTTAATACTTTTATGTACAAAATAATGAGAGAAATCCATTGGTGCAAAGAAAACATACAGTTGTTTTTAAGAAAAAAATATGTAATTTGCAATTAACAATTCCATATTTTTTCTTAAAAACAACTGTATGTTTTCTTTACACCAATTGATTCCTCTCATTATTTTGTACATAAAAATATTAAGGTAAGATAATCGAAAAATGAATATTTTACAAGATATTTTATGGTTTATGTAAAATTAGGAAATTACTTCAAGCCTCATAATTCGAAAAGTACTTGATGAAAAAATGTTTATTTATAGTGTTTTGGAAAGCTCTCGAGATAAGCTACAAGAATATGCAAAAATATATAGGGTGTTCCATTTAAGAAATTGAAAATGATCTTCACGTAACCTTCATGTGACTCTTCAAGATCAAATTAATGGTACCATCTTATGTCCCCCTCGAAACCATACAACTTTTGTCTGAAACATCTTTTCAAAATTAAAATAAGAAATTATTTGGGGTGGGGCATTAAAATGGGACACCCTGTATATAGTGTTTTAAGTGTCCACATTAAATATCTCGTAAATGATGTGTTATGAGAAACGTTTGAGATAAATTTAATTGAATGGAGAAAAAGAAAGAGAATTTCATTTTGAATATAGGTATCAAGATCATATGAACATTATAACCTGATTTTGTGAAATACGTATGTATAATTTATTTATAAACCTCGCAGTATTCGGAATTGATATAATGATATGATGGCTAAAAATTGAATAGTTTATGGCATATTTTATACTTCGACATAACATCATAACTACGAATATCTTGTCAAATATTTTTTGACTATTTCACTTAAATACTTTTATGCACTATATAATGAATGAAATCGCGTAAAGAATATATAGTTTTTTTTAATTCCTTCGGTGTTAGAATTTATTCATCAAAATAAGCCAAAATTATGCATGATCATGTTTACAAATTTGAAAATATAATGATATGTATTATTTGGCGAAGATATTAAAAGATAAATAAAGTGAGATAAATAAAAATTTGAAATCTCAAATTGGCAAAATTTAAAATGATGGATTTATTATAATGTATGAAAAGATGGAAATATATAAAAAAAATAAAATTATAACCTATAAATATAATATAATCTATAGTTTTCAAGGCAACTGAATAAAAATTCATAAAATTTTTAAAATTAAAAATGATATTAGATTAAATATGACGGACAAAAAAATAAAAATATATAAAAAAGTGAAATTTTGGTTTATTGTGCGATAATATAAGAATTTGTTATACAATTATTCAAATTCAAAACAGCGAATAAGTAAAACTCAATATTGACACTATTGTTTCTTCTATAGTAAGTTAAGATATAAGATAATTTTATAAAATATTTTATGGTCCCAGAGTACGTCACGAAAAAGATGTGGTAGGATGTAGCGTGGCACTCGTTTTTTACTTTATAATTTTTCTTCTTTTTCAAAATTTCTAATTTTTTAGTATTTCTAATAATTTTGTAATTTATTAGAATTCATATTTTAGTTGACTCTTACGATATAATAATTTTTAATACGAGGAATAATCTTGTAATTTTTTTCTTTCAAAATCTTATAAATTTTGTCTAAAACATTTTTTTATATGGCGCATCAAATTTCGAAGAAAACATCTTGTAAAACTTTATATTCTGTACATATTTATTCAACAATGTTATTCAAAAACTTTACAATGCACATATGTTGCATGATTGTTCACTTCAATAAATTACCCGATTGATAATAAATATATATTTTTTTTCTGCTACGTTATTATCGTGTAGAATGCATCACCATAAAATAAGATACTGCCCGCATTTGTAAGCTGAAATTGATACAATAAACTTCTTAAATCCAAATTAAAATTCAATTTTATTGTTAAAAAAACTTTTTGATTTTACCGAAGCAAAACCTTCCAAACATGCTATATATAAACGGCCCCATATTATAGTAACATTTATATTTCCTTTTTGCATTATAAATAATAATAATTTCTGTGTATGTAATGGTGCTATATACCACAATCCACTATAACTGCAATTTTTGGAATGATTGATTTAAAGAAAACTGGTTACAAAATAGAAAAGAAGTTAATCGCTAAAGATTTTTGATATAATATAATTACTGGCTGTAACACATACATGTAAAATGTGAAATTGGTTTAAATCGAATATATATTTGCACCAAGATATAAAATACATAATATACATATAATTCCAAAAACATATTGTAAAATATGATACACTTACGTTGCTTTAAATACTTCCATTCCATGATCTGTTACTTTCTGTCCACCGTAATTAACAATGAACATATAACTTATATGTATAACAATGAGTAGAATGACTATAAATATATCTTCAAAACTCCTATTGTTTATTGATGTTAGCTGTTAAAAAATTACGGAAGGTTTAATGAATTAAATAAAAAGCGTAGGATAGAAAAATACACACCACACACACAACACCACTTACTTGAAAAAGATTGATACTTAAAGAACTGACCCCAACAATGATAAGAATAGCGAATAATACCGTAAAATTAAACGAAATAAGTTTGGTAAATCTTTAAGAAGGAACTACATATTGATATTATCAATATATAAATACAATTTGATAAATATATTTAATTAGAATAATATGTGTTATATTCCTATATGAACAATGTATATATATATATATATATATATATATATACATATATATATATATATATAATATATAATATGTAATTTAATCCTATCTAACCTTACTAACAACATCTAAGATTTCACATTTAAAAAATACCATATTGCTAACTATGAATGTATCTTTCAAAAGAAATTAGAAATTACATAAAATTATATAATAATTATATAAATGAATGAATATTTATAACACATATTTAATTTATAGATATATCTCTTCGATATATCGAATATATTCGATATATCGAAAAGATACAATTAGTACATATATGAACGATAGAGATAAAATTTCATGATTACTCCTCTTAATAAAAAAGAAGATATAAAAAGAGTATTGTCGACAGAAGTATCAAAATATACTGACTCGACTGCTCTTCGATGAATAAGAATCGCATGTACAAGCCTCTGATAAAACAGGTACTGTCTTCCAAAAATAGGAATCATTAATGTATTTTTTTCGATAGCATTCTCTATCCGATAACTGCATTAATTTACTTAAATATATATTTATTTAATTTCACTTCTGATTTAAAACAAGTGTCAAAAAAGTAATCGCTTACCTTGCGATTTTAAATAGCGCACATGCATGCCACATATATGTCAAAATTGTTATAAACGTAACATATAAAGCTATTACTGCTATTAAACATGCTAATACCTCGTGTAACAATATAATGTAAATATATTTTTCTTGGCTGATAAAATATTCTGTGATTATAAAAGTTCGAAAAGGCCGTGATTATTCAATGGCAATATAACATCAAGAATTAATGGCAAAAATTGAAGTATGAAGAGCAAGAAAGAGCAAAAAACAACAATCACTGAAAAATGTTAGATCTAATTTAAGTCAAATGTTATGTTATGTTATATAAAGAAGTGTTTTCAATGCCAGAATTTCTTGCCTTATGTTGCTCTCAACCCGAATATGTTTGACGTATAAAGCAAAAAAAAGATTAACGAAATAAATAATATATTCTTTATCCTACAATATATATTATATTCTTACCTATTGAAACTATTGAAGAAAATTGTATATTGTAAGCATATGTTTCTATAATATCAACTTCTAATTTATTCTTCAATAATCTCCAATCATCTTGCATTCGTTCCAACATTTTCTTCACCTGTTCATTCAAATATTTGCCTTTATTAATAGTTTAAATGCGATTTATTTTATAAATGTTACAACAAAATATTTCAATTAATGATCTATCATATTGAACTTACACTGTCAGCTTGAATCATAAACATACAGTACTTAACAGTAACGAAAAGAATAGGAAAGACTATTGAAAGAATCTTGATGAGAAGGTTCATACTGTATTGTGTTGTCACGAATACTAACAACTGATAGAAAACAACATCTTTAGGATTGATTGCAGTCTAGTGTGTTAGGATATATGTGAATGTAAATTAATTATCATATATTAATAAATTGGAAAAAAATGAAGTTTTTCCTCGAATTTAATGTATAATTAATATATACCACTATCTAAATATAACTACATTGTGTAAAAGTTCGAAAATTGTATAACTCAACATTTATACCTGAACAAGAATAAATGTCCAAAGAAGACCAACAAACAGCACTTTACGTATTCGTGTAAGTATGATTGCTGATAGGGCCATAAACCAAGAATATTAAGAAGTACTCGATTCACTTTGTAATGACGCTCTTCTACCGCATCATTTTACAAAAGAACTGCGATAACTGTTAAATGAACCTTTGAATTCTCGAATTATTTCTTTCCACATTTTCCGTCAATTTTCAGCGATCGATATCTTTACACACCAATTATTGTAAAGATGGCCATATACCAATTATAAAATTGTATATTCATTATATAGATGAAATTGAATTAGTCCAAATTACCTTAATATATGCGGCAATATATTTTTAACGCATATTCTTGCGCAAACGCAGTTATAACTTTTGCTCGTGGAAAGAATTTCGATATCTTTTAGTACATCGTATGAAGCATTACTCATTCATATATTTGATGAATCTATACAGTATCAAATGGTATCGAAAATATAATAAGAAAAATACAAGACCGTGGATTATTTATATTCAGTATTATGTAAGCTGTATTCTTTTATTTCTTTATTAAACACTTAAGGAAATCAAATGAAAATGCTGGTTATTTTTTGCAAAATTTTCATGCAGTGTTAAGTGTGTTTGCACTTGGTGTGTTTGCTCCATGTAACATGTGAAATGTCCCATTTTAATTGCAAATATCTTGTAGATAACGTCGAAAATATTTCGGCATCAAATTTATTTGGTAAAGGCTAATATCACATTTGTCATATGATAAATTTTTAAACATATTAATTGGCTGCAGAATAAAAGGTTTCTGAAGAATCAATAAATTACTATCCCGCAGCCAATCAATATTCTTAAAAAATTGGTCGTATGACAAATGTAATATTAGCCTAAAAGAGAGAACAATGATATATATATATATTAATTTGATCTTAAGTGTATGTAAAAATAATATGAAGATTAACACGTGTATGTATATATATATATGTTCTGAAAGAGAATATAAAATATCTTGATATAAAAGAATCTAAATTAATTTTCTTTAATAATCTTTAAAATAAGAAATAAAACAAAAATAAACAAAAAAGAAATTCTTTTAAATATATATTTTATGTTGTGTTAAACATATATTTACTTTTTGTGTTAAATTATTTTGAAGATCTAGCCAATAAATAATAAATTTCCTTTCTAATTATTATCGCGTATAGAATAAATCACTATGAAGTAAAATACTGCTGCATTTACGAGTTAAAAAAGGATACATATATTAAATTGCTCGTCAAATCAACATTATATATTTAGTAATCGTCTTCGTTAAATCGACATTATAATTTATTTTAAAAAAACATTTTATGTAGCAAAACCTTTCAAGGAAGCAGTAAATATGTTACCGCATTCTATATTTTGTGACCATGATATTATTTAATATATAACTTTATATATGATTAATAATTGTTTCGACGTTTGATTATTGGTATATTATTCTCAAACTAGATTATACTTCTATCAAACTCTTTAAAAATTTGCCTTATTAAATTTATTAATATTTGGAAATAAGAGTGAAGTAATTAGAATTAGTATTTGGAAATAAGATTGAAAGAATATAATATTTATATATAGTACATAAAATTGCAGAAATTTGTAATGGACATATATGCACATTTATCTTTTCTTTATGTGTATAGATCTATGTGTGCATGTATGTGTGTGTGTGTGTGTGTGTGTGTGTGTGTGTGTGTGTGTGTGTATTATGTTAATTATGTTATGTTAATTTAAACATTGTAGCCGATAAATAATGAATTATCCTAGTTCATTATTATCGCGTAGAATAAATCACTATAAAGTAGGATACTGCGGCATTCGTGAGCTAAAAAGGATGCGAACTATTAAATTACTCGATAAGTCTGTTAGTTCGACATTATAATTTGTTTTAAAAAAAGCTTTTAATTTTACCGCAACAAAATCTTCCAAGGAAGCAGTAAATATGCCACCGCATTTTATATTGATATCCACTATTCTTTCTTGCATTATAAATAATAACATTTTCTGTGTATGCAGTGGTGCTGCGTACCACAACCATTATAACTGTAAATTTGAAATGAAATAAAATAATTAGCAAAAAACTTAACATATTTTTGTAATTTAATTATTATATTAACTATATATTTAAAAGTATTAGAAAAATATTTTTATACAATTGATTTATTATAAACCAAAATTAACAGATGGATTTATGTGAGAATCGTACGCATAAAATTGTCAAAAAAAAACACACTACTCACGTTGCTTCGAACAGCTTTATTCCATGATCTGTTATTATTTGTCCCGCATAATTGGCACAGAACATATAAGTTAAATGAATCAAAATTAATAAAGCAAATACGAATATCTCTTTGACATTACCCGTTAATGTTATCAATTGAAGAAACTACAATAAAATGGTACTTAAAGAAAAGTCAATTAAACAAAATAGATAAGAAAAAATATTGCTTACTTGTAAAAGAGTTAAACTTAAAGAGCTAACCTACTAAGATCAGAATAGCAAATAATACAGCAAAATTCAGATGTGAAAAACTTAGTAAACCTTCAACGAGATGTTAAGTATTAGAATTGTTATATTATCAATAAAAAATTGTTACATTATCAATATAGATAGATGCAAACATTGATATATTCATTTTTTTCCATAAATGATAAATAAATGATAAATAAATGTGATTCTGATTGTTATATTCATTTTTTTCTATGTGATAAATAAATGTGATTCCACTTCAAAAGATATATATGTATTTTTAACAATCTAAATATGTATGTTTATCAAATACATCACATATTTGAAAGAAACTGCAAATCTTTAATATATTTTCATTTTTTGAAAAGTACTTAATTTTAATTTTAATTGCTCATAAAATTGTGATTTCACTTAATGTAAAAAATATTAAGAAACAATTTAATATTAAACATGTAGTAACATGTGTAACAATAACGCGGTTTTAGAGTTAAGAATACCACAAAAAAACAGAGTGCAAAGTTTTATAGCAATAGAAAAATAAAACCATTCACTCGATGGCTCTACGATGTACAATAACTGCATGGACAATCCTCTGGTAAAGGAGATGCTCTCTTTTAGGATCAGATATTGCTAATATGTTCCACTTAATCGCACTTTCTATATGATGACTGTATAAATCCATTTAGACATATTTCGATTTAAGAAACAAGTGCAATTAATATTACCTTGCGATATTAAATAGAGCACATATATATAGGAGAAACATTAAGAATGTCGAACTGGCGCTACACACTGTGACTCCTGCTATGGATTGTGATAATGTAATAGTATTGCGTATACATATTTCTCTTGATTTGAAAAAATATTCCGTAACGATAAAAAATTGCCAAGAACGTGACTCGTTCAAAAATAATATAAAATCAAATATTAGCGAAAAAAGTTTGAGAGTATTACGGACCACGGTTAATACAAAAACAGCATAAGCCTGAGGAAAAATCTAATTGATGTCAAAGTCTAATTTATAACCTAAATACGTAAAGAATTTAAACGACATTTCATATCAAATATATATTCAAATATTTTTTTATCTTGTTAATTACAAAATCACAAAAAATTATGATTGATAATTGAAAAATTGATATTATACATACTGCATATATTATATTGATGTTATCTTTATTACAAACTATACG